AAGAATCTTAGGACCCAAGAAGCTAAAATTTGTTTGGAAATACTTATTTTAAATGCATCAGCAGACCACCAGTGAATACATTTTAGCTCATGAAAGTTATTAGAATAGAAAGTCTAGGGCTTGCTGGACCAAGGTAGCTGCTTAATTTGAGAGTTTCTTATTCTAGTAGCTCAAATTACCCAATATGAAGCATAAAAAGTGATAAAACACAGCTAAAAATAGAAGGAAGCTTTGAAAGATGTCTCAAGGTTCTGACTGCTAAAGAAAAATATGGTTTAAAATGCTTCAAAGCGATTCCTCTCGGTGAGGCTTCAGGATGCTCAGCAAATCTGCATGTAAGTGAAACTGACATGGCAGAAGGAAGGAAAGTGACAGCTCATGAAGGCGATAGATTTGAAGCCGAGCGACAGCAAATATTAGATAAGCATACACGATGTATGAAGAGTGCATTGATAGAGGGTCGGAAAGCAGTGATGCAACCCTGGGGAGAAAAGGTAGAATTTATTTCAGCACAAGTGGAGTCAGTGACAGGAAAGACAGACAAAGCACCGAATTTGAGCTTTAAGAAGAAAGAGAAAATAAAAGACATGAAAAAAGCAGAAAGAGATATATACTGTACTTCAAGTTTCAGGACCCTGAAGACTTGAAGGAGGGCATGGAAGAGAATAAAATGACCAAAGTTTAGTCACCTGAAAGAATACACTTGCTTCACACACAGCTGAAAGAGTCAGACATTGACACAGTGCACCAAACACTGACGGCACTTATAATGAGTTATAATGTGACAATATGCTTTACAAGTTATGCTTTGAAACAGTAAGTATAGAACAGAAAAGGAAAAAAAATTAATGACACAGAAGTGATTTTCCTGCAGGACCTGTGTATGAAAACCTAAAAACCCATGTACTACAATTACAAGAAAATATTCAAGTTATTTGTCCACAGCGATGGTGACATATCTTCTGAAACAAGGAAAGCAAATTTGGTGGAATCATATAGACCAGAGTTTCCCAAACTTTTTCCAACCGTGGCCCCCTTTCGATCTTGTTTCCTCCCTGTGTCCCCCCCCCATGGGCATGGGGCAGGGGGTAGCTGCCCCCCATAAGTAAAAATCAGTGCAAATAAATACAAATCTGATGTTCTGCCCCCCTAACAAAAGCCTGCCCCCCCCAACAAAAGTCCTGGCTACGCCCATTCTCTCCCCATCCTACCGGTAGAAAGGTAGCTTTTTAAATGTTTTGTTTGTAAGAACATGTTTTATTTATAGTTTTTATGATTTATTAAAAAATATCATTACATAAATGATAGGAATATAATGAAATATTGTTGAAGCAGATAAACATAGAATCATGGAGCTGGAAGGGACCCCAAGGGTCATCTTTCTAGTGAAACCCCCTGCAATGTAGGAAACTCTGCTAAAGCATCCATGACAGTTGGCCATCCATCCTCTGCTTAGAAACCTCCAAGGAAGGAGAGTCCAGAACCTTGCAAAGGAGAACCTTCTTCCATGTATTTAAAAAAGTAAACAACACTTATTTGACCCCAGTTATTGGACACAAGGGGGAACTACAGATACAGTCCAAAAGGCACACAGGGTGTTCTGTATATATGGGAGAATTTTAAAAAGCAATTGGTCCTCACTGACCTGGGGCAAAAAGATATTGTCATGTGGAGGAGCCCTGGCTGCCTAGATAAAACACTATAGCCCCACACACCCTTGCCTGGGAGTAAGGCCCACTGAACTCAGTGCTGCTTTCTTCTGAGAAGACACTTAGTTATTTACTAGCTGCAAATCAGCAGCACCAGACGACCCCGCTTGGCTAGGGTGGGTTGCAGGGGTGGATTGCACCCTGCGTCTTGCAGAGTCAGACCCAGGCTGCCACCAGGCCCAGCACTGGCGGCAGCAACAAGCAGCTCCGGCTCTCCCAGCCCTACCCATTGCCACTCCACCACCACACTTACCTAACTTGGGGGTTCTGGATTGCAGGCTCTACTGGTCAAAACGGGAGCCTCAGTGATCACCCTCTTCCCACCGGAAACAAACCAGGACTGCTCCAAGAAAACGCACATGGCAAAAAGGAGCGCTAGGCCCTGGTAGGCTGCCCCCTTATCTTCTTGTGATTGGCCAAGCAGATAGCCATCCAATCAGGATTTCCCCCCATCACTTCTCACTTCCCTCTGTGGCTCCCTAGCCTTGTACTGTGCCCCCCATTTTGCATTTTTTACCTGTGGCCCCCAGCTGGGAAACACTGATATAGTCCATTGGCATTACTGAACCAGTACTCAAAGACTGCTGTTCTTGAATGAACTCAATTTTTAGCAGGTACAGCCACATATATTAAGTGGGCTTGCTTAATTCCTGGGAGGTACCTGGCTGAATAGTAGGAAAATACTGGAGATAATATATTTTGGTTTGATCTGATATTTGTATTCTGCTTTTCTAACGACAAAGTGACTCACAATAATCTCAATAGCATTAAAACAACAATAAACATTGCAATCACTATAATATCAAAAAGACAAGTAGTATAATTCAATAAATAGCAGAAAGATATACACCATTGCAAAATTAGTAAGAAACCCATAACAATTGTATTTTTGGGTGCCTAGAGGCCTTTGATTATCTAGAGTTACTTTTTATGTTCTGGCTGGTGCCGCAGTTCATACAAGCACTCCAGACTAGTGTTTCTCATGTAAAGTGGTGGGCTAGCATCTCCCCCGCAATGTCTTAGGAACTGGTACCATATTCCCTGAAGCATGCCATCCAACCTAGGCTGTAATGGCGTTGCCATGGACCAGCAGCTGATGACTCAGGGACTGGCCCCAGTCTGTGGACTACCACTTTGAGTAGCAATGCTGTACGCCCTGTACTGGCTCTTTGTTGTGAAGTATGAGTTAATGTTACACGGGTGGCGCTGTGGGTAAAACCTCAGCACCTAGGACTTGCCAATCGCATGGTCGGCGGTTCGAATCCCCGCAGCGGGGTGCGCTCCCGTCGTTCGGTCCCAGCGCCTGCCAACCTAGCAGTTCGAAAGCACCTCCAGGTGCAAGTAGATAAATAGGGACCGCTTACCAGCGGGAAGGTAAACAGCATTCCGTGTGCTGCGCTGGCTCGCCAGATGCAGCTTGTCACGCTGGCCACGTGACCCGGAAGCGTCTGCGGACAGCGCTGGCTCCCGGCCTATAGAGTGAGATGAGCGCACAACCCTAGAGTCTGTCAAGACTGGCCCGTATGGGCAGGGGTACCTTTTTTATGAGTTAATGTGTTCGAATACAGAACATTCAGCATGTATGAGCAGGTGTTGGAAAAGGTGTATTAATTGTCATTGCACTTAAGCAAATCATGCCTGAGTGTTTGATGTGCTAGAATGATGGGGTTATTAATTACTACATTGCATTAAAGAATGCTATGTGAATTATAGGTATATGCTAGAATGTTAAGTGTAAGATAATACAAGTGCTTTTAGAAAAATTGAACCTGAGAAAGTGTTTGTAGATATTTAACTCGAACATAGTTCTCTAGCATGCGTACTTAAAAAAAAATTAGTTGTATCCCAAGCCAAATCTCCCTGTCTCGATAGAATTCTGACTAGAACCACATCACAGACATAAAGTTTTCAGTTATTGCAAAATTGTAATTGGGTTCACAGAATCATTGCAATTATCTGCCTGCTCTCCAGCCTTCACTGTAGGCAGCTTGAAATTATTATTGACTCTCTTCTGCTGAAGTTGCAGTGGTGTGCATCTGTAGAGAGTGAATATAAGAACTCGGGGTTATATCCAGTGATGTTGCTTTGTCCACACAAGGACTTTCATGTGTGCAGCGGACATTCCCCTCCCTCTCCCCACCCGCTAAATCTGTTCTGGGGTTTTGCCAATCCAGTCCTTTCTAAATATTTAGAATACAACCTCCATAAACCCCATCTAATATAGCCAAAAGTCAGAGATGGTAGGAGTTGTCCAAACACTTGGAGGATACCAAGCTGGAGTTGACTGGATTAGTAGATGATACCTGTGGTGACTTGCTAGTCCCTGAGCTCAGTATCAAGCCATAAAATAAGACAATACACATTGTGCTATATGATGACCACTGAACATGTTATTTACATAATTATTTCCCTAAACAAGCTGCTTTTCATAAAGCAATCATAAGTTTATTTTCAATACATGTTTCCTTTAAAGTTAAAATTGAATTATAAAGCACATTATTTTAAGGTTTTTCCTGTTTGTGTCTTGCTGCAGATAAAATAATGGGTTTGTTCTTTCATTGCCATGTGTTGAGTATGTTGGCATCCTGTGCATTAATAATTTGGGCTCATTCTCTATGTACCGTTGATGAGGCAGGTGGGTGCAAGAATGCAGTGAGGATGTTGGTATTGCTGTTATTTCTTGTTTGTACTGCTGTTACTTTGCTTTTTTCTCTTCTGTTGTGAGTTCATAGGATTCCAGCCAAGTTATGCTGATGTAATCCTACTGTAACTGGTATCAAGGACCGCAGCATAATGGAACCAGGCTGCATGATATGCATACTCAGAGATTCTGCGTGGTTTATTGGCTGGTTCGCAAATGCATATTCCTCATCTAATTACTGCAGCAAGCAGTGGTGACTATATGTATGAATGAACCATCACAAATCAAAGAGTATGAATAGAAGTTTCATATTATCTCACATCATTGCTCCACAGTTTTTTTCAATGCTGTCTTTTATACATTCATATGCAAGTCATCAGGCATTGAATATGTAACATATGAAAAATGTTAATTGAAAAATAACATGGCACTAACATTATCATTGCTGCTTTCTGAGTAGAACCACACTGAGAGTGTGTGTTAAGCAATATTTTATTTTCAATTACACAGTAATATAGCTAGAAGTATTTAGGAAATAAAGTTAAGATTTATTAAAGCATTTGTTTACCATATTTGTATTTTGAGAAAATGGTTGGCTACAATTCTTAATTATCTTATTTATTTTAGTAATTGTAATAATTTCTATTTAGATCTGCTTTGGATATTTCATACTAGCTACAATAAGCTGACCTCAAGTTTGAATAGTACTGGCAGTCTGGAACTAACAACTGTGATTCCACTTTAGGTAATCTCCTTTTGTTTGTTACCTCACTTGTCACAGCTTGGTTTTTTTGTTGAAAATGGAAATCCATGACTTCTTATTGTGAACCTTTTACTTTCTGAAATTAAAGGAATGTTTGTGCAGATTGAAGCAACATTTCAGGATTTGGAGGTACAATCCATCAGATCAGATACAATTTTTCATTTCTAATCCCACAATTAAGTAAAAGCCTCTTAGAATTTGGTGCCTTTTAAAAAACTAGTGGTAAAAGCTAAGGATGTCTACAGAAGCTTAGTCTCCAAAATTTACATTTTAATTGAAAGTTCTACAGGTGCTAATTTGGGGCTCAAAAATTGTGGGAGCAAACCTTAAAAGGAGAAATGGAAGGTCACTGCTGGAATGCAACTTGGCAGGGAACCCTTTTAGATCAATTTCAGTGTATATGACAGAATACTCTATAAAACTGTTGCTTGGATGTATGGTCCTAAACTTTGGTTAAACTGAGGTATATAATGCACAGTCTGTTACTGGAGGTTTGTAAACAAAGGGAAAACCCCAAAGTGGATTTCTTTACCGTTTCATCCCCCCTTCATATTGTTGTATTTTTCTAACAAAACATTTAGTTTTTCACAATTAGTAATATTTTGTCAACAATAATAGTAATGACAAGAGTAAATATGCTATAGAAGATAGGGTTTGGGGAAGATGAGTTTACAACCATGAGGACAAGACAACTTTTCTTGGCCTATATACAGCATTGTTAACCATGCACTGTGTAGTGGCTGTAGCAAGCCCAATATTATCATTTGCTTCATCCAGTAGATTGCAGAAATGCTAGGCTTACTGCATACATAGGCCTTTCTATGTGGTTGTAGTTATCTATGCATTTGGTTCTCCAGAAGCTGTAGCAATCTGGGGATAATGGCTAAGATCCTAACTTACCTCCTTTGAACTGGGCAGAGTTCGTGGAGCAGGCCTTTCCTGCCTCCTCCTTTGTTCTGCAGCTCCCTGAAAATCTACTTCTGGGTTTTCTGGGACCATACAGAATGGATTGGGATATGGTGTGGAGGCTGTAGAATGGAGAGGTGGTCGAAATGCCCCCTCCCAATTTGAATGGAGGAGCCACTTTAGATTCAAGCCAATGTGAATAGAAATACTTAATCTTGATGAAAGTATATATGAGTTTTCTAAATTGGTTGTCAGTCACTGATTTTCTTCCTATCAGTGAATACTTCTTCTTCATGACAGTATCTAATCAAATGAACTGGAACATCACAATTCTAAGTGTGCTATGGTATCCTTCTGGAGTGGCTGTCTGAGTTAGGGTTGGGTGGCACCGCTTTGCGGTGGTTCCGGTCCTGCTTGGATGGATGTTTCCAAAGGCTGATGCTTCCAGAGTTCTTCAGCCCTGTGGAGCCCTCAGTGTGGGTTTCCTCAGGCTTTGATTTTATCCCCTATGCTGTTTAACATCTACATGAAATTGCTGACTGGGGTAATCTGGAGTTTTGGAGTACGTTGTCAGCAATATGCTGATGACACACAGCTCTACTTCTCCTTTACATCTGCAGGTGTGGCAGTGGATGTGCTGGACCCTTGTCTTGCCTCGGTAATGGACTGGATGAGAGCCAACAAACTGAAGCTCAATCCAGATAAGACTGAGGCACTGTTAGTGGGCGGTTCTCTAGACCAGATGGATGGGAGGTTGCCTGCTCTTGATGGGGTTACACTCCCTCTGAAGGAGCAGGTACGTAGCTTGGGGGTACTTCTGGATCTTTTGCTGTCGCTTGAGGCTCAGGTGTCCTCAGTGGCATGGAGTGCCTTCCATCAGCTTTGGCTGGTGGCCCAGCTGCACCTTTATCTGGATAGGGATAGCCTAACTACTTTTGTCTATGCTCTGGTAACCTCTAGGTTAGATTACTGCAACACATTATACATAGGACTGCCCCTGAAGACAGTTCAGAAACATCAGCTGGTGCAGAATTCGGCAGCCAAGTTGCTCACCAGCGCAAGATGATTTGAAAATATTACATTGATTCTGTCCTGGCTGCCAATTAGGCTCCGGGCCCAATTCAAAGTACTGGTTTTGCCCTTCAAAGCCTTAACAGCTCAATACCTCAAGGACTGCCTCTCCCCATATAAACCAACCCAGACTCTGTGATCATCATATGAGGCCTTTCTTTGTGTGCCTCCTCCACAAGAGGTCTGGAGGGTGGCAATATGAGAATGGGCCTTTTTTGCATTATCTCCCCATTTGTGAAATGCTCTCCACAGGGAGGTTTGCCCGGCACCTTCATTATACACCTTTAGGCGCCAGGTCAACCAGGCCTTTGGCTGAGTATCATCATATATTCTTTTTAATGTGTTTGTGGGAGGGGGTGGTTGCTGGTTTGTTTGTTTGTTTTGTTCTTGTTTTTATCTTGTATTTTTATGCTGTAAATCACCCTGAGATCTGTAGATGAAATATATATAAATATATTTGTGAAACCCTGAAACTGATGACTCTAGGTACACTGAAATTTTACCCAATACTTGTAGATTACTTCAAGGTATGCTGATATTTATTTTTTCTTTCTTTCCCCATCTTTCTTGTCTTTTCCCTGGCAGATGCATAATGAGCACTCTGATGCAAGATAAAGTCAGTGAACAACTATAAAATGCCCAGATTTGGGTCAGCAAAGGCAGTTCAGATTCAAAATTCTGACAGCGATAGCACCATGGTGGAGAAACCAACTGGAAGAAAGGTATAAAAAGAAACTTGATTAAGAAGATTACATTGCAGCTAGGCAAATCCATGAAAGCAAAGAACATGTATGAGTCAGAAGAGATAGCATTATGTGCAACTAAACAAAGTTGTAGGAGGTACTTGCTAAAATAACTCTGCCTGTGGTGTAATGAGCTAAAACCCACCATAATCTCCTCTTTCACTGTGTGCCCTGAAACTTTTTCATGCATTCTTTCATAGCTGATGACATTACTTACATTTAAGGTGTTTTAAAGTTGATAAAACACAAACTTGAAGTATCCCTCTGATTTTTAAAGAAACATTCACAACATTCATTTTAAAGTATTTGTGAGGTGTTATGTTGTGAACTTTTGATATTTTCTTTTGAGTAGAATTCAGTATGTATCATATTAAGATTACTATGAAAAGACTGTTGCCTACCTAATAGTATTCCAAAATTAATTCCTTCTTTCAATAGGGCTTAAAGTAGGCCTGTTAGCTGATCTGATCATTTTATCTGACTTAATCCAACCTTTTCCAACCTGGTGACATCCAGGTATTGGAGAACTCCAGCTGTGCTCCATTTCATCTAGCATGGTGAATGGTCAGGTATGATGAGAGTTGCAGTCAGTCACTATCTGGAGGGCACCAAGTTTGGAAAGCCTGGTTTAATCATTGCATTTAATCAATAAATTTTATTTTAAGTCTAAATAAATATGTATATTACCAAAATACCAATATGAGAAGTGTTAAAAAAGCTGAAGGAAGTGCGGTAACTTAGAATTTTAGAATCTATGGCTCAGCTAATTATAGTTGTCATTAAGGTTGCTTCCACACTGGTGGGAAGAGGGAATTGCTGGTGTTTTCTCTCTCAATTTTTTAGAGTCCATACAACTTCATTACTAAATTAATGCATTCTATGTTGTCATCACATGTTATTTCAAACCTGATTTCTAGTAAACATTTGATAAGAATTGGACATTGTGAACATGTGCCATTTAGGTTTTTAGGGCTATTGTGCAATTACTTGAAAGCTTCCCGTTCACAAATTTAGCCTATTTTGTTGCTTCCGGCTTAGATTAGCAGTGGGGATGGGGGTGGGGAACAGATTATTGTCTTGCATCTGTTCCCTGTTCTCTCTCCAGGGAGAATGAAATTAATTGCTTCCTTCAATTATTTGTTCCTCCTCTTATTGCAAAGCACATTCACAATAAAAAATAATGGGAATTCAAGTACAGCCCACCCATAGTGCAGAGCTTTGTCTTGCCAGGAGTCAATTTATTGGTCCTTAATTGGCACAGCACTGAATCCAGGCTCTGGTCCTGGGCTTGCAAGGCCTCTCCCAATTCAAATGTTACAGAAAAACAGAGATGGGTATAATCAGTGTCCTGATGGCACCTCATCCAAGTACCCCTAATGACTGCTCCCAACAGATTCATATAGATGTTAAGTAATGGTACCCTGCAGCACCAGGCAGCACAAAATGCTGCTCTCTGAAACCAACCAAAAACAGTGCCCCCAGTTTCCATCCCACAGAGCTAGTTCAGGAGGATACAATGATCAAGGCCATATACTTAGGGATTTTTCATATCCTTAAAAATCAAAAAGATGGCAGCGCCCATTATTGAAAAATGTTTCTCTAGCAAGGGAAAAAAAATGTGTTTATACTTTCTAGTAACAACTGCTGAGAAAAATATTTATGCTTTAACACACCAAAGCTGTTGGAAACATGTCAGGAGTGCTGTGAATCTGTGTAGCTGTCTTTTTGTGTCTTTGACTTGTGTTTGAGTAAGCTGGTTTTGATCCCTTTTTTGAGAACACAGTGATGCCACCTTGTACATTCCACTCCTTTGATAGATATTCTTGAGAATAGGATGGAAATGACCTTGAGAGGTCATCAAATCAACTTGTAAAAATATAGAGCAGCACTATGTCAACTGCATATTTGAGTTCTTTTAGCAGTGCCAACCCAGAATGATGGCAATATTAGTTACATCAAGCTTCTTGGGGGAATTTTTTATTTGACACAGGCAACTTGTTGCCTTGCTAAGCCAAAATGTGGGCAGTAACTAGCCAGGATGGTATAACGGCCCTTTAATTTCCAGTTCACAATCCTAACAGCTAGGGCACAAAATGGTTCCTCCATCATCCATGTACTTTTAAAGTTAGTTTTATATATCCAGAGCTACTACAGTCTGTATATCCTTGGGGCTCTGGTCTTTGATTGTAGCATCCTTTACAGCTATAATCTTAGCTGTCTTGTGGAATGAGATCAACAGCAGTCACATAGCATTGCCTAATGATGTTGCAACTCCTGCTGTGACCTCCAGGCCTATGTCTCCAATGAGCTGCAGAGAAATATTGATAATTAACAGTTTAAGTATCAGCTTTGTAATTTGCCTTTAACTGAATGAAATGGATAGTTTCATAATTGGTGGTATTCAAGATATTTAAAAGAAAATAAGTTATGAATTATTACAGTGGATTGTTGTATTGCTCAGAAAATATGGTGGAAATTTAAGATAGCAAGATTGTGGCAAGTAAAATATATTCCATGTATTGCTGCCTGGCTATTAGTGACGATTCATGAAAAAGCAGTTTGTCTAACAGACATAATCATAGCTACATTGAGCGTAACTTAGTGTAATCTGCTTGCCTACATTTGTTCAGTATTATTAGATGAGCAAACAACTTTAGTTTGAAAAATATAACTTAAATTCTGAATGAACAAGCCATGGGAAATGATTGGTTTGTTTGCTCTTTTGAAAATCCATTAAAAATATTAACTGCTCTGTTTAAGATGCTAAGTCGGATTGAAATTTAGAATTGTACTTACTACATATATTTTATGTGAGCATTTTAAAGGATTTTGATTTCATTAATTAATATTGTCTGCTTCATAGCAGTAATTTTCATGACATAGGAAAGCTAAGTTTTTTTTAAAAAAAACTTACAGTAAATGCTGTTTCACATCTGCTCTGTTTTCTACCTACAAGTTCCTCAATATTCAGCATAGTAAACATTTTAATAGATGGGGGCTGGCCAACTTTTTTCAACATGGAGAAATCGGATTATCCCCTAGAGCTGGACTCCATGGATGGGGAAGAAATTGGATGTCATTCACATTTTAATGCTAATCTACCTAATTTGCATTTCTGGAAACAATCTGTGAACCAAAACAATAGCTATGCTTTGATATTCACATAGCTCCAAATTTTATGATAGTTCTTCAACCAAAAAAGGAGTACAGAAATTGCAGAAATTGCTTGTTTATATTATGAGAACTGCATACTAAAATGTTGGATTTTCACTTTAAAAAAAAATCAAACTGATGTAGAAATGTGGCAAACGGAACATAATAATGGAAAATATGGGAAACCAATGGCAACAGATTTGACTATCCCTAGTAGATCCAGTCCATCCATAATGGATGTGCATCCCCAGGGTAATGAAGATTATATTCTATTACTAAAGGGAACACCTGCCAAATTGGAAGCACTTCTGTGTCTTGACAGGTGCTGCACATGAAGTGACATGTGAAGCCTGCCAGGTGGGCAGCAACACCTGGCATGCTGTTAAACAGAACTTAACTCCAGCAAAAAGTGAGGCTTGGGTGCCCCAGAGTTCTGTGATAATGCAGAGACTTCTCAAGCTGTCTCACTTTTCACAGGAGCTCCCTCAGTTGGAAGTGATGCCACTAGCACTGTTAAGCACCATGCCAGGTGCCAACTTTTTAGGTCAGCTATTTCCACCCTAAAACAGAGTGCAGTGGGAAATACAGAAAAAGAGGCAGGGGTGGAGTCAGAAAAGCTAGTGGCAGCCAGATTACGTAATTTAAACCATCCCTGAAATAGATTATTGTGTCAAGTATGTTTGTCTACTGTTTGCCCAATCCACCCTTTATTGAGAAAAGGACTGAGTCTGAGAAAAGAATAAGAGCTAAGCATTTATCCAACCTGCTGTTGTATTTTTTTCAGTGTATATTTAGAAAACTAATGTTGTCTTCTTAGGTAGATACACTTGTAATTTATATTGTTAAGAAAGCAAACTTTATACAGTCAACTGGCTACAATTATAGTTGTAGGAACTGAATCACAAACATCTATCAAATTGTTCTTCTGAGTTCAGTGAAATATTTTTACACATGTGTTGACTGCATTAGCTGTTTTGTTCCTAGTGTTTTTCTGTGACATAACAAGGCATTTAGCTTTCAGCTTCACTAGTCTTTATTCTGTCTCAATTTTTCACAATAACAGTTTTACTCTCCTTTTTAAACTATTTTGTTTTTTGTTTATACTTTTTATTTATTTTTAACATGCTTTATTTTCTTTATTACTTATGACAGAAAGCATAAGATGATGCAAGATTCTTTAGCATTCCATTACTATTCTGTTCTGTATTTGCTGTAGTAAATCTGTAGTAAAGTCTAATAATCCTAGATTGTTGTAATCTGAGGAACAGATTAGAGGTGTAATTCTTCTATTGGTTATCTGGTTTTTCATAGAATGTGTTTATTTTTATTTTTTAAAAATACGCTGTTAATAGTTTTATGTAAACATTGTACTTGTAACTCTGTTTATATCAGAGCAAGGACAAGATTGCCTCCTACACCAAAACTGCCAAAGTGGATAGGAGTGATGTGGGAAAGGAGATGAAAGAAAAGTCTTCCATGAAACGTAAACTTCAGTTTAATGTTAGTCCATCCAGAAATGAAGATCGAAATTCAGACACAGGTAGTGCCAGTTTTATTTTTTCCTCTTGAAAAAATTTGCTATAATAAACCTTCACAAAAGATTAAAAAGTAATAGTAAAGTGCTTGCTTATATCCCACTTGTCAATCATTAATCTAGCTGCACAGTTTTTCTTACCTTTTTTCCTAGTGCACCTATTAAATGAGCAGTCTGCCCGTTAATATATATTGATGTTCCTGGAAAAACCAGGCCTGGCCTGATTATTCAAATCTTACTGCTTTCAGCTTCCCTTACCATAATGTGTTCTACTTGGGATGGTGCATAAGACAGTTTAGAAGCTTCAGTTCATTCAGAATAGATAAGAACATAAAATGAGTCCTGCTGAATCAGACGAAAGGCCCATCTAGTCCAGCATTTTGTTCTCACAGTGGCCAATCAGATGTCTGTGAAAATCGCACAAGCAGGGCCAGAGTGCAACAGCACTCTTCCCCATTTGTGCTTCCCAGAAACATACTCAAAGGCATACTGTGGAAATAGAATGTAGCTATCATGGCACATAGCCATTGATAGCTTCTTTCTTCTATTAATTTAACTACAGTAATCCTTTTATTAAGTCATCCAACATTGGTGGCCATCACTGCATCTTATGGGAATGAATTCCATAATTTAATCATACATTGTGTGAAGAAGAGTGGTTTTTGTGTGTGTTGTGAATCTTTTGACATTCAGCCTCACTGGATGGCCCCAGATTCTAGTATTATGAGAGAGGGTGGAAAACAGTTTCCTATCAACTTTCTCCACACCATGCATAATATTATTCATCTCTATTATGCCCCCCCTTACTGCCCTTTTGGCTTGCCCTTTTGTAAACCATTTGCACCTCTACAATATCCATTTTGATGTGAGGTGACCAGAACTGTCTCCTTAACCATCTTAACCAAACCTGAATCTAAACTAAAACTTCCCAAAGAAACTGATATCAGCTTGCTCTTGGAATGAGATCTGCAAAATGTTTGGGACTTCCCCGTTTTAGTTATAGCAATGTATTTCACTAATGTTTTTAGACATTAATACAGATAACTTAATGCTCTGTTAGCTGGTATAAACTTTATCATAGAATGGTAGAGTTGGATGAGACCCCAAGGGTCATCTAGTCCAACCCCCTACAATGCAGGAATCTCAGATACAGCATCCATGACAGATGGCCATCCAACCTCTGCTTAAAAACCTCCAATGGAGAGTCCACCACATTTTGAGGGAGTCCGTTCCACTGTCGAACGGCTCTTACTGTCGGAACGTTCTTCCTAATGTTTAAACCTGGTGTTTATTAGATTTGGTTCTTTTATACTTCCAAAAGTAGTAATTAAGTCTTAGGTTTGGCATGATTTGCTATTTGTTAAACACATGCTTTTGAAGTGCCTTATGAATTGTTGGAAGCTTTGGATTGTGTCCAGTGTAGGACCGCATGAATGCTCTGTCAATGCAAGGGTTTCTGCATGTGCAACAGAACTCCCACCCTTCCCCTGTGTGCCCTCTAAAGCTGTTCTAAGGGTTTTCTCAATATCTGGAGCAGATTTGGGAAGAGTGAGGGAGGAGAGAGGGGGAGGTCTCATTACAGAAATGGAAACCTTTGAACTGACAGGATAATGCCCTCTGTTTGCATTGCAATGCCAGCAGAGCTTTATACCACAGCCAATTAAAGTTTTCTACCTCATAAGATATGCCCTGGAATATTTTGGAGAAGAGTTGCTCTTCCTTAGCATGCTGCTTTCAATCTAGATTGATTTCTTGATAAAAAATTTGGAAAACTCTCTCCTTGATTACCTTTTCCTCCCTAAACATGCCCCATATAAATGAAAAAAAGGAAGTGGTTATTGTGATATTTGTATGTGCCCAGCCACAATGTGCAGATGTAGAAACACTTCCAGTTGCCAGAACTGTCTACATTTGTTTTCATCTGTTTTATTATTTATACACTAGCAGCAGGGTAATGCAGAATCAATTCACAATGAGCTTTTATTTTCTGAATGAAACCAGTTTCTCAAGAAGCACTTTTCAGGGGCCAAAAATATGCAATAGATCTAGATTCTGTATGGACTACACAGAAAAAAACAAATACTCAGTCTCCATTGCTTTTAGAATAAAATGTGCATACACAGCCTGATGTCTACCTCCTCTGAGACCTGGGACGGGCAAACTTTAATAGTTCCATCCATCTCTGGATTATATTCCACAATAACAAAAAATATTCTCCTGAAACATGCTGTAAAGCATATGCTCTGGAATTCTTAAAATGTTGTGAATCTCAGACTCCTCTTACATAGTTGTTTCATTCTGATGTTTGTCCATCATGTACTGAAGAACTTCTATGGTGAAGTACAGTATGTTCTCTACAAGTGTTCTGCAGTATTTCCCTGTAAAATCACAATTTGTTACTGCTTTAGACTGTTTAGCAATGGTGTGAATTCTTAATTTTCTAGGCATTTATTTAACAGCACTGTAAAGCTAGCATAAGGATTCTGTAGGAATAACAAAAAAGTGGCATGTCCATATATCTATATTGTATGCCACACTTCCTTGCTCTCCTCCACCCCTTTTCTCCCATGTCTTCTTCACTCTGTAGATTCAGATCCAGGACATACAAATGAAAACTGGGGGGAGAGATTAATATCTACTTACAGGACATATTCAGGTAAATGCATTATCAGGTATACTTAAAATAGCTGCACTTTTCCCTATTCACATATTTACAGTAGTTTTCATTAGTTGTTTTTTGTGCCTATAAATCTCCTTGCAAATACTTTATGTGTTAATATAGGCTTAGCTTGTGTTACTTTTCAGTGGAGAATCTAAAATGACCATCAAACTTAAGCATGTACAGGAATATTATTTCCTGTTAATAAAATCCCTTCACATCTGTGTTGGAAGATGGCAGCTACCATGTGGTAACCACAGTAACTTCTTTAGGAAGAAAATGTTTTATGCTGAATAATTATTATATTAAAAGACAAATGGAAAAAGTAATGCACAACAAGTAAGTGTGTGTGTGTGTGTGTGAATGTGTGTGTGTGAATGTGAATGAATGATATCCAGCCAAGTCATATCCAGAGTAGACCCTTAAGTAAATTGATTTTATTATGCCTACTCTAAGTATGACTTAGTTGATTGTCACCCTAAGATAATTTTCAAAATATTTGCAATTATTGTATTAGATATATTTTTAGTTGTTATAACAGATGATATAGGTATTTAGAATCCATTGTAAACTGAGAGTTAAATCTGTGTGGCAAATGTTTTTCCTATAAAACAATCAACAAATCATGCCAAACAAGTATGAACACTTCCTTTTTCTAAAATTACAAAATCAGTGCATACAAGGCATTCAGTAATTTTAAACATGGTAAATCCATTTTTTTCTGCACAGTGAATCTCAAATTAATACACTTTACATATAAAAGTAGAGGCTTATAAGGGTATGATGTGGATATTCATTTAGGTTTCTTAACAAGGAAGGATCAGTGAAGACAGTAGCTTGGGTGGTACTTGAATGGGGTTGCCCTGCTCACCTGACCTCCATCCAGCTGCTGCTATTGGTGCTGTATACTGGCAGCGGAAGATGCAAAGCGGAAGGAAGTTCAGCGTGCTGGCAGAGGCAATCCAACATTTCTGCAGGCATGTTTGCACCTCACCTTTGACTAGTCCCTTCACTCCATCCCAGTAAACAGCGATGCAGCTGGCGGAGGTCAGGTAAGCAACACAGCCCCAATGTGCCATCTGCTACTGAGTAAAAAAACAAAATGAGAGGTTGAGAAAATTAATGCTAAGATAACAATTTTAATTAACTTGCAGTATAAACTCTTTAGAAAAAATACAATTACCTGTATAGTCTGAGACATATTCTAGCCCATTTCCTATTACATTATACAGGGTTTCAGCAATTGTTTTTATTACATGTGTGACCTATAGCTGCAGCTGTTACTGTAGACACATCAATTTGGGGGGGAAAACACTGACCTCTGAGTGAAAATGTTTAGAAAGGAGAATGCTGTGGTCAGAGCCTAAATTTCTCAAACATATGGGGCATTAAAAAACTTTTTTTAGTGTTTCTTTAAATATAATCAAATACTTTGTCTGAAATATGTAGACATTTTGAAATGGGAGAGTATGTTAATATGCAGCATTTACACTTCTGTCATTCTAACAAATCTTACCTCAGAAGTAAAAATAAAGTAGGGGTTCCATTTTTTGATCATTGAATTCTAAATTCTATTCATATATCAAGACACCCCCACAGTAAGAGTACAGGGATGTCTGCTAGTATGAGTTTTTTTTATCTGAATATCCTATGGCCCAATCCACGTGTCTTTGCTAGTACTCAGAGGAAACAAACCCATGATCCCTTTCTTAAACCCCAATCGTTAATCCAGTAAGAAAACTTTGCTACAGATTATAGTTTGGAAGTGAAACAAACCATGGTCCCTGGTTCACATATGACACCAAGCCAAGAATTGTGGTTTGTTTTCCCTCTGTGTTAGCAGAGAGAAGATATGGTTTACTATGGTTGTGAATTGAGGTTACTGTAAGTATATGCTTATTCAGTATTAGGAACATAAAGGTGAGTTTTAGACTGCATGTGTTTTCTAAAGTATTCTGTTTGATTTTAGGTTTATATCACTTCCTTTAAGGAGCTTAGGGTTAAACTATATGTAACAATGGCTGACTCGACACAAGTAATGTAAAATACTTATAAAGTGCTATTTTATTGCATGGGGAATGGAGGAGATAGCCCTTTACTGCTGTCTTTTCTGAAAACAATTCTCCCCAGCTGTTTCTTTCCTGATCAAGTTACTTCTAGTTTTGGAGGCTTAGCTGAAGAAAAAGCTAGGGGGGAACGATTTTAAGAAAGAAGCACATACTTGAAAGTAGTTCTGCAACTTCCATGCACCATGTGCACTTTAGATTGCCTTATCCCAACTATGGTTGCCTTAAAATAAGATTGCCTTACCTGTGGACAAACACCGCCTGAAAGCAAGATGGGCGCGGCATCCCCATAGTCTCCTTTAAACTGGACTTTACCATTCAAGGGATCTTCCCCCTTTTATTTTACCTCTATCCCAACTTGTACGAGTTGAGTGTTGACTTAAGTCTGACATAGAGGTCATGCCAAAATCATATCTAGTTTGTTTGTTAGAGTGGCCTCACAACTGTTCTGTGAAGTATTGGCTCAGTTCTCATGTAACACTAAGCCAAACACAGTGTGTAGATACTCATAGTAAAAGTCATGGCTCCCTCCTCTCCCAGTCCTACTGCTGACATGCTATCTGAAGCTAAACAAAGGCTTGGCTTAGTATCATGTCCAAACTTAGTGTTGTGGTTTATCCTACTCTAGACAAATCACAAATTGTAGCCAAGATTTGTTCAATGTGTGCTGTTAGCTGTGACATTTTTCCCCCTACCGTGAGTACCTATACACCTACATGATCACATTTAGCCAGTTTGGCTTAGCATTAACATGCATATTGGGTCATTGGCTTGTCCAGTGCCACACAGAGAACTTAATTGCTCAACCCAACTCCTCCACAAAGCCAACCTTAGCCACTACCTCACACTGACTCAACTTAGGTAACCTAAATATTTTCAAGAAGATTTGCTAATATATTCTTTCCATTTGCAGAGGAAAGCAATTTAGTAACGTCAGAGGGAGTGTGTAAAATGATATACTTCTCCAGTCTGTATATCTGTGCTTTCTCTTGAATGTGCTATAATTGGCAGTATTTTGTTCTTACTGAGATCTGCTGATATTTCCAGAGAAAGAAGTCCCAGAGAAGAAGAAAATGAAAAAGGAAACTGGAAATAAGAAAGCAGCACCTGTTAGTATTCTGTTTGGTTACCCACTATCAGAACGCAAGCAGATGGCCCTTCTTATGCAGATGACTGCCAGAGACAACAGTTCAGGTACTACCAAGCAGTCACTTCCTCTGTGTGTATAGATACAGATGCAGGGGCCCTGTATCAAGACCATGGGGAAAGGGGGTCTAACATTTTCCTCCTCTGCCACAGGCTCTGTGAAAACTCCACCCCCAAGTTGCCATTGGCCCCAGGGGGGAAACCAATAAGAGCTTTTCTCCCAGGACTTAATAGCAGCTTGGTGTGGGAGGAGGAGTTTATTGGCTCAGTGGCATAGGGGAAAGTAGACATACATTACATAATTCCCTGGATACAGTATACATGTATAGCCCGATTGACATGGCTTCAGGTCCTGTTACGGCTGCAAGATAATAAGGAGATGGTGGGAACGACCCTTTTGTGATGCAAGTGTTGTATCAAAGACCAAAACCTCCAGGTTTCATGAAGCTATTGCAACATATCATGGCCTAGGGAACCACCTAGTCCAGAGTTTTTGTTAACTGGGAAATTAATCAGTTTGCTAGCTGTCTTTTGGAGCTGATGCTGGGATCCAGTTAGTCCTTTCTTCAATGGATTTTCCCTCACCATTTGAATAGATTATTAACAGATGACATGACACACACAGCCTGCCACCCACAAGAAAAAAAATGAGATTTTAAGAGGACTTCAGTCAAGCAAATTTTATTCACTATGGCAGAAATTTTTAAAGTATTTTTTGTCTTGAATTTTAATTTGTAGATCCCAGTCTAAATCATCCTCTGCAGACAACACCAACACAAAAGAAAACACCAAGCTCTTCATCACGACAAAAAGACAAAGTTAACAAAAGAAATGAACGAGGGGAAACCCCCTTACATACTGCAGCCATTAGAGGCGACATTAAACAAGTTAAAGAGTTAATCAGTCAAGGTGCAAATGTGAATGTAAAAGATTTTGCAGGTAAGTTTGACGAGTAATCAGTTTATATAAGACTCTCTGGTCTCTCTTACAATTAGGATATATGAAATAATGACTCTTGAATAACTTGCTGTTTGTTATTGGTCTATAGAACAAACAGCCTGTACTGAGGAGTTGAAGGTTTTGGCATTACTGTTTTATGTTCAGTGACAGGCACATGCTTCTTTACATGGTAATCGGTGTGGCATGCAAATTTTAATATTCCCTTTGAAGAGCAGCATGTATAATTTCAAAGTGTGAAATGTTTAGTGTGAGATTTGAGGATTTTTTTCTATAGCTTCTGGACACCTTCTTTACAAATTTGCTCGTGAGTTTTCCTGATTCATGATGGTAAACTATATTATTTTTTTAGTGTGCCAGTACTTCAGAAGATAGGTTTGTCAATGTCAGTTTGCCACAATAGCTAAAAATGGCACTTCTACTTTCAAAGGAAGTGGCTAAGTTAACATGTAATAAGCCGGACTTTCTGGCTTATTATGGTTTACTGTAAATGAGCAGTGTGTTAGCAGACAATTCCTGATCGCTCAGCTTTGCAAGCCTGGTGCAAGCAGGATAACTGAACCTGGAATCCTTGGCTTCCCCTTATGTCCAAACAAGGAATAGTGGTTTGTTGCACCTTCACAAAAAAGATCAGCAAACGAATAACAAGGCACAACTGAAGATTGGCTTCTTAGAAGGTGACAAAGCCAAATCCCTGATTGGGATTTCAAGGGAAACCAAGACTTTCCTAGTTTATTCTGTTCACTTGAGGAGAAGAAAAAAGCCAGTGACTGGGCAGTGACTGGAGCTAGTACATGTCAACTCCAATATTTCACAAAACTGAAAACATTGCTGTTTGAATTTTAATTAACCTAACAAACCACATAGCAAAACACTACATTTTAAATGGTTGTACCTGCAGGAATAAAAGAATGATTTCCTATTAAAATTTTAAAAGTGTGTATCAGTCTTTGCAAAACAAATCAAACTGCATTATCTTTGAATTATACACACATACATCCTTCATATTTGGACTTCTTTTGTAATAGGTTGGACACCTCTCCATGAAGCTTGCAATGCTGGCTATTATGATGTTGCTAAGGTCTTAATAGCAGCAGGGGCAGATGTGAATACTCAAGGACTAGATGATGATACTCCACTTCATGATTCTGCAAGTAGCGGACATAGAAAAGTATGTACCATTCATGCAGTAAATAAGCAATCCCCATATAGATACAGTGGTCCAAACTAACTAAACAAAATCTACAGAGGATTTCTAGACACTAACTTGGGGGACTTCCAGCACACCAGTGGAACTGCCACTGCATCTTATACTGGTTCAGCCTAGGAGGAAAAGGAAAAAGGGAGACCTCAAAACATTCAAAAACAGCAGGGAAAACACGTAGTGCCCCAGTGACCCTAGAAAGACCTTCAAACAAGTTATGCTGGCAACAACACCAGTATGCCAGAAATGTGCTGAGGGAGCCAGTGAACTCACAATAATGTGGGCACACCCTGAGCACATATCTTTGCATCACAGCACAATGTGTACAGCACCAGACAGAAATCAGACACATCATGGTGCATTTGTCTCTTCGCTGCCCCCAAATTTAGCACCAGTTTATAGATTCCAGTAGCACCAGTGCTACAGGGGGAGTCCTAACTGGCTGAAATGGGTTATGTTCAAGGGAAGGAGAGTAGAGCATCTGTTTTGCATGCAGAATGTCCCAGGTTCAGTGTCCAGCGTCTCCAGATGGAACTGGGAATGCTCCCTGTCTGAAGCCTTTGATAGTCACTGCCAGGCTAGTGTAGATAATACTCATCCTGACCATAAGAAAGGTAGGGAACACCCAATCCAATTGGGAAGAGTGCTGCATGGACCCAGAGCCTGGCTCCTGCATGGGTGAGCCAACCAGCTCACCACACCCCCTGCAACTCATATGATCAATCTACCCTCTTCCTCATTTAGCATCCCAGCAGCCCTCATTACCCCGCTCTCCATTTCTCCAACTGAGTGCTTCATTCATCCTGGTGTCAGCAGTTATCCCTGTGCCTGACAAACAAGGGAACCTGAGTGAGCAGAGAGAAAGGGGGCCTCTGCTTGACAGCAACTGCTTGACAACATGGTAGCAGTTGAAGTGTTTCCTGTGGCATTAACTTTTTGTTAGGAGCACCTATAGCATCACTGTCTATCATGAAGCTTGCCCAGGTGCAGAAGCCTGCCTGGAACTGGTAGATTATCAACCCCTGTAGAGGAATAGCAGGGAGCATTCTTAGGTGGTGGGCCTCCTTCATGGTTTCCATAGAACAGAGTGTGGGGTGGATCCTGTACCTGTAGAGGAGCAAGCAGCAGAAAATTGGGGAGTCGGGACATAGAGGCAGTCATCATCTGCATGTGGGAGGGACGAGTGCTTTCTCTGTGTGTGGAAGACACTGCTTCCTGCTGTTGAGGAGGGAGGTGTAAGAGGTACTAAAGCAAAACAATTCAGACAAGAAATGCTATTCACATATAACAAAGTGGGAGGAAGACATGGGTGACAGTTATAACAGTTACACTTCATAGCATGGCTGCCACCTTCTCTTGCATTTCTGGATGGGCTGCTTTGTCCTGGCAGACCCAGTTGTTGGAGTAGAGTATTGGGTGTTTTGTATCTGGAATCTGAAGCACTTGTAATGTGCAGTGTGCATAGTTTGCATAGTGGTAACACATCTCTAAAGTTCATATTGGTGTTCTGGAGACAAGCAGTTTGGTATGATGTTCTCTCTTTCTTCCAGTAGTGGTGATCTATGGCATAGTGGGTTATGCTGCCCTCTTGTGCCCCAAACCAAGAAACACAGGCTGTTGACAGTTACTCTCCTCCTCCTCTTGACCAGCCAATCTCCTGTCTATGCTATGATGCTCTGCTTTCATATCTGGAGGCAGTAATACTTCTGAATACCAGTTGCTGGGAACCACAGAAGGGGACAGTTCTCTTGTGCTCAGATCCTGCATGAGGGTTTCCCACAGGCAGCTGGCCAACCACTGTGAGAACAGGATGCTAGACTAGATGGGCCATTGGCCTAATCCAGCAGGATCTACTTACATTTTATATAGAGAGACTTAAAGAAGACTTATGTGTGAGCTCTGAGATACTGCCCCATATCATGCACTCTGTTTCAGTTGTAGCCACTCTCTGTGGGTGTTATATATTGGCAGTGGTGTACAGTTATTGGGTTCTGAAGTACAATGTTCTGCCATGGTGAGATTGGCAGGGGCAGTCATTGATAAAAGGGGGGCTTAAAGTTCCAGTATCAACATGGTATAAAGTTCCAGTATCAACATGAACATGGCAGCAGTCTGGAGGACTACAGAACAATGTGTAAATATGCCCAAGTTATTTAGCCTGCCATTTTTTACCAGCCTGTGACGACAGTTGTAGTCTGCATTTCCATGCTGGTCACAAGAGATGGGAAAATTCCCATCATGAAAATTCAGGATACCAGCTTCTCAGCAGGCCAGTTTTTATTTTTTAAGTATCTAACAAAGAAGAGATATTGCTGAGGGATGGGCTTCCCTGCACTGTAAAGCAGAAACAAAGCAGACTGGCACAGGAAGAATGTTGAAATCCATCCCTTCTCCACCAGCCCATTAACTTTTCTCCATAGAATTCCTGGTGACCTATGGCTACCAAGCAGATAGTTAGGTACAGGGATGGTAAGGAACATGGTGTAAATGTCCTCTACCCTTGATCCACCTCTGTCCTGTTCATGACTCCATCCTGTTCTGGCCATTCCATCAGCATATCTTTGTTGGCAGAGCTGTTCGTTCAGCATATTTGGGTATTCTGCCAGCAGCACTGGCATGCCAGTGTCATATCTTGATTTCTGCCAAATACTATAGCCTCTCAGTCAACAGAACTTAAGGAAAAGATTGCTTTGTAAAATATGTTACAAGAGTTTAATCTCCTGTGTTGCTTAATTTTTTTATCTTTGGCACCAATCCACAGATTTAGAGCAGTCAAAATAAATCAGTGTACTGTTCTGGAGTGTGTTATGTGTGGATTTCAGCACTGCTGTCCTACCCTGATTTACTTACTGGTATATAATGTCATCCATGTATATAGCATTTTACAGAGTGAGATGCTTTAAAAAAACAGGGGTCTGTTTACAATCTAATCACCTCCCAAGGCCTGTTTTTAATGTTAATTAATGTCTAATAAACTTAAATACCTAATGTTTCAGATTGTGAAATTGCTGCTCCGACATGGCGGAAATCCATTTCAGGCTAATAAACAAGGAGAAAGGCCTGTTGATGTAGCAGATACAGAAGAACTAGGGCGGTTACTGAAAAGAGAAGTTCCTATTTCTGATGATGACGATGGTTGTTCAGGTCAGAAAAAACCCTTTTAATTGTACTTTTATAGTTATACATAAGTGTGTATAGATAATACACGGACTTTCATATTGGTGTGCATATACAGAAAACAGGATCCTTGCAGATAAGTACAGTTATACCTCTCAGTGACCTCCCACTGAGTTTTACGGGACAAAGTAATTTGCAGAGACATGGTTCTGTAAAATTATCTCCTACAACTTTGTCCTCAGCTTAGTTTTGATGAATCATTTTGCTGATTGATCCTCACATTGGACTAAATGGGGCTTACATCTGATTAGATATGCACAGGATTACACTGTTCATCTCTTATGGGCCCCCCATAACAATAGCTGGGCGTGTTTTCGAATAAAGCATATTTATTCCTTCCCTGCACACTTCCAATTAACATTTGGATGTCCTTCACATGGGCCAGGTAGACACAAACTAAAAACTTGCCAAGCCCTTTGGGATTTAACCAGCAAGTTTTTTGTGGTTTATATATATATATTTAATAAGCATGTTTCAATTGCTGCTCTTTGGAAAAGTTATTTTACATATCAAATAAAATGAGCTATTGTAGAGGTGATCTGTCCACTCTGTAAAAGTGTGTGATTTCCTATATATATTTCAACTGCTATCTACACAGCTTGACAAGAAACCCCAAGAGACAACAGCAACACCTAAACACCCACCCCAAAGCCTTTACTTGTAATGAACTTTTTTGCACTTCTTCACACAGTATGTAGTTAAACTGTGGGATCCAGTGCCAGATAACATTTAAAAGATGGTTAAAAAGAGATAAAACACATGTAACATACATGTCATTTTAAAAGTAATATTCACTGTCATGAATAGTAAATAAATGAATATATTTGTTGACTCTTTTCATTTTCTTTTCTAGATCTTGAAGAGACACCGTCTGTAAATCCTTCCAGTATAGATGGGACTATGGATTCTGAGACAGAGAAAGAATCTCTAGACAGCAAGCACATTCCCAATAAGGCATCATTTTCATCTGCTCTTGATGAATATGAGTTTAAAGATGATGATGAAGATGAAGTTAAGAAAATGATTGATGACAGACATATACCTAGGAAAGATATGAGAAAAGAGGATGAATCTGAAATAGAACAGAGTAACCTATTTCTTAAACAGGAAAAGGTAACATTTCCAAAATCATTTAAAAATAAGAAACAGAAGCCTTCCAGAGTCTTATATTCAAGTTCTGAAAGTTCAGATGAAGACATTCTTCAGGACAAAAAGATAATCTCTTCTCCGTGTTCTGTCACAGAAACTTCAAATTCTGATGCAAAGATTAAAAAAGAATATGCTTTTAGTGAATATAAGCAGAAAGGAAAAGTTAAAAGAAAACTAAAAAATCAAAGCAAAAATAAAGAGAACCAACAATTAAAACTTGAAAAAGAGAATTCCAGAGTGCTAAACCTGGGTGCTTCTGTATTAGAATCTTTAGACAAAAGCAGAGAGGAAGAGAATTTTCGAAAATCTTTTAACTCAAAAGAGGATTCTTCTTTGCCCTTACTCCATATTACTGCAGGCAGATCCCCCAAGCACCCATGTGGATTAATTGAAAAGCAGTCAACTCCACTTAAACAAGAAAATGTTAAAACATGTTTATCTCCAGGAGGGTCTGACATAACATCACAATCTGAATTAGTGCAGTATGATCATAATACAGACTCTGAGTTTGTACTGGAAAGCTCCAGTGGCAAATCCTACAAGCACAAAGACAAAAGTAAACATCAGAAAGAATTTATTTCTGAATTTGGTGAAAAATCCAGTCCTAAACTTAAGGAGGAACAACACAATAGCTCATCCTTTGAAATTTCTGAATGTACCTTGAAAAAAGTAGACAAGGAGGGGAAAGCACTTAAGAAGCATAAACTGAAACATAAAGAAAAGGATAAGCACAAAAAAGAGCAAGATGGAGAAAAGGAAAAGAACAAGCATCGAGAGAGTTCTAAGGAGGCCCAAAGGAATATTGAGTTTGATAGAGAGTTTTGGAAAGAGAACTTTTTTAAAAGTGATGAAGCAGAGGATATATCAAGTTTGGACCATGAATCTCAAACCTCTGAGAGAAAATCTAAGCTGGAAAAAGGTCTGATGAAAGAAGACAAATATGTGAAAGAGAAAAACTTTCAAAAAGATAGAAATTTTAGAGAGGAAAAGGAGAGAGAGAAAAATAAAAAAGAAAATGACAAGGAGGAAAAAGCAAAAGATACAAAGGAAGAAAAAGACATGTTCATTGATAAAGAAACAGAATTGTTTTGTTTAGGTGGTAGGGATTTAGCTACTAATGTATCTTTGGTAGAGAAAGAAACAGACTTTGAGAAACAGGAAAAACCCACAAAGGAACATAGAGAAAAGCTGGAGAAGCGGAATTCTGCTACTGAAAAAGTAGAAAGAAAACATCTAGACAGAGAGAAAAAAATAAAATGTGAACATAAGTCAGAAAAAGAAAGATCAGACCCCATTGAAAATGTAGAAAAGACAAAAGAAAAAGAAAAATCATATTTTCAGCAAACAGAAAAATCTCATAAAGAAAATGACAAATTAAAAAGCATAAATACTATTAAAAAGCTTGATGACAGAGAAAAAATCAAAGAAAAACTTGATAAAAAGCATGACAAAGAAAAAAGTGATAGATACTTGTCAGAATGCAAAGAAAAGCCTGGAATTGAGAGAAAACCCAAGGTTTCTGAAAAGGAAGCTGACTATTCAAAAATTGAAAAGGGTAAAAAAGAAAAGGAAGCTGAGAAAAAAGAAAAACCAAGAGATCGGGATAGTTCAACAGTTGCAACTATAAAGCATGTTCCAGAAGAAAAGAAATGTAGCATTGAAAAAACCTTGTCCTTGAAAGAGAAACCAAAAGATGAATTACTGAAAACTCCAGATGGAAGAGAGAAAGATAAAAAAGATAAAGATATAGATAGATATAAAGAGCGTGACAAACATAAAGATAAAATACAGCCAAACAGCGTACTTAAGCTAAAACCTGAAACTGAAAAGCTTAAGTCAAAACCAGCATCAGCACCTAAAGACAGTCGGCCTAAAGAAAAGAGATTATTGAATGATGATTTGATGCAGACAAGCTTTGAAAGAATGCTTAGTCTAAAAGATCTGGAAATTGAACAATGGCATAGAAAACACAAAGAAAAAATAAAACAGAAAGAAAAAGAAAGATTGAAGAATCGATCCTGTTCAGAACTTAACAAAATAAAAGATAAGGACAAAACAAAACATCCACTTACTGAATCAAAAACTAAAGAGCTGATTCGTTCAAAAAGCTCTGAGTTGTCAGATACTTGTGTGAAGGATAAGCAGCCGAAAGATGCTACAAGTAGTAGATCGCAGTCTGTTGACATAAAGAATTTAGCAGCTGGTGGGAAACTGACACTGCTACAGGACAACAGCTTAAGTAGATCTCCCAGATCAGAAAGTGAAAAGACAGGGCTAACATCCAGATCAGTGTCCATGCTTTCAGTGGCTAGTTCGGAGGATTCTTGCCATACAACAGTGACTCCTCCAAGACCAATAACTGAATATGATTCAGACTTCATGCTTGAAGGATCTGATTCTCAAATGTCTTTTTCACATTCACCATTTTTACCTAGTGCCAAATCACCTGCTCATCATGAGACTGATAGTTTATCAGAGTTGCCGGAGCGCAATAAAGCACCTTTTCCAAACAGGTTTCCACCAGCTTATGTGAGATCAGCATCTGTTGAGGATGTTAAACTTATTATAAACGAGTGCAGGCCGGTTGTAGAAGTTCGAAGGTGTAGTATGCCATCTGTTGTTTGTGAAAATGCAAAGCAGCCCCGAGTGTCAGAAGAAAATAATCACAGTGCGTTGCTTTCAGTTCAGAGTCATAGTTGCCCTTCTCCTAAACATGAATCACTATGCTGTAATTTGCTGGAGAAGGATTCCCAAAATGGTATGTCAAGCATGCATTCCAGTTCTGCATCATCTCCAACTAGATCTGCTAGCAACAAGCATATTACATCAGATGCAGTTAAAAATGCTACTCTGACAAACCCATCAGGAGAAAGTCATACACCTTTGGAGCAGTGCAGCCAGAATACGACTCCATCAAGTAAACCATGGGATGTACCTTTGGATAGATTTAACTCATTGAGCAGTGAGTGCATCTGTTCAAATTTTCCTGGCTTTGAGCAAGATGCAGCAACTGTCCCAGCCATACACAATTCTGAAAATAAAATCTTGAAAGAACAGAAAAATTCTGAACCTTTTCTTCATCATGCTGAAAACATAGCAAATTTTACATCACAGGAATCTGCAGCTGTTTTCTCTCTCCAGTCTTCTTGTTCGTCTCGGATTCAGCCAATCACAGATGCAGTCTATATGTCAAAGCGTTCTATACCAGATATTAGCAGCCAAGAGTCTCTGGTTGTTAATCACCAACAAAGTGCCATTCAAGCTACCAATTCAATCTTAGATGTAGATACAAACAGTAAAAAGAAGATAGAAAAAACTTTCTTTCCATCAAACAATAAAAAGTCAGATGTGCTAATCACTGTGTATCCTGAAAGCTTCACTAAAGACATTTCACAACATTTTGAAAAGGATTTTATTGCAAATGATCCTCGTTTACACCCTAATGCAAGTTCTGTAGTCAGTAAGCTCATTTATAAGACATCACAAGTGGATGAGCTAGATAGCAGCATGATTGATATTCAGATTGCAGGTGAAAAAGACCATTCTGATTACCTGTATTCATCCCATATGACAAGTAATAAAAATGAAATAGATCTACAGGATCTAAATGGCAGAGCGCTGAAAGGAATTGCTAATGAATATAACAGAAAACTTTTTAATATAGACAGCATGGAAAACAGTTCAATGGAAGAAAACTTGCAACAGTGCCTTTCACCTTGTTTGGAAAGCCATTCACAATTAACTGGACATGAAGTGCATAAGTACAGTGCGAGTGTTAAGTCAGAATTGGAAGAAGCAATAGAAGACCATAAAGGAGAACAGTATGAAGTTCCTCAAAGAATCACAAGGAACAGAGCAAATATGCTTGCTAATCAAAGTAAGCAAAATCTTACTGGTTGTCCTCAGATATCAGAAAGAGATTCTGAATCATCTTCCTCTATAAAAGGAAGGATAAGACTGACTGAGGAAGATGATGCTCAGGCGCATCATCCTCGTAAAAGAAAGCTGTCACGTGTTCCTCAGCCTGTGCAAGTGAATCCCACATTAATGCAAGCTAAAGAAAAAATTCACCAGTCCCTGGCAGCTATTGTAGACTCTCTCAAACTAGAAGAGATCCAGCCATACAGTTCGGAGAGAGCAAATCCATACTTTGAATATTTGCACATAAGAAAGAAAATAGAAGAAAAGCGTAAATTACTGTGTAGTGTTATTCCTCAAGCGCCTCAGTATTACGATGAATATGTGACCTTCAATGGATCATACCTCTTAGATGGCAACCCTTTGAGCAAGATATGCATTCCAACTGTAAGTAACTGGGTATTTAAGTTTTAATAGAGTGAATTATATACTCTCAGCAATCTCTTAAACTGTTCAGTTCATTCCAGTGTAAGCTAATGGAACCAGATTCCTATTCTGCATAGTAGGAGCATTCTGCAACCATGTTACTTTTTGCTTGATAGTTCTGCATGCTCCTTGCCACCCCCTGTCCCCATCCCATAACAATAGTATATTTTACTTTCTGCATAAACTAAATGAGAAAGGGGATGTTTTTGCGTACAGTGGTGCCCCGCAAGACGAATGCCTCGCAAGACGAAAAACCCGCTAGACGAAAGGGTTTTCCATTTTTGAGTTGCTTCGCAAGACGATTTTCCCTATGGGCTTGCTTCGCAAGACGAAAACGTCTTGCGAGTCTTGCGTTTTTTTCCGCTCCCCCCCCCCTTTTTCTAAGCCGCTAAGCCGCTAATAGCCTTTTAGCCGCTAAGCCTTTAATAGCCGCTAAACCACTAATAGCGCTAATCCGCTAATCCGCTAATAGGGTTGCTTCGCAAGACGAAAAAACCGCTAGACGAAGAGACTCGCGGAACGGATTATTTTCATCTTGCGAGGCACCACTGTAAGGAGAATAGCTATGCTGCTGTTTTCTACTTTCTTATTAAATGTAAAACAAATATGTATTTTTGATGCAACCAGCTGATGCCAAAAGGGCCAAGAAAATACTAATGAGTAGCATAGTTTGCTTTCCACATTTTTTACAATATAACTTTACATTGCCCTTTTGGCTCCAGTGATTATGCAACTGGAAAGTTGCTAGGAGGACTTGTTAGCCAGATTTTTGGAGAAGACAGATAATGCTGTCAAAAGGTGAAGGAGTTTGGAAGCTTCCACTTCTGTTTAAACATTACATCTGAACCTTAAACTGCAGATTAACTGTTATTATGAACTACGGTTTACTCAAGTAAACCAGCTTCTTAAACTACAATTTGAAATTGGCTTTGTTTTTGTAAACAGTTGTTAAAACTAACTGCAGTTTGTCTGGTTCAGAAGTCAATCTGAAACAGAAACAAGCTTTCAAATTCCTTGCAAGCTGTGCCAGGGAAAAATAGACAAGGCTCACACAGACTTGTCCTTTGCCATGGTTTAGCGTTGCATATGAATGCAGTCCATTGATTTGCATCTGCTTGATGTGCTGCTTTCATATATATAAAGATTCTTCAAACAATGTTTCATGTTAACACAGTAAACTTCATATATTTAATTCCGTATTTGTGATACAAATATGTGCATTCGGTGACATTTTAAGCACCATATGTTTTTCCTCCAGTTGACTATGTTATGGCTCTTGCTTATGTATACAGTATTGTATATAAATTATATTGCATGAACAATTTTTTCACAGATCACACCTCCTCCTTCACTGTCAGATCCACTTAAAGAACTGTTTAGACAACAAGAAGTTGTAAGGATGAAACTTCGTTTGCAGCACAGTATTGAGAGGGTAAGTGCCATAAAATCTTGGCTGATAGTGTTTATTTATTCATTTATTTTCACCCAGTAGACTGATGACTGTATAAAGATGGGCAAGTCTTTTAAAAGTTTTATCGTTTTAAAGAGAAAGGATTAGAATGAAGAAAAACTGTTACATGTTAAGATTTAAGCACAATATGTACCGTACTTTTCGCTCCATTGGATGCAGTTCCCCCCCCAAAAAACTGAGTGGAAATGTGTGTGCGTCCTGTGGAGCGAATGCAGGCTTGTTCCATAGCCGCGCACAACCCCTCCGGCAGGGAGAGATTGCGCGGGGCTAAAGAGGAACCCAAAGCAGCCAGCACGATCCATCCCGCTCGCTGCCTTGGCTTGTGCCATAGCCGCGCACAACCCCTCCGGCAGGGAGAGGTTGTGCGCAGCCTGTACGCTGCTCTTTGGGGCTGGGGGGGGGAGATTTTTTTTATTGATTTCCCCATCTAAAAACTAGGTGCGCCCTATGGTCCGGTGCGCCCTATGGTGCGAAAAATACGGTAGATTGTTAAGAAGTTGTTAAAAACTTGCATCTCCAATCAGAACCTATATATACCTGGGAATTCCTTTAAAGAAAAGGAGAGTTTACACTGTGCTAAGAAATTCATATAAGAAGCCATTCTTACCGGGAAATTTTGAAAATTCTACTTGGATTTCTAAGCCAAGTCTTATAGTATTTTCTGTATGAAATCTCTGTAAATGTGCATGTTTATTGGTATGAATTAATAGAGAGACTAGAAATATTACATTTCAAAAATCTTGAAAGTGTACTTCAGAAAAGGAAAAACAATGATCAAATAGTATTTTAATGAAATTTTGTGTTTTAAAACTCTGATTATTATTTTTTTGTTTAACTAGGAAAAGCTTATTGTTTCCAATGAGCAAGAAGTATTGCGTGTCCATTATCGAGCAGCAAGAACTTTAGCTAATCAGACTTTACCATTCAGTGCATGCACAGTACTGCTGGATGCTGAAGTGTATAATGTGCCTATGGACAGCCAGGTAAATTTTTAAAAAGACTGCTTTTAAGGTTTGGTTTGGAAATAAACCCATAGCTGAAGTTACTTTTTCAAACTAAGTCTAATAAAGTTAACATGAAAACAAGTTTTACCATATTGGCCCGAATATAAGCTGCACTTTCCCCCCATTTCAGACCCTGAAAGGTTAAAGTGCGGCTTATATTCATGACTTTTTACCATATGCTGCTGAAAGTGGCTGGGAAGCACACGCACTCCCTAGCTGCTTGATGGCGGGAGTGGGGGGAGCAGCATCCGCCTCCCAGCTGGTTGGCAGTGTTCGCTCCCTGGTTGCTTGGCGGTGGGGGGAAGCAGTGCGACCGCCTCCCAGCTGCTTGGGGGGGGGGAGAGTGGCACACCTGCCTCCCAGCTGGTTGGCGGGGGGGGGGGAAGCATGCGCAGGTCATCCAGCTAGGGAGCACATGCACCGCCAAAAAGCTGGGAGGCAGGCGCACCCCCCCCAAGCTAGGGAGTGCATGCACCACCAACCAGCTGGTAGGTGGGCACCCAGCTCCCCAAGCCGGTGACGGCGCTCGGCTCTTGAGTGCGCTGTGTGCCCGCCTCCTGGCATTACCGCCCTGAACGGGGGCGGCCAGCACCGGCTTGGGGAGCGGGGCACCGAGTGTCAGCACCGGCTTGGTGGCCACACCTGCAAATAAGCCTTGAATTTTAAGGGTATGGCTTATAAGTGGGTGCAGCATATATTTGGGGCAATATGGTATTTAAATTTAATTCTAATTTTAAAAGTTGCTGATTCAGACAGCATACTGCTAGAGTTCTTTAAGAATTCACATATGAAATTGTTCGTTGAATTGTCTAAACTTCTAGCAACTTGTTCCTAAAATTATCTTCCTTGCTGGACATTTGGAAGGTACCCATTGTAAAACCAATTTGTTAAAAAGGAATCTGTTGAGGAGAAATTACTCTATTTGGCTAACCTCAGTCCTAGTTAAATTAGTAGGAAACATTAGGCTAGAATTCTTATATAGAAGAACTGGATGCTGAAGACAAATTTGCATGGTCTGCAGAGAAGAAAGTTTTTCACTTTTAACTTTTTAAAAATATTGAAAGAGTTTGTGTAAAGTCTTGTGTAAACAGATTTAATCTGGCTCATGGGAGAATCACTTTTTTCACTCTCCACACTAGGTCAGAAACAGCCTGACTGGAAGAGGCCTTCTGCTAGTGCAGAAACGGCAAACCTGTGGACCTCCAGGTGTAGCTAACTCCCATCAACCTCAGCCAGTATGTCCAATGTAGTTCCAACATCTGGTGGGCCACAGGTTCCCCATCTCTGCACCTAATGGAGACAAGGTCACATTTGGATCCAAACTACTATTTTTCATCACTCTTAACATTTTAAAAATATGGGTCTACCATTTTTAGCATTGGAATAAATTACTATATAATTAACATTGTCTATAATTTCTAATACATTTGATTTTCAGACCGATGACAGCAAAACATCAGTTAGAGATCGATTTAATGCACGACAGTTTATGTCATGGTTACAGGACGTGGATGATAAATTCGACAAATTAAAGGTATGTGCTTTTATTGGACCTTTTCCAAAAAAGATCTTTCAGTAGAAAGCTGCAATAAACCATCTAGCACGTGGTCTCTTTCACATTCTTTGTGTCATAGCAAATTCAGGAGAAAATAGATAATACATGTCTTAATTCATTAAGTTGCTCACATGTATGGAATAGAACAACACCCGAGTTCCTGCCTCCATGGGTTTCTCAGTTCAGGGAATTTGCAGGGATCACAAACGTGTCAATTTTATTTGTGGAACTGCCTTAATATTGCACTGAATGAGGAAGCCAGTACTCAGTGAGTAGACTTCATGTATATCAAGGTGTCAGGAGGATATTCTTAGTGTATCCCGTGTATCCATCCAAAAGGGTGGGGTGGGGAACAAAATATGGAGAAGCCCTGAAGTGCACATGGAAGCATTTCCATTCACCTTAAGAATTCTTTTGAAATCATGCCATTGGCATCTATGGAATATATGGTGTATGTCTAGAGGGCTTGGACCCAGAATTAAGTGCATGTAACAAGGTTGGCAGTAGCTGACTTCCCCACCCGACCTCCTCTCCACAGCAGTTCTCCCAAAATACCTAGAAATCTTTCAGGGGACTCTGCTAAATGGGATGGGCTGTGACACAGAGAGATGAGGGTAAAGGGAGGATACCTGAAAATTAGGTGGGGATACTTTTCATGAGCAGATGTCCTGTTCATGGAAGTTGCCTTTTTAATTACACATGCTTAGTACTGGATCTAATTCAGAGTGAACTGCATATGTACAGAGTTGAGAAAAGAAAATGGTGCAGAATGAATATCTTTTTCTAAAGACCCCCTTAAAGCAGGAATAGCCAGCATTTTAAAGCTTTAGGTAAAAGGAGCTGACGCTTTAGCATCTAATTGCTCTAGGGTTGATTTATTAAAAGTGCTAGCATTGTTTTATGGAATATTTAATTGCCTCTAGAATTACAAAAAATAAAAACCCTATTCAAAACATGAATAGGCTCACAAGTATAAGATCAAATCGTCTCAGGGGTTTGATTGGCCTGTGGACTGTCAAATTCGCCGTCCCTGTCTTGGAGAATTCAGTATGTGGTTCACATTAAGGTGTACTTAGAATAATTGACTATTCATCTGTTTATTTTGAAATAGACATGTCTCTTGATGAGGCAACAACATGAAGCAGCAGCTTTAAACGCTGTTCAGAGACTGGAATGGCAGCTTAAACTACAAGAACTTGATCCTGCAACTTATAAATCCATCAGCATTTATGAAATTCAGGAATTCTATGTTCCTCTTGTGGATGTTAATGATGACTTTGAATTGACGCCTATATGACTGCTAGCATCTCTTTGCTGTCTGTTACAGCTTAACATTGTGAAATATATATGTAATTCGTTTAAAAATATAGCACTAATGTGGAATACATCCTTTTTCAATCTTCCATATATAACATCAAAATGCTTCACAAAATCTCATTCAATGTTGTAAATGTGCATACCATTTATTACAAATGGTATTTATTTTAGATCCTAGGTCCAAAAAGCATCTTCCCAACAGAGCTATTTATGTACAAAAAAAAAAATCTTTCACTGAAGTTTTAACAGCGCTGGCAGCTGTTACAAAAAAATCTGCTGAAAAGCACTTGCTATTTTATGTTCACTTTAATGATTTTTATTAAACTTAAACTCCTACAAAAAACAAAACATCAAGCTGTGGGAAATATTACACGCTTGTGGGAATGTGGGGAGTGAGGGTCTATTCATCTTATATAATTTATAGGTTAACTGTACAGTTTTCTTTTTGGAAAAGATGTAATATTGTTTTCATTTTTTAAAATAACTTATTTTATACATATTGCGCAATTGTAAATAATATTGTATTTAACGTTCAACCCTGTATAAAAATAGATATTTTAATTGTAAAACTGTTTTGTCTAATGTTTTATTGGACCAAAGTTGTTGTTTCTTATGTGTAGTGTATAGGCAGTTTTCTTTTAAAAGGCATGTATTTGATTTAGCTACTTGTTCCATCACCATAACTGTTAAGATTTGAGACTGAGTGGTATTGCATGCTAGCTCAGTTCAGGTTTTTTTCCTACTGTGTGGTACCTAAATGATTGCAACATACGGTGCCAATCCACCAAGCACTGCTTCTGTACAGCATCCATTCATTCAGAGGAATTTGCATGAGTGTCCCTTTCAGTGTGGTTGCAGCAGTGCTTAATGGATTACACTTTGACTTCCTAGAGCCATTTGTCTTTTGCTATGCTGCTGTAATGCCATGCCTATGACTTACTATGAAGAGTATTATGTTTAAAATCTTAAAAGATTATAAACCTGCTCTTACATTGTGGTCTCAAAACAAGCCTTTTAGTGTCCTGCTTCTCCCTTACAAATGCCTCTCAATGAAAAATTGTACATTGTCTATTTTAATATTTACCTATTAAAGCATATGTAAATAGTTGTAAATACAATGTTTAATAAATTCTATTGGTCATGCTAACAGATGGTTGAATCCTTGTGATGGTGAAATTTTCATTCTTGAAGTTTTATACACTTTGACAAAAATAAATCTTTGAAAGTTCCATGATAAGATTGTAGTTTTATATTCTGACCAATTCTCCATTTTTTGTGAAGAACTGACTAATAATATAATGTTCTTATTGTACTATTAGAATGACTGCCATTATGATTGGGTATACGTTATGTGGAGGGAGGGATTCTGGATGTGCCTAGGGATACGTGGATCCAAATCCTCAGTCACTATGTCTCAGCTTAAGCCTATCTGAGCTCCTGGGGGGAACTCTGTTAAGTTGTCCCAGAAGAGTATTATTATTATTTTTTGTTAAATCATTTTAATTAATTTTCCAATAAAAAACCATCCAATTATCATATCAAATTATAATCCAATTAAAATAAAAAACTAAAATAAAAAGACCAAATTATCATCCAAATTATAATTATTAATTTTTTGGGACTTCCCATAGCCTGGACCTTGAAGCATATCTCCAAATCTCAATCCTGCTTCTCCTCGTTGTTTCCATATTTTCCACATCTCGATTTTAACGCTTTAACCCAGAAGAGTATTAAAATACATTGCCCTCTGTGTCCTATCCCTGTTGGTGATGGCCAGACCACTCCACTATAAGGGAGTTTGCTCATGCTAAATTTGTCAAAAAGTTTAGTGTTTTATTTTCCCTAGTGTGAATGAATAACAAACACAAAATTAACCTTCCTTTGTAAGGTTAACAAGAACATTGAGAAACCCTAGTGCCTTTGGGTGGGAGGAGGTGAAGAGGGGCAATTTTTGCTGCCTCTGATATGTCTCCCAAATTGGAGGCTCTTTGCCATCTACTCAAGGGAAGCTCATGAAAACTGAGTCCATCCCTGTCTGCATAGACTCTTTCATCTACAGAAATGTGTCCCTTAGTCATGCCAAAAGTGTGACTAATGTTTCAAGAGTGTGACACAGAGAATGTTGGAAATCGTTAGATAGATGGATTAAGAACATAAAAAGAGCCTTGTTGAACTAGATTGAAATCCATCTCACACAGCGTCCTGTTTTCAAGTATGGCCAACCAGATCCCTCTGTGAAGCCTTCCTTATTCTTTGTCTCTGGCACTGTCTATTCCAAAGATAGAATAACTCCAAACAAGGACTTCAATTTGGCTGCTATGCTGATTGCTGTTGATAGCTATGTGATGAACTACTATTTCTTGCTATTTTTGTTTTAAACTATTTAATCAAAGTACTTTCTAAGCAGTGTAGAAATTGTAGATGGAGCATAACTAAACTAATGTGGTCATTGTGCATTTTTGCTGCATTGTAGAGGGGATTGCAGGGACGCGGGTGGCGCTGTGGGTAAAAGCCTCAGCGCCTAGGGCTTGCCGATCGAAAGGTCGGCGGTTCGAATCCCCGCGGCGGGGTGCGCTCCCGTTGCTCGGTCCCAGCGCCTGCCAACCTAGCAGTTCGAAAGCACCCCCAGGTGCAAGTAGATAAATAGGGACCGCTTAATGGCGGGAAGGTAAACGGCGTTTCCGTGTGCTGCGCTGGCTTGCCAGATGCAGCTTTGTCACGCTGGCCACGTGACCCGGAAGTGTCTCCGGACAGCGCTGGCCCCTGGCCTCTTAAGTGAGATGGGCGCACAACCCCAGAGTCTGTCAAGACTGGCCTGTACGGGCAGGGGTACCTTTACCTTTACCTAGAGGGGATCTGGTTGTAGCATCCAAGTGTATAAACATGTCAAAATTCATGTATGTGGAATATTCACACAGGAAGTGTGTGATGCTTGTATTAATTCAGACACAGGATGCTTGTATTAATTCAGAAGCTAACCCAGCAGAATAGGCACACAGATTCTTCATTTTCCTATTGCTGATTAAAATGGGATAAGCACAGAAGCAGCAAAGTGACACAAAGTTTCCCAGCGGGTTTTTGTGTTTTGGCACATTGTTGGCTCCCAGAGAAATGGTGTTTAGAGTATACATGCCACAGGTAGAACACTAAGCTGGAATTTCGCTAGGAACTTCTGTTTCCCATGGACAGTATTCACCTATCATGTCCTATCAGCACAAGAATTCCTGCTTCCACAACAGGACTTTCCACCCTCTCCCCACACTTTCCCTGAACCTTCCCTATATCTGCTCCATAGAGTTGGGGGGACTCCTAGAACAAATTGGGAGTGAAATGAAGGTAGGAGAGGGAGAAAACATTCTGTGGCATAAGCAGAAATCCTTGCACTTAAAGGATGTCCACATAGTACTACATTGGACACAACTCTACATGTTTATTCACCATGCGGATGTTCTTGACGTTCAGGTTTGAAAAGGATGTTGTTGCTGTTTAGAGAGTATGATGGGCCAATAATTGCACACTGCTAGCTCTCTGGTTAAGCACCATATAATATTCTATATAGTTCCTTGGGACATCGCTCTAAAAGTAAGGAATGTAAACAGTTCCCTGGGGCATCCAACATCAAATTTCAAGAGGCACCATCATGCACGTTCGTGTGTGTGTGTGTGTGTGTGTGTGTGTGCGCCCCTGTATGCAGGAAATGGATGCCTTTTCCCTCCCTTTCCCTCATAGCTTGGGAGGGAAGGAGTTTAGTGCAGTTGTGCCACCATGCTTAAAATGCACATGTGGAGCTTGGAATCCACAAGAAAATAATAGACACTGCCCCGCCTCTCCTCTTCAGTCACACAAGCAAGTAAAGCAGCATTTGATAAGAAGAGGTTGGGTGGACAAGGCTTTAGTAGCAGCTGGTGAAAGCTATAGTAGAAGCTGCCCAGTCTCAATAATGGAGAAAACCTAGCCAGCAGACGATAAGGATTGTGTGGCAAACTTGTTCAAAGCTAGCAAACCAGGTATTCTTTTTCTTTTTATCTCTCCCTATAGACACCTGTGTGTTTAATACCTTTACGGCAGGCAGAATTCAGCAGCTTCACTTGCTGAATTTTTGCCTCCCATGTTAAAAGAAACGCCTAGCGCCCACTTATTTATCATTGTACAAATTACTCACTGGTGTTAGATGCACTGAGCTCTAATAGAGACAATTATTTTACATCTAGGGAGCAAATATTGTCGGCCTGTTCCCATTTATTTGTATTTTGTCTTTAGGATATGGTTTTATTTACACATATATGCAACCTGAGCATTGGATGGGAGGGGGTTGGTCTGTTCCCATTTACGTATATGAAACTTCTCTGTACATACGCTGCATTGTGTATGTGTAAATATTAATAGGAATGTGAATTGGATTATCACCATTTCTTGTCATGATTCAACAAATGAAGCTTTCACTTATTTTCATGTTGGAAGAAACACCTACAGAATTTTACAGCTGCTATATACATAGGAAATATACTGTGGTGGGGGAAAATGGTGGTAACCTCATCTTCAATTCAAGTTGTGTTCTAGGGTTCCTTTTCCTTCATACTTCTGACACTTTCTTACCTGTCCCAGATGGGATTAAATAATCTACCCAGCTCCCAGGGCACATTTATTTTCATGCACCCTCAGTATGACTCATGGGATGCTCTTCCTCTCATTTGCAGAGGGAAGAATTTCCCCCCTCTTATTTTCCTTTTGTAGTCTTTCTTAAATAGAAAGCCAAAATGTTTTTTCCCAGTGAATCTGTTTGACCCACTAGGACTTCAATCCTGTGAACATTTGGGAGTAAGCCCCACTGAAAATGAGGAAATACTACAAAGGTTGATTGCCTCTTAACATGCTTTAACCAGCCACAAATGAAGTAAGATAATGTGTGAAAAAGCATTGGTTTTGCTCCCTCTTTAAAAGTATGGTTATGGATAAAATGGGACTTCTTGGAGTTGAATGGTGTTGCAGGGGCTAATCACCTGGGTCTTAGTCTTGCAGTTGGCACTTCATGCTGTGCCGTATTATCTCTAAAAATCCACACACTTGATGTCGCTTAATGTTACAGGCTACTTATTGACCATGTTTTAACCACTCTCTTGTAGAAAACCCATGAGAAGGCGGCAAATTTCTGTTCCACTCATCCATTATATGCTTATGAGTGAAGTGGGAATTTTAGTCCATGCTAACACTGATGGATAATCCCCATTAATAGCTTTTATGTTAGATAAAAGTTATGGTGGTAAACAATTTCTACCTGTAATTTGTAAATTTCATTTGTAATTAATTAATTAATTGTAAATATTGAGGCAGAAATTAAATGACTTTCATATAATCGGATTAACAAAGGTGAGTCCTGAATAAGGATTGCATCTCAATGGTAATTTTGGAACCACTGTCCTATACAGAAAGGATTGAAATACTTATGACTATGAATGAATCATGACCAAATCCATTAAATGGCAGGTCTCTTCAACTTTCATACCCTTTCTTTCAACCTTTATTCTCTTCATTAATTTATAAAACTGGCTGGGAGCTGTACTGTACAACAGGAGACTGGTTGAATGTTGTATGAGCTTACTAATTATAAGAAACAGGGTGGGAGGCTGTTCCTGAAATAACTAGATCCAGATTACAGTGTAGCTGAAAGGGACAGAGATCTCACCATACTGAATTACATAAGAAACCTATGTAGCTTAACATGTTCTTGTCCATTTGCTAAGATCGGAAATGAGAGGTGTGTTATTGTGTACCTGTTGGCCAAAGAGACTACTGTCTTTTCTGTGCACAATTACTTAGGAATAAGGCACATTGACAGAACTGGAAATTACTTTTGAGCAAGCATGAATAGGACTGCACTGCACATAAACTTCTTATTGTGGACCAGCCTATTATTTACATTCATGCCCAGATGGATCCTGAGAAGTTATTTCTCCTTGAAATGCTAGTAAATGCCCAAATGAGTTGTGAGCTATAGTCTTTCTTAGACATATTACATTTTTTCACTTACTTTGTTCATCTCTACCCTGCTTGTCCTTGTTCTTTTGTTTAAGGTGAATTCTGGATTACCTTACATTTGGAATCTCTAGTTACAGATGGGTAGCCGTGTTGGTCTGCCATAGTCAAAACAAAAAAGAAATCCTTCCAGTAGCACCTTAAAGACCCAACTAAGTTAGTTCTTGGTATGAGCTTTCGTGTGCATGCATCTGAAGAAGTGTGCATGCACACGAAAGCTCATACCAAGAACTAACTTAGTTGGTCTTTAAGGTGCTACTGGAAGGATATTTTTTTGTTTGGAATCTCTAGTTACTGGTGCCCATTGAAATTTGAAGGGTGGAAGGAAGACCAACAATAGGTAGAGCCAAATCCAGTGACAGGCAGAGCAAATTCTAATTTTGTTAAAGCGAATTATACCACAGAGGAACGGACACCACTTGGGCGTAAATTTAACGTTAATTCGGACGCCTATGCAATGCGCATGCGTGCTCCTGGCTCAAACCATCGCTTGCACCCCCCCTCATAAGACTACATCTCCCAAAATGCATCAAACAAAAAAAAAAGGGCAGGCGGGACTTTCTACCCGTTATATAAAAATAGGGAGAACAAGTGCGCAGGCGCATGCTCCCTTCTCCGCTCCTCTTGGGTAGCTTGCTCCCTCAGCTACTACGACAGCCCCTCCCTGTGCGTCATGCGCGTGCGCTGCCTAATTCCGGCCTCTGCCCTCGATAGCCAAAGGGCTGCAAGAAACAGGCCGGAGAAGCGGGGGGGAGGAGGAGAGAAGGGCGCTCGCGCATGCGCCTCCAAACTGCCTCCTTCTGTTCCCTATACCCGACCTTGTAAGCGGGCGGCGAGGGGATGGGGCGCGGAGCGGGGCCCGGGTGAGGCCGAAGAGGAGCCAAGCTCAGCACAGCCGTCCTGCCAGCGACGGGCTCCCCACCCACCCGCTCAGGTCAGTGCTGGAGCCATGCTCATGCGCGTGAGGGCTCCCCACCCGACCCGGTTCTCCCTCACATCAGCTCCGTTGCCTCCGAGAAGGGGGTGAGGGAGGGAAATGTGGCCGAGCCTGTGGGAGAAGGGCATTAACTGAAGCGCTCTCTGCGGCGCGCATGCGCTAGTATGCCTGTGCAGCGCCCCCTAGCGCCTGGGGGCGCCTTGTGACTGAGGCCCGGTTGGGTCTCAGGCTGCCACTCCCTTTTTCTCCTCAGGATTGCTGAATGGGGTGTTGGCATATTGGCATACCCTGTAGGTGGGATGCAAGCAACGTCGACATTATCAACCGCTTTGAGGGTTTTTTTTTGGGGGGGGGGGTTGCACTCAAGCGGTGTATAAATTTTATGAAATAAATAAATACTCTGCAACAAGTGGTTCAGGTTGCAATCCTATGCACGCTTAACATGTTAAAAAGGCCCTTTGCATGTAGTGGGGTTAACCTCTGAGTAAATGTGTGTTGTCCGAGTATCTTCCACTCACCATCATTCCCCCCACCCACTTTTGCCTGCGAAATGCTCCCGGTGACTACTTATGTGGACTCTCTTAATGCATAAACATGCCCCTTTGAGACTATGGCAGGATGGTTAAAAGATAACTAATTAATGATGTTAAACTGCAACCAGCCAGCCCCCATTCACAAGCATCCTGTTTGTAGGATCAAATAAACTTATGAAATGGGAACACAGTGGTAACTATTGTGATTCAGGATGCATTTATGTAATGGTTTTTCTTTTTGGGGGAGTAACTGTTGCAGTCTTCCATGTACCCTTTCTTAGTTACTTAGATGTGCAAAAATAAACAGGGATTTAATTTTTTTAAAAAAAGGATTACAGAAGCTCATATACCGTATTTTTCGCCCCATAGGACGCACTTTTCCCCCTCCAAAAATGAAGGGGAAATCTGGGTGCGTCCTATGGAGCGAATGCAGGCTTTCGCTGAAGCTTGGAGAGCGAGAGGATCGGTGCACACCGACCCCTCTCGCTCTCCAGGCTTCGGGAAGACATCCGCAGCGTGGGGAGCCCTGCGGGAGTTACCGCAGGGCTTCCCACGCTGCGGATAGCAGCCTGCCCCCCGGCACACGGCGCGCCCTGAAGCAGAGCGCCCCTCGCGCCGGGCAGACATCGGCCAGCCCCACAAGCTCGGGGGACAGCGGGGAGGCGCAGCGCCGCCATCCCGCTGTTCCCCAAGTTGGTTTTGGGGGAGAAATAAAGGAAAACATTTTTTCCTTTATTTCCCCCCAAAAAAACTAGGTGCGTCCTATGGGACGGAGCGTCCTATGGGACGAAAAATACGGTATGTGTCAGCAGCCAAACAGAAATCAAACAGAATTGGGGATAAAAAGCACCCCGTGGCACCCCACGGTGCAACTGCCAAAGGGGAAAACCTAATCCCCTAATGCTATTTACTAAATCCAGCCCCTTAGGTATGAGCGGAATCGCTTCAACACAGTGCCACCAACTCACAACACAGAAGTGGCCATAGTCAAAGGTATCAAAAGCTGCTGAGGGACCAAGCAAGAGCAACAAGGTCTGTCCTGCTTCTGAAGGACATCATGTATCAGGACACCCAAAGATGATTTTGTTCTCAAACAAGGCTCAAACCCAGACTGAAATGGGTCAATATCATCAGCTTGCTCTAAGAGTGTCTGCCAGCCCCCTCTCAAGCACCTTACCCCCCAAAGGGGATATTTGTGATAGGGTGGTAGTTGTCAAACACCTCAAGATCCAAGGAGGGCTTCTTTAGGAGCACTACTGCCTCCTTTGTGTACGTTTATAACATACTTTAGTTTCTGTATTTAATGAAAACCATGACATACCAGGATTAGTTGAAGAAACAAATACTGTGATATACAGTGGTGCCTCACAAGACGAAATTAATTCGTTCCGCAAGTTTTTTCTTCTTGCGAGTTTTTCGTCTTGCGATGCATGGTTTCCCATAGGAATGCATTGAAAATCAATTAATGCGTTCCTATGGAAACCGACTTCAGACCAGGTCCGGGGACAATCTGTCCCCCGACCTCTTCTGAAGGCTGGGGGGGGCGAAAGTCTTTGCTCCCCCCCCCCCACGGCAGCATTTTAAAATCGCCCCGGACAGCGGAGGACTTCTCCGCTGTCCGGGGCGATTTAAAAGCCCTCCCGGGAAGGCAGCCAGGGGGGACAAAGATTTTCGCCCCCCGCCAGCCTTCAGAAGAGGTCCAGGACCTCTTCTGAAGGCTGGCGGGGGGCGAAAATCTTTGTCCCCCGTGCCTGCCTGCCTCCCGGGAGGGCTTTTAAAGGCAGGCAGGCAGGCAGGCAGGGGGGACAAAGATTTTCGCCCCCCGCCAGCCTTCAGAAGGCTGGGGGGGGCGAAAGTCTTTGCTCCCCCCCCCACGGCAGCATTTTAAAATTTAAATGCTCCCCCCCGCTGTCCGGGGCGATTTAAAAGCCCTCCCGGGAAGGCAGCCAGGGGGGACAAAGATTTTCGCCCCCCGCCAGCCTTCCCCTCTTTTGAAGCAAGGGGCGGCAACGGGGAGAAGATCGCTTCTCCCCTTTGCCACCCCTTGCTTCAAAAGGGGTCGGGGGGGGGAGAGAGAGGAAGGCGCGCGCCTTTCCCTCTGTCCCCTCTTTTGAAGCAAGGGGCGGCAACGGGGAGAAGATCGCTTCTCCGCGTTGCCACCCCTTGCTTCAAAAGAGGTCCGGGGAGAAAGGGGAAGACGCCAGCATTTTAAAAAACCTCGGGACAGCGGGGGACTTCTCCGCTGTCCGGGGCGAATTTAAAATGTTGGCGGGCGGCAGCGAAGCCTTCGCTGCCGCCCGCCAGCATTTTAAAAAACCTCGGGACAAAGGAGAAGTCCCCCGCTGTCCCGGGGTTTTTTTAAATGCTGCTGGGCGGCAGCGCTGCCGCCCGCCAGCATTTTAAAATCGCCCCGGACAGCGGAGAAGTCCTCCGCTGTCCCGGGGTTTTTAAAAAACCTCTCCGCCCCCCGCCAGGCTTCAGAGCAGCCTTCCGAAGCCTGGCGGCGGGAGGAGGTCCGAGGACAGTGGGCAAGACGCCCTGTCCCGGAGATTTCCCTATGGGCTTTCGTCTTGCGAAGGAAGCCCATAGGGAAATTCGTTTTGCGAAGCGTCTCCAAAACGGAAAAACCTTTCGTCTAGCGGGTTTTCCGTCTTGCGAGGCGTTCGTCTTGCGGGGCACCACTGTATTTTAAAAGATTTCTAGATTTGTGTCTATGCTCGTAATTGTATTGGTCACACAGAATGCTTGTTATTAGCAACAGAGCAAATGCTAAAGATACCAGTGCACCTTGTAAAAGAAAAAAAGGCTTAAAAATACCTCTCTCTGAAATCCTGGAGAGCTACTGTCAGACAGGACTGTCCTCATTCAGGCACAATTGGTCTGGCTTGGGAAAAGGTAGCTGCTTATATCCTTCAGCGCCACAAAGAACTCTCTCTAAGAAAGGTTTCTTTTGGTATGTGTCCTGTTGGGTGCATTTGTTAACACAAGGAATTGTTTTAGCCACACAGAATGATCTTTGTATAGGTGGCTACAGTTTCCTTAAAAGTTTTGGAAGTGCTTCAAACTGTAGCTGGTTATATATTTACCCCAGCTACATGGTTGCAGCTGCTCCATGGCTGGATCTTCCACAGCTCTGGTAATATTTGAGTAACAGAGGAAGATCAGTGCAGCAGCAGGAGTGTTTAAATCAAGCTGTGTATATGTAAATACAGCTTGCATAGTGCAAGTAACCCCATCCTGAAGATTGTTAAAGCACACTAAAGCAATTTCAAGGTTGCCTTCCTGGTTCACAGTGAAAGCTTCTCTTCCTCCAATCAGTGACTGATTTGGAAGTCCCATGTTCTGTTTTGTATCCCATATCTACATTGCTTGCTCTGTGCTAGTATACCGACCACTGCGATCAAAACAGATTTCATGCCCTGACTTTCAAGGAAAAGAGATGGGGAAGTATCATTTTTAAATTTTTCTTGTGATCAGAGAACCTTTGCTAAGCATCAGGCAAAAACTATCATTCTTCCCACCTCTTCTCTTTCCTTTAGGAAAGGTTGGCAGGGAGCTTCTCTGGCTGCTTCTCCATAATAGGGCTCCTCTGATGAGCTTTGGTGAAGATGGCAGGGAAGGGGCAGGAACCTTGTGACCATAATTTTTGGCTTTGCAGCCAAGGCCAGCCAAAAAATATGGACCTCTGCACAGATGTCACAAAGTCAAATGCCTCCTCAAAGCTGTGGAAAGCAGTGATCTCCCTGTTCATATTTATTTGGTGTAATCCAGCCCATTTTAGCCACAATTCAGTTTTAGATCCCACTGACTTCAGTGGGAGACACGTATGTGGTTAGTTCTCTTTCTGAATTTAATTTAATTGTTCATTCAGATAAGCTTTTTTCCTTTTTTATTGAGGCAAACATGCTGCCAGATTTGAGCATGTGTGGACACATGATATTAGCTGTGGCTCAGCAAATGAGGGATCTGGAATAAGAAAGCGTTTCCCAGAACATTTCAACACCAGAGAGAGCGGAACTGTTCAGTGTTTGTTATTTGTTGTACCATGACTTTGAAATGAACTTATGATAAAGGTTATACTGTGTCTGAATGTTTGCTAATAAACTGCTTAAAAAGCAAATTGTGTATGGACTTGAAGAGTTGCAGCTGTGCTGTTAACAAAATAGGAACCTGACATGGGTCAAATCAGGTTTGTTTATGATACATAGATTCTTTGTATTCCTTCCCTTTGACCCACTTACAGTTAAAGGCACCTTATGGACACTTTTCTAGCTTTTAGTCATTCAAGGTCAGTGGGGCTACTCAGGGCAAAGTGGTTTAAGTTTTGACTCATGAAGCTCAATTCAGTGCATATTTACTGAGGGCTAAGTCTAATTCTGTTCAGTTATGCTAGGATTGCAGGGTTAGCTGAGAAAACTTCAATTCTGAAATGCTAGGCTATGTTTTCAGAATGAGTCATCTTCTGATTAGGTAGCAGTAGCTGTTTGATTCAGGGCCAAAACTGCATGAGAGACATGGCATCTATGGTGGGATCTCCCATTTTTATTTTTTATTTTGAAGTAATTTTAAGGGGATTCAATTTTTGTTGGAACAGTTGTGTGGAAGGAGCGAGAGATAAAAACTCCATGGCTTCATACTCCTTATCTAAATCTCCAAGGTGTTGCTTCACTGGTGGTTTGGCACTTGCTCTTGGCTGTGCAACTTAATTGGAGGACCTTCGTAAGACTTTCATAAGCAATAGTAGGCAAGAGAGTGATTCACATGGGAGTTACGAGTTGTCCTGATAATTTTTATTCTATGATTCTGGTTTTGAAATAACAACATGTTCTACCAGTGTATAGTCTACACATGATAAACTTTAGCACTGAGAGAGAACAGAGTGTTCTTTACATAACTGCAAGTCAGTCTGACAGCAAGGATAGCTAAGGCAAGAGATTCAAACAAGGCTTATGTTGTTTAGTCGTTTAGTCGTGTCCGACTCTTCGTGACCCCATGGACCAGAGCACGCCAGGCACTCCTGTCTTCAACAAGGCTTATAGTTTTGCCCTAAGACAATCCCCAGGTTCTGTGATGGAAATAAACAATGTGCATGCAGGAAATTGGCACAGACATACTTTAACTAATGTACTCTTATACTTCTTGTTTTAGGTTCACCTCCTGTTCCAAGATATAGAATTCTTCTCTAAGAATTGACAAAAAGGGGGAGAGATTATGAGCTAAGAGGAGTGTAGGGCAAGAACTAGGGTGCAGCGAGAAAAGGATGTATGAAGAGTAGGTGGGGTGGGGGATCTTCAAATTGCTAAGATTTATTGAGATTGAAAGGTACCTCTGGATATTGAAGGGTTCTCTCTTCTGCATTGAATTTTGAACTTCAGGTCCCTTTGTTTAAAGTTCTGACTTTAGAAATCCTATAATACTTCACCGCTTGCAAAAAAAAAGTGCACTTGCAAGGCTGAGATGACTGATGAATTTTCTGTCTGATGTACATCATTCCAACATCACATTAACCATGCTGTGCTGGGATAACATTGTATTGCATTGTTTGTATTGCTTTCTTTAAAGTACTTGTACTCTGCCCTTCCAGGCTTGTGGAAGGCAGCACACAATTAAAAAAATTAAATACCTTACATAACAGGGCTAACAGGATAGAGTAGTCAAACTTAAAAATAGCCCAGTTTGCTTCAGGTCGAAAGTGGATGTCAGATTTCTCCATCTGATCCATAGTCCCTTTGCTGTAATAGACTTCTACAGGAAAGTCCATTACTGATTGAAGTTTCTACTTGGATGACATAGAAGATATAATTTGGAATGGAAAAACCCTAGGTTGCAGACGTCGTTTTCCAAAATAGCCATTGTCATTCTCCTCCTATCTCATGAACCATGGCATCTACATCCATAAAATTATGCCAAACTGTAAGCTTTAAAATGTTTCCACAATAGCTTCTGCTCTGTTATTTAACATATACAATGCCAGTAATAACCAAAATATGTAGAAGAGAATCAGAAACTTTGGGGTGTACACTTCAAAATAAGCTTTGGGCCACCACAGATTATATGCCTACTCTTCTAGTAGAAAGTTCCCACTGAGGTAGCATTGCATTGCATTTCTCTCTGTATCTGTTTGGGGACAAGTTGTAGCCAACATAGATAGTGCCACATACCAATCATATCCAAAATAAACAAAATACTGGACTGAACTTGACTTGATACAGTATCGTAGAAGACACAGTCCTGGATGTATGAATATATGATTTGTGATGAACCAGAATGTGGAGTGTAAAGGAAGCTACTCTTAACAAATTCTGAAAATTGAAATTGTACTTCATGGTTGCAGTTGAATTTCAGGTTTTTAAACTTGAACCTCAATGTATGTGATATCATGAGTAGTCCTGTTTATATCATGTGATGAATTCTTGAGTGAAATTGAGTGTAATACATATAAAGCTGTATTGAAAGCAGTTTCTTTCACTATAATAGTATTTTGCAGCGACAAAAATACTATGTGTTCTTTTTATTGCAGGCATAATGGATAGGTAACAGGACATTGTCCTGCTGTGGTGCCAGAGAGTAAGAATGACGGAGTGCTTCCTGCCTCCCACCAGCAGCCCCAGTGAGCACCGCAGAGTAGAGCATGGCGGGAGTCTTGCTCGGACCCCGAGCTCTGAAGAAATCAGCCCAACAAAATTCCCTGGCTTATATCGAACTGGCGAGCCATCACCACCTCACGACAGCCTGCATGAGCCTCCAGATATTGTGTCTGATGATGAGAAAGAACATGGGAAGAAGAAAGGAAAATTTAAAAAGAAGGAGAAAAGAAGTAGGTAGTCCTCCTCCTCTTCCAATCTGTGTGCTACTAGTGTGCTTTTTAGTATTTACAGTTTGCTTTTCATGACTCAATACTTGTGTGCATGTGTTTTAATGTACAACACGATCCCATCTTGTGCACAGTTAACGAGTGTGATTTCAGTCTTGCGCAGTTGAAAGCAGGCCAGTTGAAATTGCGCGAATTAATTGCACACTTAAAAGCTCCTTTTGCGCTGGGGTTTCCCAGTGCGGAAAGAGCTTTTAAGCTCTCCATCTTGCTTACCAGGCAAGTCCTGCTCTGGGATGCTCTTGCAAGATCTTGTGGGAATGTGGATGCCCCCACGAGATCTCGCAAGAGCATCCCAGAGACCACAAGCTGAGCATGACTTACCCGCTAAGCAAGGCAAAGAGCTCAAAAGCTCTCTGCCTTCCTTGGGTATAAGGTCCATTTGGCACATTGGCTCAAGAAGGTAAGTATGGTCACACAGTGACAGTTTCAAGGGGGTGGGCTGAGTATATGCGCCATCTCCAGAGTGTAACCCTGTGCAAGATGTGATTATACTGTAGCCCTTTATATAATTTATTCATTTAGTTATCAACGTGTGTGGCACCACAAGTGTAAATGTATTTCATAAGTGTTACAGTTTTTTGTATGTAAATGTTTTCTAAGGAATAAGGTGCTATAAAATCTGTGCTAATTCTAATCAAATGTTTTGGTATGTGATGCCTTCGTATCCATCAGAGTCTTAAGATTATTTGTAAATCTGCTAAGGCTTTCATGACGTCTAAATGAGGACTATAAAAATATTTCCAAATTGCAGCAGTGACATCATGGCTATGGACCAGCTATCATACCTCATAATTAACTGAGGTATGAACAAGCCTCATGGAGCCACCTCAGTCCTTCCTTATGATCCAGGAAATAAGACTGGAATTCTCAGTTAACCTATAGTTTCCTGATAGGTTTGTACTGGGAAACTATGGTTAACAAATTCCAAACAAACCAGGATATTAAACCAACTTTAAACAGTGCCTTAGTATTCCTTGCTTGTTTGTAAGCATTAAGTGTAGTTTCCTGGTTTGGAAACAATGGGGAACCCTTGTTAATTGAAACTTGTTGACTTACTTGCCTGCTCATGCAAAGGGAGGAGCGAAACAGCTCTCTGCAAGTGTACGATACTCATTCATATCTTGGCTTCTTAAGCTAAAGAAATTACAGTCTAAAGCTAATGCCATCACTTTAAAACAGGTGGGGAACCATTTTCAGCCCAAGGGCTGGATCAGAAATTGGGCCACCCCTCCATGGGCCTCTTTTTAAGGTGGTTGGGGTAGATCAGCTTATTGGTTCTAAAAGCCCCCTTGAAGTTGTTCATTTACAGGTGCAGTTTGGTATGAAACCTTACTTTCAAATGGACATTTTTCCTTGGCATTTGCAGGTGCAAACGATTAAATATTTCAAGGGGGAGATAGCAGCAATGCCTTTTCCCAGCCCTGTGCATACTATGGCCACTACTACCATCCAACCTGTGTTTAATGTGTAGATAACTAAAGGCTGATGAATCAATCTTCTGTTCATTTAAAATTGTTGACATTAATTGCTCCCTTTGGTTTCCGTTGTGACAGATTCATTTATTGTCGAGCTATCTGAAAATAAATTAATTGCAAAAAATGGCATTAGCAGTAAAATTTCCAAAGACAACTGTTTTCTAAGCCTTGTCAAAAAGTTCTGAAATTGCTTCTCTAATTGTATTGGGAGTTATGGCTTTTGGCATTTTTATCCACATCCACTGTTTCAGTGCTAATTCTACTACATCTGTTCTTCTACAAGTACCATAGCTGTCAGAATGGCTGCTTGATAATAATTTTTTTTTAGGGACTGCTAGTTCTCCAATTTAAATTTAAATTTTGGAGTATCTTTGATTGCAAGTTACATTTTATCTTGGTGCCTTGATCTGTGGTGAACATTCTGTTCTGTACTGTGATGCTGTTATATTTTTGTGTATACAGAGGTATCAGTAGGCATTCAGAAAAACTCAAGATGCTTAGCTTCAAATTATGGGTCTAATATTTCAATAGCTGTTTATTTATTAAATATTTTAAACAAATATGAGAGCCCAGAATTTCAGACTTCAAGTGTGTGTTTTTCCTTCTTTTAAAAGTGGCAGCATTGTTTGCCCGCTGGTTTTTGAAGTAATGTGAAGAATTAGAGTTTCTTAGAGCAGAAGGCTATGAATGTTTGCTTGGAAATAAATCCCACCATGTTAGTGGCGCTTACTCCAAAGTAAGTGTGCATCCCTAGGTCATTTTGGATTTGATTTTTAGTGCAGGACTGCAACTGTTGGGTCAAGGCTTGGTTACTCTCGGTCCTGGGGTGTAGCAGAAGGCAAGAGATAAAGAAAACCAATTTGTGTAAAGGATTTGGGACATACAGTTCAGCTAAAGGAATGGGTTAAATAGAGATGTGATATAGTGGAATACTTGCTGGAAACAAGGGCCATTGGTCCAATCGGGGATCTTTTAATCTGGGGATGTTGGGTCAGGTCTTTACTGTACTGAGGCATTTCCCAAATCCCATCTTTAGTGAGACAATGGTAGGGTCTTCTCATAACAGAGAAGTTAAAAGTCATAATTTGGGGTTTGTTAAAACATTTTTTTAAAAAAAACCAAAGGCCGGAAAAACATGATTTTCTTCTTCATTGAGCATGTTTTTAAAAGGCTGTACCATGGTGGTCTATTTATGGACCATATATTTTAGTTCCAAGTTGGTCTACATCTGTGGATACAGAGCTCTTACCCCCACTTTGGTGGCCTGACATTCATGCTGGAATATCACTTCAGCGCTCTAGCACAGTGGGTCTGCGTAACTCACCCAGGGCACCATCCACATAAAAACTACCATAAATATATCAAAATTTTCAAAAGTAGGGTTCACGGCTTGGCTTTTGAAAAAACAGTGGGTCCACAGTACTTAGCTAATTGGGAACCAATGCTCTAGCAGGTTCTCCATCAAATTTAGTTCAGGGGTTTTTTTTAGCCATTTCCTCCTCTGTCTTAGCATATGTGCTGCAATAAGTGATGGGTGTGTTTTAGATATTTGTTTTCTTGTTCTTCCCTACAGGGTAGGCAGGGCTAGTTGCAGAAGAGGTGTAGCTTATTGGACTCCTGTGCATTTATTTCAGAGGCAGCAAAGTAAAGCACCTGATAATTTGCAGCAAAAGCTTTGTTTGTCTTATGGCTGTGGAATTGAACTCTCTTGTGCAGTTTACATAATCCAAAGGGGCACATGTAGTTAGAGATTTGTCAGGATGATTGGGACGACTTTGCCCATGGAACTGAAAAGTAAGTTATTTCTTTTTAGAGGTTGTACATTAATTTTTTACATTGTAGAATATCTGGTTTGCCTAGAATATCTGGTCTAGCCTTTTTATTCCAAGCAGTTAACTTAGTGGTTTTTGCAATGCAATCCACTTCTCATTGAAGTCAGTAGCAACGCTCTCACTCATTTTAATGCAGCAGGATTGTATTATTTGTATTTTTTGCAGGTTGATTTTCAGATGTGCTTGTAAAGATGTTGAACTGATGCCATGACAGTGTGTTATATTCACTGCAAAAATACATATATTTTGACATTCTAATTTTAATAATAATGATTCTTATAATTAATATTTATGATGAAAATAACAAATGTGCAAGTTCAAGAAGTTCTAACTAATTTTCTATACTTTTTGCAAGTATGAACAACTGTGTTATAATGCTTCTTAAATAACAAATGAAAGTTCGAAAATTATTTCCATTTATATTAATGGAAAATGTGTGCTGTTTGAATATCGTTTCTGATTGCAATGGTTATTAAATAATTTTATTAACTTCACTTTCATACAACTCTTCTTCCAAGGAACCCAGGGCAGGACAGTGTACATGCCCCACCTACACACAGACACACACTAATCCTTATAATAACTTTGTTGAGGTAGGTTAGGCTAAGATATGGTTACCAGCCAAATGGCATCCATTAAATTTCCAAAGCTTAGCATGGATTTGAATCTGAGTCTTCCTGCTCATATTCTGCTTCTTATCCGTGAGACCCTCCTGGTGGTAATAGAGACTAGCAATAGCTCTTCTACTCATCTTCTACAAACTCTTTTGCCACCATAATGAGCTTTATATATGCACTCATTCATAAATTATCACATATCCCTGTTTGCCTGTTGGCCATCTAAGAAAATGGTAACCAAACTGGAAAATTCATGCAACAGGATGCAAGTGTCTACCCAAGAAAAATCACATAGGCCTGAATCATATACAAATTTCAAGATTCTCTGCACATTCTGTTTTTTTACAAGTCTACAGCAGATCCTGGAATATTGCTAAAGGTTTAAGATAAGCAGATATGTGCCTTTCATATCACTTTACCGCATCAGTTCTGTATTGATTTTGATGTTACATTTTACTTTAGGAGGAAATGATGAAAAACATTCAAGTGCCAGTACTAAGTTTACTTACCAGGGAATAACTCCACTGAACACAATGGAATATTCAAGCCTTGGCTTAGGCTTGCATTGCAAGTTGGAGTTAAACTTCAAACTGTACATTTTTGCATATTTTTGTCAGCAGGTAATCATGTGATTCTGCTTGTGTATCTCTCCTGAAAAATGTGTATGAAGCTTTCCTACCAGAGTAATATTTTTTAAAATTCATATACATTCTTCAGGGGAAGAAAATACATCAGAATTGTATCCAAGTCCTGCATAATTCTGCAAATCTGTGTATGTAGCACATTATTGCTGAGCATTTTCCTGCCTTTTGGCTTTTCTAGGTAGATTATGCATTTGATATTTTCCCTCCTTCATGTCTTCCTTTTTCTCTTTAACAGCGGAAGGCTATGCAGCCTTCCAGGAAGACAGCTCTGGGGATGAAGCTGAAAGCCCCTCCAAGTTAAAGCGCTCCAAAGGGATCCACGTTTTCAAGAAGCCAAGTTTCTCCAAAAAGAAGGAAAAAGATTTTAAGATAAAAGAAAAACCCAAAGATGAAAAACATAAAGAGGACAAGCACAAGGAGGAAAAACATAAAGAGAAAAAATCTAAAGACTTGACAGCAGCGGATGTTGTGAAACAATGGAAAGAGAAGAAGAAGAAGAAGAAACCAGCTCAAGAGGCAGAGATACCGCAGGTGGATATTCCCAGGCCTCGCCCTGTGTTTGGTATCCCTTTGGCAGATGCAGCAGAAAGGACCATGTTGTATGATGGCATCCGCCTGCCAGCAGTTTTCCGGGAATGTATAGATTACGTAGAGAAATATGGCATGAAATGCGAAGGCATCTACAGAGTTTCAGGTATAGTGGCCCAAATGAAGGTAGCTTTCCTCTGCTTTGCCTCCTGTCTTTTGACCCACCTTCACATTGCCCAAAACTTCATGTGACTTTGTAAATGCCTGCAGCTTCCTAAAACCAAATGTGTTTAGCTGCTGTTGTATTTAGGCTAGCTCTAAATTTAAGGCTGGAAGGATTGCTGATAAGCAGGTATAATTGAAAAATGATTTATCCTGCTTATACATATTAACATTCAAGAGGTTAAAGACACAATTCTATATACACCTGCCATGATTGCTGCTGTGTAAATGTTCATATTTTTTTTATCTAGTTCATAAAATTTATAAATTGCTTGATTGTGGGTGGTTTTTTTAACAAGTTACATATATTACCACTGCAATTAAGACTGCAAATTTTATGCCCAGTTTCCTAGAAGTAAGCCCTTTGAATTTGACTGGATTTCCTTTTCAATGAACATATAAGATTATGTCGTAAGTTAGCAAATCTAGTCTTTTGCATTTGAGGGCACAGTGTCTTATCAGATCCATTAAAGTCATGCATCCCTAGAGTGGCACTGATTTCCAAGCGATTTCCTCAGCCATCTGCCACAACCTGCTTGCTGAGTAGAGCAATTGAAAAACAACAACAACATGGTTCAGTCTTTGTGATAGAAAGAGAAAATTGGCACATGGCACTTCCCAACTGCATTCCTCACAACGCTTGCTCTGGAATAGTGACTTCAGTATGTATAATGGTATATAGTGGTGTAAGTAGCTTGAGGACTGTGAGAATATAACCTAATCAGAGATGTTAAGAACCTAGCAGTTGTTTGCTATATATTTTTAATTATTTTGTATAAAAGATTCAGTGCTAGCAAGTAAAATAGTGATTTGTCAAGTGGCATATGGTAGGGAGAGAACATATTCTTCAGCTGTTTTCCCCTCCTACACTTTCATTTTGACTTTCTTCCAAATGGAATTTATACACAAAGTCCTCATTAGCTGGTATCTTGAAAAAACAGGGGAAATGTTGCAATAGCAGTTGAGGATTTAGCTTGGATTTGAAGAAAACACCCTGGTGGTAATGCCAAGATAATTAGCAGCCACAGTAGTTGTGTAACCCTTGATCCACATAAAAGTAACAATGGTTCGAGTCATTTATTTAATTATACAGCTGTATTTTGAATTGTGAATGCCACCTGTGAGAGGCATCATGCCCGTGATCGAAATGCAATGCACGAGCTGTTTTGACAGGAACTGAAATGCAAATTCCAAGGCAGAATTTAAAGACAAAACTGCACAGGAAGTAAATATTTTGAAGAGATGTTTAGTGCAAACATTGCACATTGGTGATACATAAATATGAAAGCATAGCCACACTTTTATTGACACTATGTCACTATTTCTTGCAGAAATATAATTTTCTGATCTTTGAGGTTCATAGGTTTATATCCTTTACTATGCCAGGCCATGCTACAGTATGATCATGACAGTGTAAAGTGTCCTTCTCTGGGTAGTAGATAGGGATACTGCTTGGAATTTAAGCTTGAAAGGGAATTTGTGCAAGCATTGGAAAGTGTTCGGGCAAGTCTGAACAATGCAGAGAAGTAAAGTACTCTGATTATTTATTTTTTACTAACCTGCTAGTTTTTAGCTAGCCATGGAGGAGGGAAAGCCCCTCCTCTTAGCAAACTGGTGGTGTGGATAGGTGTTTAAGCCTTCTGCATTTCTGTGCCTTTCCTTCCTCTATGGCTAGCATGGAAACCGAACATGCAGGCAGAGGACAGCAGAGCAGTTTGTCTCTCCTCCACCAGTGTGCTCATTCACCAGCATAGAATTCCATGCATTTGCCTGCATGGAATTTTGGTGGCCTGTGATGACCAGGTGTGTTCTTAGAAATAAGGATTATAAGTGGATAGTGTACAACACATCAGACACATCAGAACATGGGTGTGGTATTTTATTATTAAACAAATTAAAGGGATGGTCGGAATTCCAAAATCAAAAAGTCACCATCCAACCACTCTCTCTGCTGTTTCTCCTCTACCTGCTTTTGCTGTAAATTGGAGACCCTGGATGCACCCACAAAATACACAAAACTATGGTTTAAGTCCCAAGGATGAGCCTGAGTGACTTGTCAGGCTTGCATGCATCGTTCTCTTCCGTCATGGTCTTGAGGTGCATTTTGACAGAGTTTAGTTTCACAGAATCCTGGATCGTTACTACATTTGAAACATGGATTCTAATTTAAAACAAACTGGCAAGTTTCTGCTCTGAATAAAACTTACTTGAGAACTTTCCCCAGTGTTTTGTGACTTTGCAAAATGAACATAGTGATTTACATGTGTGATTGCTCTATTTTTGTTTGTTTTTGGAATTATTTTGTGAAATCATTCAAATTTTTTAATATTTTTTTTAGGAATTAAATCAAAGGTGGATGAGCTAAAAGCAGCATACGACCGAGAAGAATCCCCCAACCTGGAGGAGTATGAGCCTAACACTGTAGCCAGCTTGTTGAAGCAGTACCTGCGTGAACTCCCTGAGAACTTGCTTACCAAAGAGCTCATGCCTCGCTTTGAAGATGCTTGTGGGAAGAGCCTGGAGGTTGAGAAATTGCAGGAGTGCCAGCGTCTCCTGAAAGAACTACCCGAGTGTAACTATCTCCTAATTTCTTGGCTGATTGTGCACATGGACCATGTAATTGCAAAGGAACTAGAAACAAAAATGAATATACAGAACATTTCCATAGTACTCAGCCCAACTGTTCAGGTATGCATAATAGGCTCTCTCTTTCCCTACTTCTCTCTCTCTCTATAAATATATATATCAGTGGTTTTCAGACTTATTTCTCTGGGCCAATTTCAGAATAATAATTTGCTCTTGCCACACTGAATTTTTAATTGATAAATACATTGGGACACAAAAGAAGCAACAACTAGCAGTGCTTCATTTTGAAAAGATCTATCCATATTCTGCAAATAAATATATATATTCTGGTGCTATACTATACTACACTGGAATGTTTAGGTGTTTGTTTGATTGTCCTTTAATCTTCCTGCCACACTTGCTATCCTTTCCTGCCACACCAACGCACCAACGTAGCATGCCACACTCTTTGAGAACCACTGCACTCTCTATATTCCTGCCTACATCCATATGTTGCTGAAGGTAAGCAGAGTTGGAATCTGCGTAGGACGAATATAGAAGCTGTTTTGACTCTTCAGAGGAAGAGGGGATGTAAATGTAATTAATTGTGCACCAAGCTATCATTTATAGTTGGTTGGGAACAACAAATCAAACTTAATGACGTTCTGGTAGTACCCAGTCACCCTCTTACATAATCCAGACCAGTCTGCAACTATCAGAGAGCAGGTGTACAGTAAAATGGTAACTGCAGAGCCCATCGTTCCAGATCGTGTTCAGGCACGTTAGACACTCCTAAAGTGGGACTGTGTTAGTTCTCTTTGTGTCCTCCTCCCCAGCCTCCCAAGGTCTAGAACAGAATGGATCTTTGTTTTGGTTGAGGGTTTATTTGACATACCCTAAAGTTATACATAATTTACCATTCTTCCTGCAATGTTTTAATGGCTCTCTATTCATTACTTCTGTTCTCTCAATTAGCATTGCAGGGAAAGAAAATTATGTAAACGAAACCCAGCTTTACCAAGCAGCAGCAACTTTTGAGATTTTGAAGCTTAAAACAGCCATCCTTTCTTTGATATATTTAGTAATGTCTTTACAATCTTGGATATTTTTGAAATCAGAGGCCACTGTCTTTGGCATCCCAAATGGTTGGCATTTTAAACCTTTGGCCATTCAGGCATGAGAAAGGGTTGCAGAAAATATACTTTCTAGGTATTAAGTCCCATTGAACAAAGTGAACTAACATTTGAGTACACAAGGGCTACACTGTTAGTCATATGATAATTTACATATATCAGTATAAAAGCACTAGAACCTGGACTTTTGCTAGGTACTGAGAGCTTAACCACCTGCTACCTTCGCATCTCCAAATTTAGATCACATATGTTGATCTCCTTCCAGAATGAGTAATTACAGTAATCTCATTTTAATTTTATTACTGAATAATGATGCTGTCAAACCAGTTGTTGAAGTGCTAAACAAGATATTCCGGTTGAAACTCCTTTTGTGCAATGTATCAACTAAAGTCAAGACAAAAATCAAATCATTTGATAGTGTTATACTTTTTGTTGTTTAAATTTATTCCATTATATCTTTGAATTTCAATTATTCCCAGTTGAGAATTGAAGTCTAGGTAATATTTGTTTTTTTCATATCACTGCCATTTTTATATAATCCAATGAGAGAGTGAAGCCTTTTGAGCATGTGGATTAGGCAATGTTCTTTGATGTCTTTGCTTTGCTCCATCTTCCTTCTTAGCAGCCAACATAAAATGAATGCAACATGGTATTACCCTGTCATATCTTGTTATATATGTAGGATTAAGTTCAGTTAAAGTCATATATTTCTAGACTCCAGATTTTTTATGGAAACTAATGTGACAGCTAGATTCCAAAACAAATCAGTTTTCAAGGCCATGAAGAGTAGTATCTCTTCTCAGTGTATACTTCCTTGTGTTTTTTAAAATGACTGACAAGTGATAAAAAATACTTTATGCTTTGAATATTCTTATTATAGGTAGGGAGTTAAAAAGGCACTTTTTAAAATGTTGCAGGTATACAAAGTACTACAAAGTACTAAGACTTCATAGAGAGGATATAAATCAATGTTTTAACCCAGCTGGAGATTCTGAAATTGACAGTATAAAATTTTAGCAAATATTTTGCTTACTAAGAGTTCTGACATTTTTGGGATTGCAAGACATAAAGTTAACACTTTCTCTGGGATCCATTTCCTAGTGCTTAGACGTAACAAAGAAGGCTAACAGCACAGGGTCTTTATTAAAAAAAACCCTGCTCTTGCCTGTCAATTTTAGGAAGTTTGTAGGAACAGACTGGATGGATGTCTCTGGTTTTCTGTTATGTAAGAGCATCAAACTGGGGCATTAGGATTAAGCGGTCAGAAGTGCACGTTTGACACGTCACCTTCATAATCCATTTATATTAACATGTTGAATAATAGTATTGCTGTTATTTTACACTTCCAAAGCTCCTAAGATTTTCTAAGCCTATATGTGTGTTAAAGATAAGGCAGACACAACATCTCATAATCAAAAGGAATGAGAAAGGGAGAAGTAAGCAAGCATTGGAGCAGCTGTTCCTTCTCTGATCAATGAATTAATCTTCTGTTTGCCATGGTGTTCTTCCTGGGAGGCAGGGGGTGCAGCCTCCCATTGGTAGAGTCCAGAGTCTTCTTCCCTTTTGTTTTGTAGTACTAGAGCAACTGGAGTTACAATGCAGTTGGTATTGCCTAAATAAGAGAAGTCCAATGGTGCCGTTTTATCGTAAAGCCAAATCCTGGTGAAAAGAACAAAGGAAAGATTGTCAGAAAGGTTTTTGCAACTTCCCTTTGTGGATTCTTCTACTGTTCTAGAACTACCTGTCATTTAGTCCATCCTTGGCCTCTTCTCAGAACCCCTCCCATATCAGGCTAGTGGAGATGAACTCAAATATTGATTTCAATCATGTTGCACTGGAAGAAAATGTACTGCTATTGCAGAGCAGAACACTCCACATTACTCTTAAAGGCAGGTCAAGCCAAAAGTTTAAAGTAAAAAGTAAAACAAAATAAAATTGTAAGATCATTTACTCAGCCTTTCCTGGATGAAAATTTCTCTTTGCCTGAAGGTGGCAAATGGTCAGACCCCAACGTTTAAACAAAAAACACATTTACTAGATTCCTTTGGAGCCTTTACAGTTATGGAGTTAACAAACAGTAGCAACAGCCTGGAGTTGTTATTAAAGCCAATTTGGAACTTAATTCTTATTTGCTGATGGTTACAATTGACATAAATGAGTAACTTGTTTAGGATCAAAGAGTCGACCATTACATTTCCGCCCAGATAGTTGTGTGATATTTTTTTTAGGGGAAACAACGCAGTTTTAACATGATTACATTAGATTTTAACATGATTACATTTCAACAGCTAATTATTTTTAAACATGATCTCTGCGTCTTTAGCCTGTTCAGGAAGTTACAGGAAGGAATATCTTAGGTCTGTTAAGAATTATTTAGCATCTATGCTGTGGATGTTTGCAGACCAAATGATTAGAGAGGAAGATCAAAAGTAGTAATTTGACTGTTACGTCTTTTCAGATCAGCAACCGTGTCTTGTATGTGTTTTTCACACATGTTCAAGAGTTCTTTGGAAATGTAATTCTGAAACGGGTGACAAAGCCTCTACGCTGGTCTAACATGGCAACAATGCCAGCATTGCCTGAAACACAGGAAAGCATCAAAGAAGAAATTAGAAGACAGGTTGGTGCACTTGTACTTTTCTTGGCTCTTTCAGTTGAATTATTATATTGAAACAGGGCAAATTTCATACTGACCAGACAAATAATCATACAGGAGAAATTATCTTCATTTTATAAGAAATAAGTTTAGGTTTTAACATAGGATGTGATACATCTCAACTACAGAGTTGCTTCTCCTACTTCTTTAATAAAAGAGGTGGTGAAGAAGGCTCCAGAATTTTTTGACTGGAAAGTAAGAAATAAATAAAGGAGGAGCCTCAAGCTTCCCCTCCCATTGTAGACAATTGTGTGTTGGGGGGCAGGGGAATAACATGGCAGGTTTACACCAGCTATCAGCAGCTACTACTCACAATGGCTATGTTCTGCCTCCACTATGCTTCTGAATGCTATTCTGGGACTCACAAGTGGGTAGACTACTATTGCATTCAGATTCTGGTTTTGGGCTTCCCATAGACATCTGGTTCGCCATTGTGATAGCAGGATGCTGGATGGGCTGCTGGCCTGATCCAGCAGACTCTTCTTATGTGCTTAAAAAAAATTAAGCTTAGAAAGTGAATAATATTGCTGAATATGGTGTGTGTTTTACTAGGAATTCCTGTTGAATTGTTTACACCGAGACCTACAGGCGGGGATCAAAGATTTATCCAAAGAGGAGAGATTATGGGAGGTGCAAAGAATTTTGACTGCTCTCAAAAGGAAGCTAAGAGAAGCTAAAAGACAAGTGAGTTTCTTTGTATGTAACCCACGTGAATTGGACAGGAAGAGTACTCTCATAATTTCTAAGCTGCCTCATTTGGTTTTTTGCTTTGGTGATAGAAATAGTAGCTAACATTGTCTTAATCAAAATACCATGCTATCCCTGACAGGGGAGACAGAGCTGTTCTTCCTTTCTTCTATGGAGGCTTTTAACTAGTCTAGTGTGGGATTGTTTATAGTTCTTAGTTCTGATGGATCAAAATGTCTCACAGCATATTACTTCTTTTCCCCATCCTTAAATAAGAGGCTCCCTTTGACCATTGCCGTCCAGCATAGTTGTCCTTACTTAACACAGCATCAGAGGCAGGGATTCAAGTTCCTTAAAACACTGGGCACTGCTGCACATCAACAGTGGTTGAATTCCAGGATCTCATTATTGGGATCCTTGGTAGCCTATCCTGTAATAATGAATGGCCTGGTGTACCAGCATGGTATCTGATAATGATAAAATTGTGTGTATTCCTGATATTTCACTTCTAAACCGTACTGAGTTTCTGTTGCAAAGGCATGGAATAGAAATGTTGCACTAGATGACTGCTCTTCTCTTGGGACGCTTACAGTTTCTGGCTCTCAGTTTCACAGTTTGGTGTTTGAGCTTCTTACAAGGTTACCTTTCAGACTTTTGTTGTAATTGCCTTGGGCTTTATTGGCCAATGCCTTTTGTGTGGTTAATCACGATATCTTCAGGTATGTGAAAATGTCTGCTTGCCACAGTGCATAAATCAACTGATCTGTCTGCTGGGGGAACCCACAGTCTGCTTGTTCACAGAGAATCAAAAGCAGCTGCACAGATTTAACCGCCATCTGTCCTAGAAGGGAAAGCAAGTGATTAACCTGACCCACTAATGCTACTTTAGGAAGTTTGAAAAACTTCAGATATTTTCTCAGTATAATAACAGCACAAAAACCTCTGTGAGCTCCTGTTTAGATACAATTTCATTTAACCATATGGCTATGTTTGGCAGTGGCCATTAATCAAGATTTTTTCAATGCAGGAGTGTGAAACAAAGATTGCACGAGAGATTGCCAGCCTTTCAAAGGAGGATGTTTCCAAAGAGGAAATGAATGAGAATGAAGAAGTTATTAATATTCTGCTCACTCAGGTAGTTTCTGATGTTGAATGCACTATTTTTTATTTTTCTTCCTCTTCTTCTTCCCCTTTTCACTATTCATTAAGGTAACATTTAACTGTTGCCAAACTGACTTTGAGAGAAACGGACATTCATATTTAAAGAATTCTTTGATACTTTAAGAATTCTTTGTTACTTTAACGAAACTTTAATTTATACAGTGAGGGGGGAAAGTATTTGATCCTCTGCTAAATTTGCCCGTTTGCCCTCTGATGAAGAAATGACCAGTCCATAATTTTAATGGTAGGTTTATTGTAGCTGTGAGAGACAGAATAACAACAGGGAAAACCCCAGAAACCCTGAAGACAAAAGTCAGCTACTCAAACCTTCAGCTCCCTCCACAGATTTTCAATGGGATTAAGGTCTGGAGACTGGCTAGGCCACCCCAGGACCTTCATGTGCTGCTTCTTGAGCTACTCCTTTCTTGCCTTGGCCATGTGTTTTGGGTCATTGTCATGCTGGAATACCCACCCTCGACCCATTTTCAATGCCCTGGCTGAGGGAAGGAGGTGCTCACCCAAGATTTGACAATACATGGTCCCGTCCATCATCCCTTCAATGCGGTGAAGGTGTCCTGTCCCCTTACCAGAAAAACACCCCCAAAGCATTATATGTCCCCCTCCATGTTTGACGGTGGGGATGGTGTTCTTGGGGTCATAGGCAGCATTCCTCCTCCTCCAAACACGGCGAGTTGAGTTGATGCCAAAGAGCTCGATTTTGGTCTCATCTGACCACAACACTTTCACCCAGATGTGCATTGGCAAACTGCAGACGGGCCTGTACATGTGCTGTCTTGAGCAAGGGGACCTTGCGGTCTCTGCAAAACCTCAGTCCTTCATGGCATAGTGTGTTACCCACTGTTTTCATGGTGACTATGGTGCCAGCTCCCCTGAGATCATTGACAAATTCCCCCCTTGTAGTTCTGGGCTGCTTCATCACCGTTCTCATGATAATTGCAACTTCACGAGATGAAATCTTGTATGGAGCCCCAGACCAAGGGAGGTTGACAGTTATTTTGTGTTTCTTCCATTTGCGAATTATCACCTTCTCACCAAGCTGCTTGGCAATGGTCTTGTATCCCAGTCCAGCCTTGTGCAAGTCTACATTCTTGTCCCTGACATCCTTGGACAGCTCTTTGGTCTTGGTCATGGTAGCTACTTTGGAATCTGATGGATTGATTGCTTCTATCGACAGGTGTCTTTTGTACAGGTACTGTAACGAGCTGGGATTACAGGTAAGACCTCTCCCTTACAGCAGGTGCTTCTAATTTCAGCTCGTTACATACAGTGAAGATACCAGGTAGCCTGACATCTGGCTGGTTGATAGGAGATCAAATACTTATTTCACTCATTATAATGCACATCAATCTCTGACTTTTGTCTTCTTGGTTTCTGGGGATTTTCCTGTTGTTATTCTGTCTCTCACAGCTACAGTAAACCTACCATTAAAATTATGGACTGGTCATTTCTTTGTCAGAGGGCAAATGGGCAAATTTAGCAGGGGATCAAATACTCTTTCCCCCCCCTCACTGTAGGTGCATTCTAATTAATCTTATTGAGCATCTGAAAGGTGGGGCAGGGATCGCTAGAAAGATGTCATGCTTAGTTCCAGATGCTCATTTTGTTTGTGGTGACCTTGATGAGCACCTGATGAGGCTGGTGTAACTGCTTGCTCATCCCAAAATGGACCCTTCTTAGCTCAGACCCCTGGGATCCTCACTATTTGGGAGTGGAGGGGGAAGACAGTGATTTCAACCACTGGCTTCTGAGTTAACAAAGTTGTTACAGAAATGTTGTTAATTCAAGATAACAGGATGCCCTTTCAGTAGTTGCTGTATGGGTTAATTTAATGAATTGCTGCCTTCCAGCAGCCCCTGCAATTTCTGGCACTACACTGGCCATCCCTACTAATGCTGCTTGTTCCTCAGCTACCTGTAGGAATCCCATGTCCATTCTTTACCATCCTTGGTTTTTTTTAAATTTCTGGTCATGCACCCCAAAACAGTCCCTTAGGTGCCCAAGTAACACCCACCTCCCCATTTATTCTTCCTATGTCCCAATCCTAGCTTCATTAAAAGAGAAAATTGTGGTCCAGGGCAAGGTTATCAAAATACTGTAACTATGGTAAGTCAAGCTTAAATCATGCGGTACAGCCCAAACTCCACCAGGCCACCCCACATTTGCTTATTCAGGATTTCTGTGGGATGTAGTGCTTCAGTTTTCCACTGGAGCTGAGAGCATTCAAGTGGTTAGGAGTCAGGAGAGGAAGTAGAGCTTCCTAAATGGTGGTTTTGTACACTAAAGAACAAACAGTATATTGAACTTCCTCCCATAAAGTTGTGCAGTTGGTGAGATAAATGCCTTGGTCTGGAAAATTATATGGGGAGATGTCTTGGCACGGCAATTTTTATGCTTTCTTTCCCAGTCAGCATCCTAACCATCTCTTCCCTTCTCCACCCCCTGCCCAGCAGCTTTAGAAGCTATAGTTCATGTGTTTAGTCAAGAAAGGAAGGGTAGCAATTGCAGTGTAATATCCCTGATCCATAAACCAAAGGCTTAAGTAATCTAATCTTTTGCAGGAGAACGAGATTTTGACAGAACAAGAAGAGCTGCTGGCAATGGAGCAGTTTTTGCGCAGGCAAATTGCCACCGAAAAAGAGGAAATAGATCGCCTCCAAGCAGAAATAGCGGAAATTCAAAGGTAACAACCTCTCTGGAATCAAGCTTTCTGAATTCTAAAATAATATTTTTAAAGCAATATGCTCGTACTGGAGTGTGATGGAAGGATAATTACATTGCACCCTTTGGCTATTTTTGACTACATCATCCTAACACTACACTTTGGCTTGAATCTTAGTAAAATACAGTAAACTTAACAGGCTGTTGAATTTTACCCTATTAACAGAAGTGGTTCTATGTTTTAGTGGTTCTGTAAGTAGCTTCTTGAAAAGTGTTCTAAGTGTAATATTTGAAAGTATATGTTTAGTCACACTTCTCCATATACAGTATACCATACAGTAAACATGAATTTGTGCTCCAGATCATGTCCATTATGTGGCAATTGATTAATGCTGTATAGCAATCTAGGCAAACAGTGAAGTAAGCTTTCATCTGTTTTAGTCGGCAGCAAGGTCGAAGTGAAACCGAAGAATATTCTTCTGAAAGTGAGAGTGAGAGCGAAGATGAGGAAGAGCTACAAATAATCTTGGAAGACTTGCAGAGGCAGAATGAAGAACTGGAGGTGAGACTGCAGTACTGCAAAATATTTATTCATTGAACTTTTTGTAGAGCTTAGAGGTTTAATCAGGAGAAGGATCAGAATATTTATGGCAGGTCTGTGTATGTCATCTGGAAACACAGCCTCTGATACGCCTCATTCTGTCACCTAATGAATCACAACCTGTTTTTGGCAGGCATGAGGTTGTTTTCCTTGAAAATGTCTTGAATATATGTAGTTCTGCTACAGTGCTGGCAATTTTCAGGGGGGTGGGCAGATATCGTGGTTAACTCCTTTTTACTAGTTTCCATTGCTTTAGCTTGGGAAATAGAAAAACAATATTGGAGCTACATATATGTTGTTAGGACTAGTGATACATTTCAACTGAATTGCTGCCTTACTGGTTTGACAAGTATAGAATAGACATTTTCAAATACTGGGTGTGTCTTCAGATCTAAAAACATGCTTAATTGCTTTATTATATTTTACAATAACTTGAATATCTTATGTAACTTAATAAATATTAAAATTATAATTAAAAATGTGGAAGGGTGGACACTTAAAAGATTATATTGTACTATTGCCACATTTATATTGCAAATTATGACTCTTGCCCTTCCTAGTGTTGCTTTTGTAATCTTTAATACACCTTCCCTGCTGGTCTTCCCAGCACTGGCAAGGAAGTTGTATTATCTCTGTAATCCATTCAGAAACCTCGAAGGTAGGTCACTATTGTCTCCATATTGCAGGTGGAAGAGTGAGGCTAAGAGACAGTGACTCAACTAAGTCAACCCTGTACTAACTTTCCTGAGAGTAAACCCCACTGAACCTGGGATTTCACTTCTAGTACAATCTGAACTAGGGATTTGCATCTCACATTCAAAGCCACCATGTTACCTTCATTTTTGTAATACTGTGGGCACATAGAAATTCAGAGTAAAGTGAAAATGCAAACTGTATAAACAAATGTAATTTCCCAGTGAATGCTAGGGAGGAAAGACTCACAGTTAGGACCTTCTCTAGAGGGAGTTAGCAGCAACTTGTGTCGCTGTTTAATCTCCTGTGGTTATAAATACCCAGTTCCTCCTGGGCTGGATTTTCCACGCGCCTCATTTCTAACCCTTCTCCCATGAACATACTTGTGCCCCTTCCAAGGAAAAGTTACATTGTGTGATGCTCTATTAACGATTCATTAGCCACATAAGTAGCTGTTTGTAGCTGAAGTGACCCTCCCCCCTCCCTCCCTCTTGTGCTGGATAAAGATTAAGAACAACCATCTGAACCAAGCGATTCATGAAGAGCGAGAGGCCATCATTGAATTGCGAGTGCAGCTCCGGCTCTTGCAGATGCAGCGAGCAAAATCGGAGCAGCAGGTGCAGGAAGAAGAGGAGCTTGAGAAACGGGCAGGCGCATCCCAGCAGCAGCAGCAGCAGCCCCAGCCGCCAAGAGAAACTGTCCCGGAGACAAAAGCAGCGAAAGAGCAGCCAAAGGCAATCAAGGAGCCAGTGAAGCCATCGCCAAGCAAGGAGCGAAAGGAAACACCAATTTAATTGGATTCCTAAGGTATTCAGGAGACCACCTGGGGCAAAGCCAGGACTGTGCAACTTACTGTAAATCTGAGGCATGTATATTCTGTAAATAGGTTGTCTTTTACACCCTGGAGACATTTTGTCTCCTCCCTACCTGTGGCTTCTGCCTATCAGGCTCAGGTTATTTGGAAGGACAAAGCAATTTGAGATGGGGAAGAGGGTGCAGCACGGCTGTTACTTTGCGATGTCAGATACTGGCATCAGGTGACAATAAATGACTCGCTGGGAAGTTTTATTTTCAAACAGTTGGGTCTGGAGCAGTCTTGGAAATTCTCTCATGTGTTTTCTCCCTAAGGGCTACTTCATGCGTTTCATTTCACTACACTTAGTGTAGGGGGAAAGCCTACATACCCAGCCTTGTAATTGGCCACTCTTTCTGGTAGCCATAGGCAGTAGAATTTCCCGCCAGTTGTATAGGCTGGTGGGAGAGGGTTGGATTGCTCTGTTCCTTTTTCACCATACCACTTGACAGAAGGCCTTTTTCTTAGTATTGACTCTAGAGAAGGGATCTTCTTTTCCTCTACAGCCAACTTGAAAATGTAAGCAACTAGCCTCGTAGCCTGGATTTTTTTAAAAAACTAGCCTGTTAATAAGTTGTATGGGCTTATTTAAAAGGCTGCACATGTCTATGTATGTGTCATGTGCAGATCATGCTCGTTTCTATTTTGCTGTACACACACACACACACACACACACACGTTGGGAAGCCACAGTTGACAGCAACAAAATAGATAAATGCAACTATCATTCATAATAGTGTTCACATTTTTTCCACTGTGCTGGTGTAAGATAAATGTGTGAAGTGGCTCTTGGGTCAGAATCAGTTCCAACCCATAACCATACATTTACTTGCTTTGTGCATTTCTTTGCTCTCCATTGTAATTTCTATCTTTTTACTCACTCTTGCTTGTGCTTTTGGTACAGATTATGAGCAGTGGAGCTTTACAAAGTAGATTTGTCCTGAGTGGATGGAAGGTCTCCAAGGGCAAAACATTAGTGTTATTCAGCATGTTCTCATTTTCATTTGACATTTTTAAAGCTGTATGGAACTATACGTAAAGCTGCGATGCAAAGATTGATGAGCACAGCCCCATAAATGAAAGTTACCCACAAAGATCTGTTAAACCTTGGCAATGCACTTAAGTATAGGACTAATTAACTAGGAAATGTATGTTCCTTACAGGTGAGAATACAAGCACCGTATAAGTAAATAGTAAACACCTCGTAATGCAGACTCTGTTCATATCTTTTTAAAGTTTATTCATATGTTTGTGGATAATGCTTTGATAATTTAACAGGGACCCACACATTTTCACTTAATAGCCAACCCCCAATTTGTGGTTGCTAAACTTGGAAAGGGGCTGGAGTTTATTTTTGATGTACTGTTCTTCTGAGATGCAGAGTACTTTCAAGTACAGTGCAACACAAAGAACTCTGACCACCTCCTGGAGCTAGGAAGGTGGTGGGAAATCACCTGTGCCATTGTACTGTGCCCCTGAGAAGCATGGGAATGTCTCCAGGATTGTCACAGAAGTTGCACTGTGCTTCTGGTGCATGTGGAATGCCTAGGAGACAGCATGACACAGAGAAGCAACTGCCCCCTTCTAAGGATTGAAGCTAGGAAGGGAATGGTTGATCATCCTTGAAAGTCATGCAGTGATTTGGGGGCACCCTAAGCTACTCTGAAGTATAGTGTGACTACTGAGACAAATCCTTAACTCCAAGCTCAGGAGGTGGACTGTGGCTCATCATTCTTTCCAAAGGACAATGGGACACTAGCCATGGTGAGCATATTTGTGAACTTCTGAGTAATTAAAGCTGTTGGACAATGTGGCTTACTTAATCAGGTAATATACACCTCTCTTTGTAGACAAGTTCAAGCTGTTCAGATGTCCTCCAACAATTCCTGATGGAGAGCTGCTTCCTTTTGCTTGATCATTTTCTGTTGCCAGCAACAAATTGTTTTGGTAACATTTGTATTTCAGCAGCACCCATTTTTAAAAGCCCAGTTTAATTGAATTGGTCATCTCAGTAATGTAGAACAGATTCCACAGGGTGCTTTATAGCTTATTTACTGTAGTTTCTAGTCTGCATTATTTATTTTGTTTGGTGTGGTTTTCTTTGCCTATTGCACTGCTTATGAATCATTGGCCGTGATTTTATTTTGTACAAATAACGCTTTGATATATGTTACAGAGAACAGCTTATTTTTTTAAACCTTGAAGAAAAGAATTTATGGGGACTGGTCAGATGACGGTTGTGTGTGCATAAAGCATTTTCCTTTGCCTGTTACATACATTTTATATTTTCTGGCAGTATTTAAACTTCTTTTTGGTTTAAATTCTCACTAATTTCTATTAAATTGTCAAACCTTTATATAATCAATGTTCATCAAGCAAATATCTTGCTGCTGGTTAACTTCTATTTTGTCAATACCATGTTAATCAAGTAAATAAATTCTACAGCCATCTGCATGTGGTGTTATTTAACTACAGGAAACAACAAATAACTTGGACAGGTTCAATACCTACCATCTCCAGAAAGAGCTGGGAATGTCCCATCTGAAAGCCTGGAGTGGTGTTACCAAGTAGCGTAGACAGTACTGAGCTCAACAGTTCAGTAATCTGATTCCAGGCAAGGCAGCTTCTAGGTCGATATCCACTGCAAGCTGTAACTATCTCAAGCACTTGTTGCTGTCCAAATGTGACTTGTACAGGCACATGTAAGGCTTCTGGGGAAATGGGGAAGTGTTGTGTAATAGAGACTCTGCAACTGGGAACACCCACAGACAGCATTTGCAGTCTCTTGAGATAGGAACAAATTCAATAAGGCTTGCTTTTGAATAGATGTGCATACATTTGCACCGTTAATTTGCAGTCTGCATTGTTGCTGCTTCATGATAGCTAAAGTAAATATTAAGCAGCTGTCTGTGTGGTAACACAGTACAAAAAAAAAATCTGGCAAGTTTGACATGTTATGATCAAAACGAGTATGTTTTTCCACTAGACGGCAGGTGATGGGAAAGAACAAGCTGAAAGAAAAAGATTAGTCAACCACATGAATATGAAGAACTGGTTGAATTAATCACTGTACATTTATTCTAACACTTATGAAAGCAAATGCAGGTTTAAACATTTTTTTAAAAGGCTGCATGAACTTAGAATTGGGTGTGCTTTTTTTCCCAGAGTGTGGTGCTTTCTAATAGACAATATGGGGTGCACCAAGTGGTCAGATGCTGCAACATTGTTAAGTTAAGCAGCTATAGACCCTTGGATGAGAAACCACTGAAACTCCAAGTAAAAAGCAAGGCATGAATACAACCATATTTTTTTTTTAAAAAGCCCAATATGTCGCTCAAGGAATAAAGGAGCCTATAGTTCTAAAAAGGATAAAAAGAGCACTTCAATACAGAAACATACCAGCCATTAGACACACTGAAAAAACAATACAAAAACAAGTCAACAGAAGGTGGTAGGGGCAATGGCACTCTGTTGTGTATTGTTTTGCAACAGACTTGTGGGATCCAAATAACAAACCAGCATCATGGCTCACTGTGGACATTCTCAAGGAGGCTGCATGAGATTTAGGACGCTGTCTGAACTGGAACACCCCATGCCACATGGTTACAACCCAGCCTTCCTACTCCATCAGAGCATTAGTGTGCCATACTACTTTCAGGCAGCCTAGTTTTCTAATACTGATTATCAGGCCAGGATCTGGCCATGAATACTTGGTCTCTACAGATTTATGAAGTATGTTTTAGTTCAAACAAGTTCAACACATTTCTTTGAAAGCTCAGCTTCTCAGAGCTTCCAAATAACTAACACCATGGTTTTATCTGAACATCACAAGTTGAGGTAGTAGCGTATGCATATAAATTCATGTATACATAGACAGACACATATATATGTGAAAGAACCGATATCACTAAACATAGTAAATCGTAGTAGGGAGCTGCTACTACTACTATATGAAAAGAAATAAGGCAGAACCAGCATTCGTTATGCATTTCTAACCTCATGATTTTAACAGCCACTTTGCACATCGGTAACTAGCCACCATGAACATGTGCAGCATTTGTCAGTCCCCCGTCCCCCCCATTATGACTCTTGAACCAAGCTTTCAGCCTGGGGACATACATACACAATACCAGTTACACACATTTCTTCAGAGTAGGACATCCACCTGTCCTTGGGTAACCACACACACACACACACACACACACACACACACACACAATCGCCATGAGAAGTTAAACACACAATTTTAGACCCACATGCCACCATCAGAACAGGAAAAGGAGAGACTTGATAAAAGCATTCCCTATTTGCAAGGTTTTATACGGTATTAAGAGAAGGAGATTTCATTCACTCTTATTAATAAATTTTCTTTTTATTTGGACAAGGAGAGAACGTTTTATCACAACAGTTTGAAATAGCATGATTAAAGACTGCAGCCCTCCCAAGAGTGGTCACAGATATGTACAGTATATGAAGAGCCGATCATGATCTAGTTAAAAATACCTGATGTGAAGTACATGTGCTAACAGGTTTCCTTCAGGTCATGACCAGCATGAAAAACACATTAGGACACAGGTACTCAGTGGAGTTTTCTGCTAATGAGTACAGCAATATGCTGTGTTTAAAGGTTTACAATCAAATTTTTGTTAGTGTTAGCACTGAGCCCTTAAGGGGAGAAAACAAACACCAAATCTCTACTTTTCCCTCTTTTACACACATCAAAACTATTCACACTTAAGGAGGTGCCCAGCTGCATACAAATTAAGTCTTTTCAAGGATAAAAACTTTTAATAGCTAATACTGGAGGTGTCTCTTGCTTCTTGGTACAAATCTGCCTTTATAGGGTATGAGAATTTCAGCTATCAGTTCCTAAGAGGGGGAAAGCTTGTTACATTAACTCCTCAGGAGAAAACAAATGCCGGTCTCTGGAAATCACATCCCTTCTACACTGAAAATGCTCAGCCAATTCAAGTTTCACATATTCAGGAAGACAGAAGATTTAAGGCTCTGGTGGCAAATACAATCCTCTGAGCAAAGTTGTTCTAAAGTCAAGATTCAACAGGTAATGTTTATTTTTATTTTTCCTTGACTCTTAAAATCCTTGGTCTCAGGTTTAGATAACATCCAACTGAAGTTAAAAGTCTGGCAAGAAATTCCTTCCTCCATGGGAAAAAAAAGAGGTTTCACTCATCCATTTTAGGAGCACTTGAGGATTGCCCTGCGATTTCGTAATGTTTTTGGTTTGTTTGTTTTTTAATTAAAATTATAGCAACATTCAGGGACTACTTTTAGTAAGTTGAAGAGGCTGTGCTCATGGCATCATCTGCAATTTTGGTACTGGCAGGGTGGATGCTTGCAAAGTATTTTACGTCATTATCATTATCCATTTGGAGGGCCACAATTGTCTGCTCCACTGCTTCTTGGTGAGCACTGACACATGTTAAAAAATATTCTGTATGGAGAAAAAGCAAGAGAATCTTTTTTTATAAAGGAAAAGGTAGCATCACAAAAGATATGCTTCTTATAAAACCCTAAATTAGGATGCAAAGTCAATGCTAATTTTTTTGCTGCCAGTACAGAACATTTATACAAAATGCATACAAAGACTGACATTTTAAATCATTTATATATATTACAATTTAGCATAAACAAAGAAAGAAAGAAAGAAAGGATCATGCTTATCATGACTGGGTTGCAGAAAGGATACAGCACAGGCTCCCACATTCTTCTGGCTCAATTTTAAGGTGCTAGTTATAATCAACATTCACTGAGAAGTCATCTGTGCTGCGTAAGGTTGAGCAGGGAAAAGTCACTGATCCTTAAAGCACTGTACTGGATGCCTGTGACCTACTGGGTACAGCTTAGGACCTAAGTACTTAAAGGAATGCCTCTCCTTTACCTACTGACCTATGTTTTGAGATCAGGAGGGGAGACCCTGCTCTTGATCCCACCAATGGGCATGGTCCGTGATAATGTGGCACAACACAGGGCAATGCCCCAGTGGTGGAATTCTTTCCCTGGGGAATGGCAGTTGTCCCTTGTGCTGCTAACGACATACTTCTTCACCCAAGCTTAAATACCCTGGACCTAGCAGTGTTACTAATGCGTTTGTTGTCTCGTGCTGTTGTTTTGGTTTTGCAGTTTTTATACGTTTTAACTATGGTGCATAAATGGCTGCAAAGGTGTAGAATACAAGCAGAATAAATAATACCACCACCACCTCTTTACGTTTTTCAGCCATGTCTCAAGTGAAAACTCCTGCCAATTGGATTCCTGATTCCTTTATGGGTAGCTGGCCTGCCCTAGCAACTTTTCTGGTCCTCTAGGACTGCATCAGTTTTGGTGTCAGTGGCAAAAAGGAAGGGGGGAATAGAGACTATGCTGAAGTGAACAAAGCCCAGCACCCTGATAGGAATGCAAATCATAACCCCGTTCTCAGCTGTGGTAGACCCTGAAGTACTGGCCAAGGCTGAATGCAACTCTTAGGCCAAAAAAGTTAGCTACTCCTGCTCTAGAAGATGCACAGAATCTTAAAAGAGTTTTTCCATGTGAGGAGGAACCTTTCTTGGAGGCTTCCTGTGTTAGAATTTTCATTTCTGCTTCCAGTCTGGTACCTAGGAAATTCCCACAGCCTCCCAGATGTTAACTTTTTTTCATCCCTTGTTGCAAGTATTTCAAACATCAGGAACCAGTCCAGAACAAAAGATGTGCTTGAGGAAAAAACAATGGCATGAGAGTACATTTACTAGCTAATACTACACTGTAAGGAAGGATGCACACAGGAAATGTGTGATTTCTACAGAGCAGGAAATGCAGCAAGAGTACTTGAGTCCACAAACCTTTCTCTAGAAGCGTTTGCCTTAATGTTTTTGCAAGTAGGACTCGAACGTTTGGAACTCTATCTGAGGCCAAGAGCAGTAAATGGGGCAATAGATGCTCAGCAAACTGATCCATTGGCAGGCAGTCATCTTCTATGATAGTCTGAAAAGAAGATAAAGTAACTGTTTTAGACTTCCCCGAAAAGCAGGAGCAAAGCCTCTAAAATACCAATAAAATATATTCTATAGGGTCATTTTGAAGATCTCTTCTTTTTGCTTTCTTGGATTTGGGATTGCTCCCCACCCATCCCCCTTCTCCACTGATACACACAGCTAGCCATCCACATGGAAAGCTTCAAGGAGACATATTTTTGGATAACACACATTAAATTAGGACAAGAGAATGATAACCATCATTAGGCTCAACCTCCAAAAGCTCTTTATCTTTTTGTAGGGAGCGGAGTTCACAAATACTATCCAGTTAGCTACTCTTACTAACTTCCTATTGTACCCATGATCAAACTCTGGAATCCAGAAATAATTCAGTGTTGAAAATGGAAAAACTTGTAACTTTGTAGCAGTGGCTTACATGTCAAGAAAATAAGAATAATTCATGAATCTCTTACCTGGCAAATAAAGGCGAACGTTTGCCTGCCAGACCACTTTTGGCACCTGCAGAACGTTTCAACCAGTTCATTCATGAGATCGACCACAAATGTTGGCGGTGGAGCACTATACAGCTTCTTTACCATTTCACTAACCTAGAAAATATACAAAGAACTCAGTACATGGATTGCCTGCTAAAATGGTTACTAAGTCAAATTCCATTTTTAACGTTTACATTATAGTTCATACCAGTTTGAAGGAAATCCAACGAACAGAGGAAACCTTGTCTGCACAAAGACTGAGAGCAATAGGTCGTAGGTAATCGTATATGTCTCTGGCACTATACAGATCTAGAAGCAAGATCAGCTGCCTACAAAAATAAAATAAACAAAGGACTTAAAACTGCTAACCAATCATGAAAATGAAGCTATGTGCTGCAAGCAAAGGTGAATATTCCAGGAAGAAGAAGAAGAAGAAGAAGAAGAAGAAGAAGAAGAAGAAGAAGAAGAAGAAGGGTCTTAAAGCGGCTAACAATCTCCCTTCCCCTCCTCCCCTACAACACACACTCTGTGAGCTGAGTGAGGCTGAGACACTTCAGAGAGAAGTGTGACTAGCCCAAGGTCACCCAGCAGCTGCATGTGGAGGAGCGGGGAATCGAACGCAGTTCACCGGATTACTAGTCCCCTGCTCTTAACCACTACACCACACTGGCTCTACACACCACACTGGCATAGAAGAGCAGAGACGTGGGTTCCAGCCGGATTGAGTAGTCTCTCTGAAAAAAAGCTACAGTGCAGGAGGAACTCCCTGTATCTTACCACTTGCTCTAATGGCCACCAATTGCTGCTGGAGTGTTCATTCATTATAAGGCACCTCATGGGGATGAAATGGAGCATGCCCTTGTGCTGCTGATGGGGTGGAGAGGTTTGGTTCTGCTCTTTCTTAGATCTAAAAGATCCACACACTACAATTCCAAGCATGCTTACTCAGCAATAAATTCCAATGAGTTAAATTTTCTTGGGACTAAGTCCCACTGAACACAAAAAACCTTACTTTTTACTTACATAGCATACATAGACCCTAAGTTTCAGCCTCTCATCTGGCAAGTGGAATAAAAAACAAGCAGCTAGTGGGTCTTTCTACCTTCTCAGAACCTAACTGTGCCCAAACAGAAGTGGTATTGTAATTCTATATTAATAATAATCAGGTCTAGCATTTAGACAGCATAGTTTAGTTTACTACTAAAACTTACTCAGCAAGTTCTGCTCGGAAACGCCAGTTCCTGCTGTTATCGGTGACTAAGAATTCCTGAAGCTGGTAAAGATATTCCCGCCTTTTATCAGGGTGAAGAAGCTGGAAAATAAAGATGAATGTTTTCAGAACCATACAAATTATAGTTGATTGTAGTTTATCAAATTATAGTTGAATATAGTCTATCAAAAAATGAGGCTATTCCAGAATTTCTATGAAATATCCTGGAACAAGACAGTAATGCAATATACAATGTGAATGATGACAGAAATTAAACACATCTTTGGTTTCATCACATGATATCCAAGTTTTACTAAATACTAAAAGTTTATAAATTTAATTATCTGTCACCACAGAAGTATGCATACAGGGAGGAGGAAAAAGGATGATTATTTTGTATGCATAAAAGGAGGATGTACCTTCAGAAAATCATGCAGATGCTTAAGCACACCAATTCTGACTTCATCAAGGTCCTTTAAGAAGCCATTGAAGACTGGAACCAGATCACCAGCAGTAAGCTGGTCTCCAAGAATGACTGCAAGTTCATGTATAGAGAATGCCAACGTTCTTCGAACTTTCCACTAAAACAATGCACAAGGCCAACTTGTTAGCAAATCATACAACTTATTCAATGTTAGGGTTAGATTTGTTGCACAGCCAAGAGTACAGCAACCGAAAGCAAGTTAGTTCAGCAGATTATTTTACAACAGCAACCAGAAAAAGCTGATAAAATAAAAATATTATTTTTCACTCACTCCACCCTGCCTTGAAACTGAACAGAAGTAATTAAAACAATCTACACATTTACAGCTTGATTTGAAGGTTGGAACTAGACAAAAAGGAGACGTGGTTGCTTCCATGCATCTCTTCTTTCCTCCGGTGAAGTCTAGTAACATAAAACCCATGTTGGACATCATGGTGCACTGGCAAGTCTACCCCGGCCTAACAAAATTTTCAATGCAATTAAATTACATTATGCATTTTTATTTATTGGATATTACTGGAAACAAAGGAGATGTGGGGCTGTTTTCAGCAAAAAGCCAAGCATCTCTCAAATCTGGTTCCTCTACCATGTTGCAATTAATCAGTTAACTTACAATCAGTTAACATATTAATGCAGTTACTATTTACTGCTGAGAAAGGGGCTGGAGACGAACTTTTTATTTGAGTGATAATATATAGAGATTTATATACCACTTAATCAAAAAAACCACAGCTCTAAGCAGTTTATACAAAATAGAAATTATTTGGATCAGCTTTCCTAAACAAAAAAGATGTTAAGCATGTTCTCATTCCATTCAATCCCTTATTATAACTTTGGGGGGGGGGGGTAACAGGAGAAAACAAAAGATGTCCTAACTTCCTCCACCTGTTCCCCAGAGGACCTTTTGTGTTCCTGCAAACCCAGCAGAGGAGGAACCTTTTCAAAATTCTAACACCACAGCCAAAGGATCAGGCATCCCTTGCATAGGTGTCTGAAGTACAATCCTAGGCTCTCTTCACCACTGCGAAACAACACACGATTGTGCTCATAATTCTATTTTACTGATTTACCTGGAATTTTAGACATAATAAGATTACTCCCATACAGCTGGTAAACTCTGGCCTTGTATGAATGCTATCACAAACTCTTGGGATAAATGTTGGCACAGAGCAAAGTTCTTTTCTAATCCTTCCTTTGAATTATTTTATGAGTTTAGCAGAGTCACTGCACTGAATTCAAAAAGGAAGAATGCTGGGGGGGGGGTTCAGAAATTATATTAGAGCAAGCTGTTCCTACAGCAAATCTATTAGTTGATCAGTGTAAATGGAAAAAAGAAATCCAACAGGTTATTTATGGTTTACAGAGAAATTTACAGCAAGATCTGTCGGAATGAGTAGGTTAGGATTCAGCAGATTTCTGGCTGAACTGGGAGGTTCCCAGTACAGCCAGGCTACACTGCTTAACTCCTTCATCTTCACCTCAGCCAGAGATCTACCAGATTATATTCCCCATTCTAGCCCAGATGGAGCCCAATTGGCTGAGCCAAGCCTAGTAGATCTTAAACCAGCATAAGCCCTGGAAAAGGGGTGTGACAGGGGCAGGATCCTAAGCCTGTTCATCTTGGTCATGTAATCTGGCAGTAAATTAAGCCAGTAAACAGGATGGTGTAATTCAAATATTATTTTAAAGGCTTACTTTCCCTTTGTCAGCCTTAATCTGGCTCAGCCAGCAACAGCCTTGCTGCTGAATGGAGTTTGGATCTGGAGTAATTTTATGCCATCTTAATTTACACTGGTTTGCTTTACACTAGCCTACTATGTATAGGATTCCTCCCCTAGAAAGAAAAATATGATAAAGACATGGGCAAATTCTCCTTCCAGGACACAAGTAGTTACCACCCCTTCCCCTCAGATATCCCTATTCTCAGGAAAAACATCAAGAATGCTATAGTAATGAGAAGCGGCCCAACATTTCTGCTTTCCCATTACATCAAGAACCTTAGACTCATTTCTGGAAGACTAGAGAAGCCAAAGCATACAATTTCAAATTGCACATAGTATCTAAGTACTTTCAGGTCTTATAAAGAGCTATAACATTACCTGCATGTCAGAGGCTAACGTCTCATAAGTATCTTTCAGACAGTGCCAGTTCTGTCTCCCTAAGGTAAGTGCCACACCTGGAAGGCTGTAGGCACAGTGCTTTGCAATCTCTGTATCAACAGTCTGAGCTCGAGAGGGATCAGTCATGGATAAATACTGGTCCAGCAAGGCCTGAGGTACAATGTCCTAAAACGCAAAGCATATGAATTTAAGCATATGTTCTGAGAAAACTACATCACCATAAAAAATAATTAATTAAAAATGTTAAGACTGCAGGGAAAGAGAATGAAAAAGAAAATTCAAGTACTATTTCTTAGGTTACATTATTCTTCTAATAACCAACTTGTTACAAGTATAAATGGGAACTTTTTAAGGAGAGCAGGAGCAAAGTTGCTCACCTTTCAACAGAGCTGATGGAGGGGCCTTGCAGTCCCATCTCCCTCCCTCTCCTGCAGTCCAATAGGACAGCTGCTGATGACAGTTGAGGGAGAAGCCACAAAATGAGGATGGGAGTCATGTGCAGCCCCCATGGGTGGAAGGTTGCCACATGCGCCCTAGGTCCTGAGAGTACAGAGTACAAGGGAAGCAGTAACTCAGGGCAAGAGGATTAGCTACCACCTTGCTGACTATATGGGCTATGATGTTTCTGTTTTGCCTACAGGTGCCTGAAGCCATTAAGGCAAAAGGGAAACAGAAAAGCTTGTGCATAGTACAAGCCATCTCTCTCACACACTCACTAGACCGGTGTGCAGTTACTGTAATAGAAATTCTTGCCGACTGCATGTACAGGTCAGATTTGCAACTGATGATGCTCTCAAGGCGACAACAGTAGTCTGAGTGAGGAGGCTCAGGTTTCAATTTTAAATATCGAAGTTCAGAATTCTTTAAAAAAAGACGGAGAAAGTTACAGTGCACAATTTAAGCAAAGTAAAAATTATACTTACGGGTGTCGGATCATATATTACATGTAAAATTACTTTTAAGTTGCAGTTTCTCTCATGTACAAGGAGAAAACTCTTTAAAAATACCTGAATTTTAGATTTTTTTTCTTCTTCAGGGCTGAAACTACTATTAGTGCTAAAGTCGGAATCATTATGAATATAACGCAGAGCAGATTCTACAATGTCCTGTGGTGGAAAGTTAAAAACAACAACTTACAATGCAGGCATACTCTGCAGCACTATCCAATGCATATTTACTCAAAAGTAAATCCAAAGCATATGCAAATGAAGTTACTTGTTTTCTGACATTAAGCTCAAGTGATAAAATTTATAGCAGCCAAATATTTACCTCAGCAGTATCATTGATTAAAGGCACTGGGTCATCCTGAATGGATGTAAAGCTCAGGTGATCTTTGATGCTCAGCTCATTCTGAGAATCCACTGACTTGCCAATGCCTGCTGTCGTTTCCTCCTGGGGGTCCAGGCTTGAGGCTCGAAGGGCAGCAGAGAGCACCTCCACTTGTGCTGTGCATGTAAGGAAGGGGGCAAGCAGGTCAAAAACTTGTTCTACACCCTTTACACAAACATTTCAGTGGTGTAGTAGTACTTCCCCCACACCCTGCTTCATATTCCATTAACACAGCAGTTGAGAACCTCCACTGATGGAAGCAGAGCCTTTACAGAAATGCCCTGTGGCTATGGAATGATCTTGCTGCTAAGGTGTAAAGTCTTAAAATGGTTTCAGAAGGAATTACAACACACTTCTGGTTAAGCATGGAATAAATCTGTTAGGTAAACTTTGGGAATATGCAGACTCTGGTTTTATGCTGCATTTTTATTGCTTTTAGTATTTTACCCTGATGATGGCATGTACTGCTTTGTAAGCTGCTACGAGCTTATGAAAAAACATCCTATCAATGCTCTAAATCAGGGGTCAGCAAGGTTTATCTTGCCTGCGCTGGATTGGTCCCATGGAGAGCCCTCCATGGGCCAGAGGGCCCGTAATTTCTGGCGTCTGCACATGCGCAATTTCCGGAGCTGCAGAAGTGAGTCCCCGAGCTGTGCCGGTTTAGCACAAAATGCGATTGGGCAGCTCGGTTTGGGGGCAGCTCGTGGGCCGGTCAAACGACCTTCACGGGCCGCTTCTGGCCCATGGGCCTTAGGTTGCTGACCCCTGTTCTAAATGAAAGCTGTACAACACTGCAAGATGCAGTTCCACTAGGATTTCCAAGCATGCATACTCAAAGATAATAGTAAATAGGTGAACAGGCAGTACACATTTGGAGGCTACCAAGGAAGCCCTTTACTTCTTTCTGCAGAGCCAATGAAATTAATGAACCTGACTTAGTTAGGTCCTTTAAACAGGCTCACTCTGACCCCTTGCATCAGCATTTTTCATTTGCTTTCTAAAGTCTTGCATATTTTGATAGTAACAATGTAGGGTTATATATAGTATTATCTACTCACAGCTAATTCAAAGACCTGAATGTTCATGATATGCAAATTCTGCAAATTTATACATCCAGAGTATTTAAAGTAGTTATGGAGATTTATCTCATTACATATTTTCTTCTGTTCTTGTAACTGCACAAATTGACCACCATAGACTATAGGCATCAGTAGTGGCCAACAGACAAAGTTGACTGTATGGTTCTCCTCCTGCTACACAGTCAGCTATATTAGTGGTTGTTATATTCAGCAAAGAGCTGAAAGAAGCAATTCATCCTGGGGAAGCCATTGTTTCTGGCCATTTGCCATTTGAGACAGGGGTCACTGTGTTAGTTATGTTCTGCCTAGGTTTTTAGGCTTTTCAAAAGACTCCGGGGGGGAGCAGAATCTTCTTTTGAAGAAACCAAACAAAGCTTCAGTGTTAAATATGCAACTATAAGAACCGAGACACTGGGAACTAACTGGTGACTGAATTAGGATTTGCTAGGCACAACTAAGCAAGGCTTGGTGACATGAAATGCATGTAGCCATATAATGAATAATAAAAGCATCCATATAATAATAGTAATGATAACATACTCTGAGTGCTTAACTATTTCTCTATTCACTACTTTATTCATTCTTGTGACATCCTTAAAGAGATGCCAATTTTATTATCTCCAATTGGAGGGGAATGGGGAAGGAAAGGAGAGATAGAGAAACTTGCCAACGGCTGTCTAGTGTCACAGTGGGCAGAAGTTAGATCTAGATCTACTTGTACATGCCTAGCAGTAGATTGGCATGGGCTTCTGATTCCCAATTGCGTGTGAATAATAGCAACAAATTGATACCTCTCCCTGCCACCCTAAATTATACTGCTGAAATGTAGAAAGCTTGGGGTAACCCAAATTAGAGTTTTGTGTGAAAGATTGTGAGCTCCATTCAGGATTCCTAGGCCCCAAATTATTTTATTTGCCTGCCTCTTGCACTAGGCAGCTTTGAGTAGATCTTGGGGTTTAGTAAAAAATACAGTATATTTTGCAAGCCTTAAGTCTGTCTACCCTGGTGTAGTGAACTCACAGTTGAGGTGATATTTGATTTTAAGACAGTTTGGAAAGCAGCCTCTCAGGTATGATTCTGATTAAGGGACTAATGCTTTTGCAAAGGATTTTAAAAGATGACTGGTAATACTGTGTGATGCGTAGATGAGAGAGTTGTGAGGTAGGGTTCAATTATTCAAAGGAACTAGATACTGCAATTTCAGGACCATTTTTTTAGGTCCTGAAAGTGAAAGAATTTATTGTGAAACTTTAAGGAAATAAATGTCATTCAGGTATAGAATAATTTGGGGGCACCACCACTAATTGGTACTGGCTTTTATCCTTGTCTGACTCTGCAACTTCATGTGAATCATACCTCGGTTAGCATCAATACCAAAACACATTGCTTTTGGCTCCTTTCCCATTCAGTTGAAACTTCCCCAACTCCCCCGGTTCAAATCAAAATGTATCTCTCTCACACTACCTAAAACCTGGTGCCTACCAAACCATTACACGAGACATGTCATGCTGTTCTCTCTAATGCAACATGTGCATTATATGACATTGGCTGTGACAACCCATGTGATTTTTATGAACATTTATTATGTAATCACATCCAATGTAGTACTGTGGCATTAAAAAACCAACATGTTAGCCACTACGGGGAATAAGATTAAAGATTAGAAGCACGGGGAACACGACAGATGACTGTAAGGGCAAAGGAAGAAAAGCAGCAGCAACATTTATGGCTTTAAAGCAATATAAATGTGTACAAGTAACTGAGAATGCGATGGAAAGCACTTTCATCTACTTATTAAAACAAAAAAAATTAGGTAGGTAGTTAGAGCTCAGACCTAGTTCAAACTGACCTTAATAGATTGGAGAACTGGGTCCAAATGAACAAAATGAATTTTAATAGGGACAAATGTAAGGTTTTATACTTAGGCAGGAAGAGCCAGCTGCATAAATGGGGGAAACCTGGCTTACCAGTAGTACCTTGTGAAAAGGATTTAGGGGTCTTAGTAGACCCTAACTTAACATGAGTAAACAGCAAAAAAAGCTTATGCATCAACATAAGTCTAGTGTCCTGGTCAAGGGAAGCCATAGTACCGCTCTATTTTGCCTTGGTCAGATCACATTAGGTTATCTGAGGAAATTTCAGGGCAATGATCTGTTTAGACGAATTCAGGGTTTCCTAAACATGGGTCTCCAGCTGTTTCTGGACGACAATTCCCATCATCCCTGACAACTGGTCCTATCCTACCAGCTAGGGATGATGGGAGTTGTAGACCAAAGCAGTTGGAGACTAAAGTTTGGGAAGCCCTGATTTAATTTATACTACCTCTTATTTCCTTCATTTAGTAAATTCTATTTATTCTTTTAGTTGTGTGTGTAGTTGCTAAAATACAATGCTTGCACAGCAACACAACATCCTCCTGTTTTTTTATCATCTGCAGCTTCTGTTTCCTGAAGTGCTCTTTCTTACTTCCTTTCTACTTCACAACACAGTAAGTTGCTATGTGATTACTTCACGGAGGAGCATAATTTTAAAATGCTTCCTGTGGTGCATTCGCATAGGGAACATTTCTAGTACTGAATCCCATCTTTCAGAAAGTCCTCTAATAGATACAATACTTAAGAAGCTACTCAGTAGTACTCATGTTGGCAAGCTGCCTGCAAGTGAAAATTCATTTAAGCAAATCTGCTGTAAAATACAAGGGTGGGAAGCTTCCTAATAAAGTGTATTTTGAGATTCTGTATTCAAACCCAAGCCAACTGAGTTGAGACTATAATAAGCTGTCCAGAGTCACTATTTGGTATCTGACATCATTAATGGATCAAGTAGTTCATTTTCTAGCCCATTTTCTGCAATTAACCATTTATGGATTAAATTAGTAAATTAGCACAATGACCAATGGGAGTAATTCAAGATTCAAGAGACACACTTGGAAGGGCTAAGTAGTAGTAATGAAATGGACAAACTGGTGTTTGTTTTGGATGTAAGAGGCAGCTGACCTGTTTCTTCCATAGTTCATAAAGAGGTGTACTGCAACCAACACCCCTAATATGGTGATGGATCCTGCTACCAGAACTTTTATCTTTCATATGAACATAAGAAGAGCCCTGCTGGAAAAGGCCTATCTAATTCTGCATTCTGTTCTCACAGTGGCCAACCAGATGCCTATGAAAAGTCAACAAACTGGACACATAAGCACCCTTCCACTCATGATTCTCAGCAACTAGTATAGAGGTTTCCAGAACTGATGCTGAATTACATTACACTAGCTGTCTCAGACCCAGCACTGCTTGGGAATTCTAAGAAACAAAAAAGTGAGTACCATTTTGAAATTGGTGATTAAAATTTGCACAGTTTTGAAAGGTTCAGTACGCCATCTTGATTCAAAATGGTGTCCAATTATATCAATAGACAAAAACCTGCTCCTTGATCTCAGGAACCATCATGCAAGCTTTCTTAAGAGGTGTCCAAATTCAGAGAGATGAGCTAAAGAGACCATCTTCCAAAATACATAGTAGATTCAGCAGCACCTAGGAACATTCAGTAACTTTACAGAAAAAATTGCCAAGAAGAGGGTTTGTAAACCAGTCCTAAGGGCAACTGTATTCAGGTGGAGACACAGATTTATGCAAATTATTATGAATTACAACCACATAAAGAGCTTCACATGCCACACCATTTTTAAAAGTGAAGTGGAACAGGGATCAAGAGGCATGTTCCGTGACATTTCTGATAGCAAAATATTCAATGAAATGCAAAATGTTTGCAGCCCCTGAAGGTTCCTGGAAATTAATCTACATAGGGATGGTAGAGACTTTGGGCTTGCAGCTTCACTTCTAATGTACTGCAATATGTTGATATAGTTGGGATTTGATAACCCAAATCACTTTTTAACGGGCAGCTTAACATTTAAACCAGGGAGTAAAATGGCCAGGGAAAACTAGCCCAACTAACTTGTAACAATTTATCCACTCTGTAATTTAGATCTTTGTTTGAAATCAAGAAAAGGAAATGGAAGGACAGAAGGGGGGGGGAGTAGTGGTGCAAAACAGAGACCTGATTTTCTTGATAAGTAAGCATAGCGTATTTGCATAAATCAAGGCTATTTACCTACAGGATTCTAAGATTCATTTCAGTTTCAATCAATTGGCCTTAATCTTTCTTTTCTAGGCATCTAATTCACACCTCACCTGGAACTAGGAATGTATTAACATGTATTAATACCTTTAACATCTGGATCATCTATATGAGGCTCCAAATTTTCTATCATTTCTTCCAACTCCTTCCTTGTAGCCATGGTAACGTTTGAAGAAGCTGATGCAACAACTTCCTGCTCTCCTTCCTGAGTTTCTGAATCAAGTGTTTCTGCAGTTTCTTGAAGTTCTAAATCAATATCTATCTTGGGAAGTGGAGTCCTCCAGAAATTGAATGAGTTATATAGCTCCTGATCAGAAAGGGGTTTTTCCTGGGAACTCGGTGCAGGTGCTGGCAATACTGCTATACTACAGCAATCAAAACTTTGTTCGTTCTTATTTGCTGCTTCTTGACATGATTCTGAAGACGAAGTGCAATGAAACATTGTCTCAGGCAGGGAATGAACCAACATGAAGTTACTCTCTTCCTTGTCATTTTCAAGGGTCTCTGCAAAATCACTCTCATCAGCAACTAAAGGCAACTCTGTCTGGCTTTGTACATCATGTGTTGGGATATCTTCTGTAGCTACAATTCTTTCATTGCTGGACAAAGAAAATAAATGTGTGTGTTATCTACCATAGTGGTTATAAAGACATACTGTAATTGGCTACAACATGGGTGGTCAATCTGCAATATGGAGGTCACAAAGGGGGAAATGGAGGGTGGTAGGATGCTGGGACAAACAAGCAAACACGAAATTAAAGACACGTGTTACACCAAAGCACAAGGAGCTGTATGTGCATTGTAGTGCAAAATAAACTGGCCTCAACTTCTGGCATAGTTAGTCACCGCTGGTCTACATAAGGACACTTGTGCCTTTCTTAATTGCTCACAAACAGGCAGCATCAAAATTAAGGTACTTCAAAAAAAATGAACATTTGGCACATATATTCTGTATCCACAATTTTTTCATTGCTAGACCCAGAAAATGTGTATGTCTAATAATCAGAATGGTTGGGTTGTTTAAAAGAAAGATTTTTTTAAACCCATCCTACCTCAGAACATGAGACATGAAATTTCATAATGGTAGAACATACAATCAAAGTATCAGTAAAAAAAAATGCTAAGAGCCAATGAATTTAAATGAAATTAATAACCAGTCCATACCTATGTTCCTCTGCAAGGTTCCGATCCTCAGTGTTTTTACATTCTTCTTCTTTAAAAAATTGACCACTGCTGGATGGATTAGCGAACGTTGATATAAAAGGCCCCAGGGATTGAAAGGCAGCTTGGCGAACCTAGAGTAATGGATTCCAGAGAGTTCCTTTAAATATAGCTGCTTGTAACGAGTGCTCCAGCTGTCAGTAGTGGAAACATCATAAGTTCCCCAAGGTATGCTGCAAGGAAATCTTGCATCTTGAAACAAGGCCAACAAGTGGGACATGGGAATGCATTATGCTAGCTGCCTCAAGAATATTACATTACAACCGGGTACATACTTGAGTGTCACACCAGTGTCTGAATATGCATATTAAAGTACATATCTGTCTGCAGGAGAATATTTAAAAACTCTAGAGCAAGGGTGGGGAACCTGCAAACCCTGCAGATGTTGTCAGACTCCAGCTTCCAAAAAATATGACCAATGGTCAGGGATGATGTTCTTGGACTACAGCTCCTGTCTGGAGGACCACAGGTTAGCTACCCCTTATTCTAATCCAGAGAAATCTTGCATTAGTCACATATATTTCACCACAATTTTACTATAAATTCCTACATTACATTTCCATCCATATTCAGAACTTACAGAAGTACACATCTCTTTAACAGAAGAAATCACAATTTGTCAAAGCAGATATTAGAATGGGTGAGCAGGAAATCCAAAAATATTTTCAAATACATATTTTAAAAGCTGGAGAAGGAACCAAGTAACAAATACAAACCAGATTGTAAAGTGTTTAATAGATTTATATACATTTTCACATCCTGTTTCCTGCCCAATTGTTTATCCCTTTGTCAAACCATCTTAAGAACCTCTGTACACTTTCACTGTACATGGTTATATTTACTTTCATAATAAAAGGTTTCATTTTGGGGCATATACTTTTACTTTTGGTTCTGGCAAATAACAGCACTGTTCCTTACGCTTTTTCAAAGTAGTAAAATATGTTGTGGCATCTAACAAATAAGTAAAACGACAAAAGTATCTGGACATAGAGTTGCCTTAAAATGCTAGCCCTAATAGTTATTGAAAACATAATCAACATCTACAAAACATTACAGAGGATGGAGCTTCTATATCTTGCATAATACATTAGCCGTCTTCCAAGTCAACGGTATTATCAATACTTTAAACATTAATTAAACTCTCTCAAAATAATTGTCAAGTATCTTGCAAGAGGAGAAGGAGAACTTAACAACTGAAAACTTACCCATCGTGAAGGGTCACTGATAAGGTTAATAAAAAGTGTTGATAATTTTGTTCGCCGGACCTCCTGTGATGTGGCACATGAAACAGCCATAAAACATTCAGCACAAGCCTTCCGCACACCCCAAACATTATCAGAACAAAGCTGAAAAAATCTAGGAAGCTGAAAAAATACAAAGCATAACACAAATTTTGTATGAATAATTTAAATGCAGTTTTGACTTTTTATCTTGAAATAATTCCTCATAAACTTGTAAAATGTTATAGTGGAAAATTATGAAGTGTGCTATGGACAAGATTAAGACAAGGGTGCATTCATTTTTTTGCTTCTTATGTTTGGAATTGCTTTACTATATTGCTTCCTTTTGGCATTAAAAAACCATCCCATCGTCTCACAAAGAGCTTAAGCTACTCCAGTAAGCTACTCCACTCAGCAGCATTCTACACAACTTGTAGCTTTTGGAACAGCCCTACACAGAATTCATGTGTAACTGTGGCCAGGATATCTAGGTCCAGGAATGGCCGTAGCTGATGTACTAAAGTTGGTGAAAGGCATTAATGAAATCTAGCATAAATCCGTGTACTTTGGTTCCAGTGATTTTAATAGGAAGAATTATAACTAACTGCAGCTTATCGAAACCTATTCCAGAATTTACCAGCATTTCTTCAGTGGCTTGCTGTCCAACTACACTACAGATGTCACCAAAGTTGGCTGCACAAACCTGAAAAAACAATACGTTTATTATAATATGGCACCGAGCAGACAAAAACTATTCAAAAAAGCAAGACTGCGGTTCTCAAACTACTCCATGTAATGCTTTGCAATCAACTGTAAATCTATTGCACTGGGCCACAGGTTTACTACTCACTGCAGTTCTAATCTTGAAAGTTAGCTAATTTTAAAATAGGAGATACAACTTGATATGTACAAGAAGTCTTGTTTCCCTAAAAGTTGCAGGAACAAACTGGTAAAGAGCACAATTGGTTTAAGTATTAAGTAGGATAAAATATACATTTTTTTAAAAGGTTCTGGAAACTTATGAGCCAGTGTGGGCGATCAGAAGAGTCTTCTTTCCTAAGTTGTTGAGTTTACCCAACTCCCTCTGGTTCATCCCCTTACTACAGAGCTGATGCTGAATGAGGTGAACATTCAATGCAATTATGTTTTCCTTTGGGGAGAATGAGGGTGGATCTCATTTCACATTTAGCTGTTAACCAATCACCAGATTTTGAGTCAAGAAAGAATTTCTCCCTAAAGTTCAGACTTTACTTGCATCCACACCGTACATTTAAAGGACCCTTCTTCCACCTTAGGAGTAATGGTTTCTCCTAAAGTATCCTGGGAAATGTAGTTTGTTAAGGGTCTCTGCACCTTTCACAAAATATGGTTTCCATTACTCTCTGGGAAAAGCCATGACTCTTAAAGTGGTGGAAGAGTGCTTTAAATGTTTGGTGTGGGTATGATGCCAATAACACATTTGGAGAAATTTGCCCTTCCCATAGTGCAGCAATGGCTCATTTGTTTGTTAACTGCTCTTGTCTTGCACTGATGTACCTCAGTACTATGGACTTTGTTCTGCTTTGGCCAACAAACTGTGTTGTATTGGTCATCTGTCATGGATGCTTTAGTTGAGATTCCTGCATAGCAGGGAGTTTGGACTAGATGACCCTTGGGCTCCCTTCCAACTCTACAATTTTATGATTTGAAGAGGAAATATTGATGTATGTAAGATCTTGCCTTAAAGTAGCTGGGCTGATCTTTATGTTCTTCCTGATCCTTCCCAGCTTTATGATACTAGCATTTTAATTTCAGGATTCCATAATTTTTGCAGAATAAAGTGAGGATAGGATAGGAGTCAAATGTTATCATTCTAATGCTTTAATTTTTACAACTGTTTGACTGGACAATATTCAAAGTATGTGCTCTGGCGAGTCAAATGCCAAACCCTAGAGAGTATCAGCAACAGCTGACGTTTACTTGCTTCTTCATTTGCAGTGATGTCCTGAAAATCCTTCATTTCTGCCCTGCCTTGCTGTGAATAGAGCCAGTGAATCCCGCCCTTCCTCCAAGAAATGCAAGATGGCATACAAGGAGTTATCACATTTTTAGCCTCTTAGCTACCATCAGTGATGGTTAGCTACTGAGATAATGATTCACTCAAAATTACCCACTGAGCTACCTGGCAGAGGAGGGACTTAAAAGTCATGTCTCCAGAGTCCCAAGTCATATTTTTTAGATGCCACACTGACAACTTAAGACAATGGTTGTTTATGGCCATAATCGTTACCTATAGTTTCCTCATTCATTCCAATAAACAGGAAAGACCTGCATATACAAAGCTGCCAAGAGATCAGTGCATTCACAAAGGAGGTTTTGATTCCTACGTAGAATAAATGCTTTCTATTTCCAAAAAAAGCATGGCTAAAATTCTGGCAAGGTAAAGAAGGGAAATAAGAGATATACAAAGGAAAAACGTCATACCTTACGAACATGAAACATTCTGCAGTCACAGCACATCTCACAAAACCTGGGAAGAATGAGCCTCTCTGTAATGTCCTTTCCTACCATAGAGGCCATTTTGCACATTATCTAATTACAAGAAAAACATTGATTATCCATCTGGTATCACTGCATTCCTAGATTTGCAAAAATTCCTACTTGTAATCCAATAGCATTTTTATGAAAATGTGTATTACAAAATGCTTAATTAGTATTTTCTCTTGCATCCTCTCTGTACATTGAAACAAAATGCTCTTGCCAATTAAAATGAACAGAAGGCAGATACATTGAAAAAAATGTTTCTCTTGGTCTCAGCTAGGGGTTGCCTACCTTTTTGGACTAGTAGTAGTATTTTGAATTTTAGGAAAGCACCATGGGCACCAGTCAAAAAATGGCTGGTGGGGCTGGTGGTGGCATGACACAACATAAGAGCACACTCATTGCTGCTTCATGCTCCACCCCTTATGAGTAATGTGAGAAGTCAGCTATGACCTTTTAATCCTGATTGTGGAGATCATACAATGTTGACCCCCCCCCCAAATTCCTACCAGGGAAAAATCTAGAAAATGGTCACACCACACTCACTATGTCTTGCATAACACATGCACATGTTCACCACACACATACAGACCACAGACACATATGCATCTGCCTGCCCAAGTGCATCTCTCTCTCTCTCTCTCTCTCTCACACACACACACACACACACACACACACACACACACACCTACCTACCTGCAACTCTCCTCCCTACTCACACACACCAACCATACATACACTGGTACCTGAGACTCCTTTGGGAGGAAGGATGTGATAGAATTTTAATAAATGCAACACACTTTCTCTCACACAGATCACACATACCTCCCCCCACTCTTTCTCAGACACAGACCACATCTCTTTCACTGACCAAGTATGTGTCAAAGAAAGTGCCTGCTGCTAGCTTTCAATGGCTGTAGAGCTACAGCCAGCCGAATGAATGGGGTGAACCCTTTCACTCCTTTTCCCCCTCCACCAGACATTAACAAAGAAAGAAATCATGGGTGAAATAATTTTCCTTGTTTGCAAGGCCCAATAAGACAGAACAAAGGCAATTAAATTTTTTTCTAATTATTTTCTAATTTGAGTTCTTGGTCCACATTAAGTTCAGTGGATACAATCCTGTATAGTTTGGATGCTTTATTCCATGGAAGTTAACCAGGAGTTTAACAACTTGTGAGCAGGATTGAAGCATCACCATTCTTCCATTTCCTCTGTTCTTGGTCCAAAAAAATGTTTTATGATCTCTGAAACATGCTTATCGCTATAACTACACCATTATCTTAGTCTGCAAAGCGCCATTTTACATCTCATTCATGACAAAGGATACTCTATGGGAAAGCAAGCATGTTTGCTGCTTAGTAAATCCAGATAATTAATTAATATAGACAATACAAAGTCATCCTCCAACTTACTGCCACAGCCTCTGTCTTCACATCATCATTGCTGTCTGGAGCCGTCAGCTCTACAAGAACTGGGCATACTTTGGCCTCCACATCATATCGTTCAATAAGTTCTTGCTCTAAAAGAACAAGTAATGCTGCCTGGCTTGTTTTTCTCACCTATGTTTAAAAAGAAGAGAGGAAGGGACTTGAATTATGTTTCCACCTGTGCCACAAAGCTTTAGAACAAACATTTTATAAGACAGCAAGAACTAACTCCTGTGAATCGCTTTCAGGCTCCACTCTATATTTACCTAGGAATGTCCCACTGAACTCAATGGGCCTTATTTCTGAATAGGATCTACACAGGATTATGTTGTCTGGGATATTGCCATACACTGTTAGTATTTATTTCCATGAATTCTTTAACATATGGAATGATACCATTGTAAATCTTTAATTTGATAATATTTATACTACTGCTACTATGTAACACTGGTCAAGTACCACTGCAAAAGGCACAAAAGAGAACACAGAAGTAAACAGGTTATTCATACAGACTAGCCTTTCCCAGTATGATGCCCTCCAGATGTTTTGAACTATAAGGACATCGGTTTGTGGAAGACTAATATAAATTGTTTAATTTAATTACTGAGTCTGTGACACAAATTTATTTCAAAACTCTTTAATCTAATTTTAGTTGTTGGGACATTCACTGATCCAAATAATTGTGAAATTTCAAAACCACGAAACTGCCTTGTTTTCCCCTCCCTTGTAGTGAATGTTCAGGTGTCAGCCCCTATGGGAAGGGACCTGTCATGTTGCTACTTCAAAGTCCCATACATACTGATGCTGTTAGGTAAACAATTTATTTGGATGAGCATTAACATGGTACTATTAAACGCAGGTCCAGCTTACCGAACACAATGCATTCTCAGGAAACTGTTTATTAGAAGAGCATTTGCATAACAAGCTGACAATTTCCATTATTTCATACGGGAACATTTCTACTCCATTATCTCCCCTCACCCTAAAATGGCTGCCGCGAACCAGCAAAACATAAACAAGTACGGATGTGGGCAAATTGTGGCTATTCAGATATCTGAATCAGCTGTGCGTGTAGTAAGGTTTGGGTATAATTGTTTATGTTCAGGTAAGTGAATTTTTGGATAACAAGTGGGAGGATCACAGGATCTGCGTGTAGTTTATTTCAAACATGTAAAATCTGTACACAACTGTGTAATTATTCAATAACTTCAATGAATTCTCACCTGGTTGTTCTGGTCTGCAAGATATCTCACCACAATAGGCAATAAATATTTTGAAAAAGCGTAAGGGATTGAAGGCCTGTTTTCTTGACAAAACATAGCTATATGAGGCACCTGTTCCATCAATTCAGCTCGTACTGTTGGCTCTATTGATAAAAATGTCAAGATGAACCAGTAAATCATATGTTATCGATCTCCTGATCGAAAGTCAAATACCTACTATAATGCAGTACTAATAAACTATCTCTAATTGGTCATAAAGGAATCGTTTTGGATTCAAATTTATTGCTTCATGAATTAAAAGTTCAAGAGAGTCACTAATCCTTCTTGTTTTGCAAGTAGTATTAATTGTGGAATTCAACTGATGTCCCTGTGCTCACCAAAGTCCTTTTAATCCAGAGGATGCATCTGCTAAGTGGAATAGGAAAGGTGGCAATTTTTGCCAATTTCCCCATCCCACTGCACTTCCCTACCACTTTCTGCCTTTAATACCTTATGCCAGTCTCCATTTTTCTCTCATTTTATGGTCTCCTTGTTTTCCTGAAAAGCCTCCTTGCTATTAGGAGCCATTTTGAAATAGGTATTATTTTGATCCTTTTCTAAATATTCTTTACAGTGCTGCCAGCAATAACATGAATTTGGTTTTATAATCATGATTCTTCAGCAGCTGCAAAGCAACAATTGCTTTTTTGAATGAACTACTGAGGATACTAATAGCATGGAATAAAGAAAGAAATATAATCTAGTTTATCCACTGTTCACATTAACCACCCCAACATTTAATCTACTTCATTACCTCATTAAGATAGCTCATACTACACACCTGAATCATCAGCTAGCCTGCTGACTCTTTCCAGTACAGCAATACAATCTCTCTCATCATCACTCACTTCTTTCAAAGTGTCCAACAAACTTCGAGCCACCATTTGCCTAGAACATGAGAGAATAAAATTGCAATATTGTGGAACTAAGTTTATAGCTTTTACATTTCAAGAAATAATTTATCTATCCCACCTTAATATAACACATTTGCATCTGAGCCTTCTTTCAGAGAACTCAAGGCAGTGTATATAGGTTACCCTATTTTGCCCACAACAACCCTTAGTGTGTGTGTCTTGCCCAAAGTTTCATGGCTGTGTGGCAATGTGAACCCAGCTTTCCTGGTCCAAGTTTTTGACGGCTACACCAAATACGGCCTGCTGCCCACAGGATAAAAAACTGTTCAGAACAGAATACTTAACATTAAAAAATCAAAACGAACCATTTTGAACTATTACCCAGAAAAGAATACTAAAATTAAACCACTGTATAAGAATGCCGAGTACAAAAAGAGGAAAATATTTTCTTAGAACTCAACAAAAACTAAGGTGAATTTTACAACATTGTATATTCCAATATCAGATGGCAGACAGATCCTTGTAAACGAAGACATGTTACATTAAATGCAACATACGATGAGGCCACCATCTTTAATCATGTGTAGAGCTGGTATTCTTACATTTGGAAATGAACTGTAGCCTCTTCAAACATTACTGTGTTATAGTGTGAATACAATACAAATCTTAAATACATATCTTCTTACAAAGTAATGTACCAAAAGCCCTTGATAAGGACAGATAATCCATTAAATGAAAAAAGTGGACAGGTGTGTGAATTTAATTCATATAATTTCCATGTAAAAAAGAGATTAAGTTTTGTCCTGCACACAAAACATTTTAAGATAGCTCCTTATAAAACAGATTATTTAGGCTAAAATACCATACCTGTTAAAAATATTCTCGCTTGCAGCGTACTTGTCCAATCTTCCCAGAGGAGTCAACATTTCATCTTGTGAGACAAAGTCCAGGGCTGAAGGTATAATAATCACATCAGACTCTGAGCTGTAGTCATCCACACCAACTATCAGAGACATCAGAAACATTCCTTATAATCACAAATCTATATTTTAAAACAGATGCCTAATGCTGAGAAGAAGCTAGGCTATGCAGCAGTCTGCTTTCAACACAGATTAGTCTTAAAACTTTGTGTGCCTTTACCATTCTTCCCTTTCAAAGCATGCTTTTGTACAATTCAGCCATTCTTCTTGAACTGTATCCACTTTTTGTACAAAATTGTTCTCCAATTTCCTTCAGTCTCAAATATTTTGTAAACCACACACCATCTGCAGCTTACTGCTTTTTCCACTAGTCCTTCAGTAAAGTAACTGTTTTTTAAAACCTCTCCTGTCATACCAGATAAAGATCTCTAGTAGCCAAATTTGCATACATAAATGAATATGAACCTCAAAATTGATGAAGACCCAAGAAAGTAGTTGGGAAGTGCAATTTCATTAAAACCAAAATCAGGACTTAAAACCACTGTTAAGGTTAAGTATAGTTTAAATATAAGCATTCAGCATGCTGGTGCACAGGGCTGAAATTTTTGCTTCTCCTCTGCTCCTACTGTGCTGCCCTAGTTTTGCTTAGCATTACATAGGAACCATGGGCAGTAAAGCCAAGAACAAACTTAGGTTATAATTAATTACTTGGAGGGAAGCAAACCACAAGTCTAGGTTCAGGCATAATGCTGAAGCAAATCCAAGGCTTCACTCCTGGAAGCAGCAGAGCGAAGTACCTGTGATTGTGGCATCTAGTGCAATTATCTAGACGCTGCTGGGCTGTACTTTGTATTTCTTCAAATTTGTTAGTTAGTTTTAAGTTCAGGATGGGATGGGGGGAAGAAGTCAGCCTATATCCATGATGTTGTCTTCCAACCTATTGCAACACTATTCATGTCAGCAGCAATCTGATCAAGTTTAATTACCAACACTTACATATTGTCAAAGCAACAGACATAAAAATCTTGTGAGTACTAGTTATCTCCAAAAAAACATGGATGATCCCCACTTGTTCAAGGATCGGTCATCTATGGAATCCACTGCTGTCATTCTAACTACTCTCTCAATTTACCATTTTGCTTTCACTGGCTGGCTGGCTTATTAACAGTCTTTTTATAAGAGTAATGCTTTTAATAAGTCAGATGGAGCACTTTCCATTGTTCTACCCTTTTGGAGTACAGTGGGAAGAGGAACTGGCCATTCCCCATCTATTTTCATACAGATGAATATTCCAGTTGTCTCATGCTTTCTTATTTTACACTTATTCTACAGCATAGAGGATAACGGTCTCTTGTTACCTATGGTATACACATAACAATAGGACCCTAGATGCATGATTAGGGCTCTCTGGCACTATCACAAATTGCTAACAGTCTCCCAAGTCCCTGCCCATGAATCAACTGTTCCAAGTACAGTCATACCTCGGGATAAATATGCTTCAGTATAAGTATTTTCGGGTTGCACTCCGTGGCAACCCAGAAGTAACGGAGCGCGTTACTTCCAGGTTTCGCCGCTTGCGCATGCGCAGACGGTCAAAATGACATCACGCGTATGCACGGCAAAACATGACCCGCGCATGCGCAGACGCGTCTTACATTCTATTCAGGATGTGAATGGGGCTCCGGAACGGATCCCGTTCGCATCCCGAGGTACCACTGTATTCACAATATCCTTGACAAATCCTCCTTGTAGCAAACAGGAGCACACATATTAAAACAATTGATGTAAATTTTCAGCTGCTATATTTTTCCTACAGAAAATTAAGCCACTACCATCATTATACATGGATATAATATCAGTCTAACAGAAACTGTCCAGCATTGCAATTAGCTTCTCACATGACTACTCTTTGAAAGTGCTTGCACATGTGCACCATAACACTACATTTCCCAAATTAAACATGCTATTTAGGCATGTTAAAATTGGCACAGTATATTAGCAATTTTGAGTGTCTTTACATGATTTTCTAAACATTTAAGCAATGTAGGGATTGTTTGCTATTGAGTTGTCAGGTTTTAAAATATTTACATTTACTGTATCCCAATAAAAATATTTTTCAAGTAAAGTTGTGAAATTGTTTGACTATCACATTTAAACTAGAAAGTCGGTTTCATTTATTTATTTTTTCATGTAGGAATATTTCAGATAAATGGCTTTGGCTAAAAGAAAAAATCCAATATATTTATTTATATAAAACAAAATTATGAAATCAAAAGATGTCTGAGCTGTACCTCCGTATATAACATAAGAAGAATCCTACTGGATCAGGCCAAAGATCTATCTAGTCCAGCATTCTATTATCATAGTGGTCAACCAGATGCCATGGGGAAGTCTGCAAGTAGGACCAGAGTAGGACCAACTGTGCTCTTCCCCACTCTCACTTCTCAGCAACTGGTATTAAGAGACATGATGTAGCACAGCTGTATACTGTACCATTACTATTCACCTAAAACTGAATTGAAACCATCTCATTTGACAAAAGTTTTCAGCAATGAAAGGCAGATCCAAAGGTGGACACGAAGTCTCATATCATGTGTGAAATGGCAGATACTTCAAGAAGAATACTGACAACCTAGTTTCCAATAAGTTTCATTGTTGCAGGGGTAGCTGAAAATATAATGCTAAAGCAAGCAATCAGTACTTTGGTATGTGTTTTTAAGTCAGCTTCTTAATGTTAATGGACACACCTCTCTACATTATTACTATTTCCAAATATGTTCTGCATGGGCTACCTTGAGGTTTTCACATCTGAATATTGGCAAATAAGTGAAACAACATACAGTAGTTAACAGAATTCACAGTTTGAATGTGGAAGGCGTCAAACCATGTGCAACTCAAGTATACAAAGCAACTGCAGTAGTTCAGCATTTCCCCCCAATGTGGCCTTTAATGCTTAATTAATTGCTAGTTTCCAGGCTATCAATCGCTAACGTCTGGGATTAGAAAGACATAGCATTTGATTTTCATTCCTGTTACATTAGTTTTTTCTAACAGGTTTCCCAGGTAATATACAGATGTTAGCCTAACCATCAATTTTCATTTCATTGAAGTTCTCGTTATCTGTACAAATCTACCCATGTTCTCATATCTGAATCAATTAAGTTTAGGAACCTGAATTATTGTAATTTTCCATTATGGTAAGAAAAATTACCATACAGTGGTACCTCGGGTTACATACACTTCAGGTTACATATACTTCAGGTTACAGACTCTGCTAACCCAGAAATAGTGCTTCAGGTTAAGAACTTTGCTTCAGGATAAGAACAGAAATTGTTCTCCAGCAGCGCAGCGGCAGCAGGAGGCCCCATTAGCTAAAGTGGTGCTTCAGGTTAAGAACAGTTTCAGGTTAAGAACAGACCTCCAGAACGAATTAAGTACTTAACCTGAGGTATCACTGTATGTCCATTCATCCAAAACATCACTGTTTATTAGTTTAATAAAATGTACTAAGACGATGCATAAATATTTCCCTTTATAAGCAACACCTGCAGGAGACGAACATTTCTACTACTTCATATAACTTTTAACAGATGCCAATATTCGGGGCGGGGGGGATGTTTATGGAACATCACCATGATCTCAGTGTAAACACAAGATCTGGTTGTATCATGGAGATGGGAAGCATGTGACCCTCCAGATGTTGTTTGACTTCAGTGTTCATCAGCTTCAGCCAGCATGGCCAACTATCAAGGACGAATGGAGGTGTAGTCCAGCATCATCTGGAGAGCTATCTGGTTCCTATCCCCTCTGCTCTAACATGAAGGAAACATAGGAAACTGTTTAAAATTGTACAATATTGTAAACATAAAAAATAACCCCAAAAAAGAATTAACTTAAATAGGAAGCAAAAAGCCTAGATAAATGCACTGAATTCAAATAAATCTTAAAACTCAAAAACCTACTGCCTAACAATGTACAACAGTTTTGGGATTTTTTTAAAGGATACAGCAATCAATGTTTGCCCACAAAAGGTAGGAAAATTTGCACACTGTTACCAAATACCATTCCATTTTGTAAGCATAATTTTGAACTCTTCCATTTAAACATATTTCAACAGTGTAGTCATCCCTTATGGAATCTCCTATGCTACTAACCACACAACATTGCTTTCCTAATGTCTATTCAAAGTACCTCCTTTTCTGATCTTTGGCACCTGTCTGCCTGTAGTTTATAGGCAATTCAGTTACATGTCTATATTCAGAAATGACATTTATTATACAAACAAAACTCATGTTCACTGTGGAATGTGGACAACCATCAATTTTATTCTCCTATGTAAATGAAATTCACAAACCTATCCAAGACGAAAATACTGTTTTTCCATCTATACTCAGATGGTTTCAAAAGAACAAGAAATCTTTCTACTATTCTCCTAGTTACTACTGGTCAAAGTGACCATGCTAAACAGCAATGCGTTGTATTCATCTAAGTCACCCTGTTAGTGCAAGGGCTACTGCTAAATAGAACTTCCCTCCCTTGCATCCAGAGCCCCCCCAATCTGTTCCAAAGGGTATGGAGAACTCTCAGAATAGATTTAGAGGCACACAGGGGGAGGGGAAGTTTCTCTGCACAAGTGGAAGTCCTTGCACCAACAGATTTTACTGTGTATGTATGCCTTTCTACCTCTCATCACACAATGAAGTCACAATTTTTCTTTGCTGTCTGTCCCTGGTTTATGCTCTACACACAAAAGCTTAAAATTAGCAATTGAAGTTGTCCACCTAGAAGCACAGACACAGTTTTTAAAAAAGAAAGATGTCTTCAAGCTAAGAAGGTACACCAGAGGCAACCCTGAAACACTACCTTTAGTTAGACACAAATGCTACTGGGGGCATTTCAGCAGCTTATGGCCTTTTTTTTTTGTCAAGGATTTGTGGATTACCATAACTGACTGTATATGTAGTTTGTCACTAAAATAACAGAGAACAAAAATAAAATATGCAGTCACCAGTCTCGCCTTAGAAATCAGCTTATTAAAAGGAATCAGATTTGCTGGCATCAGTGTCTCAGTTCTGGGCTGCTTAAGGTCCCATCTCAATCCGAAAAGGCATGAGTACAAATCAGGTCTTTTGATGACCCATTTCCCTCTATGAAGAGCCAAGACAGCTGCAATGCTACAAGAACATGCAGGGTACAAAGTTGAGGATGAAGCATGTGAGAAGAAGAAATAAAGTGTTCTCAGTTGAAGAACTTTGGCACCAAGCAGACCTCTACAGGAAATGATGCTAATACAGAAAAGGAGGCTAATGCAGAATTCAAACACTGAACTCATTGATAGGTGCTCCACTGAGATAAAACCTTCACACTAAGATCCTAATAATCAAGAACTCAAAAGCATGACAACTCATATGGCAAGCATCACTTACTATGGACAATAAAAAGGAGACAACATAATGAATATTAATTTGTATACAGCTGCACTGTGGTGAATACTACAACACTAATTACAGCAGCAATTGACTTCGCTTTCATCTAATGCCACCCTCTAATATCGCCTTGGAAGAGAAATTATGTTTTACTAAGTGCTCCTATCCAAGAGTTAACCATCAAAATGTATACCAAAGAATCTGCCTCCAAGAAAGAGATGGTAAGTAAAAGTAGCAGAAATTAGAAAGGACACTCTATTATTCAATCTTCTTACATTCTTATTCTGGAGCATGTATTTTTAATATGGACACATCTTCTAAACTCTCTTCTATACTTATATTTTATTTAATTCAGGTACTTCATTATTATTTTCCACAGTACCTTCTCCATTATTTAGTTCACACAATATTCTATACCAGCCTTCTCCAACCTGGTGCCCTCCACATATTTTGGCTACAACATCCATAGGAGTTGTAGTCCAAAACATCTGGAAAGCACCAAGGTGGAGAAGGCTGTTCTACACAATCACTGATGCCTGCACTGGTCACCTATCACGAATTTACTGCTGTAAAAAAATTAAGTGTATATTCATATACATTACTAAAATATTTTGAGTTACCCAGGTTTATCTTCTGTTCAGAACATAAATGCACATTACTCTGTGCGTGTGTATGCTATTGATTCAAAAAGGTGGTAGCATCAGTTCTCTAAAGTCTGATATGTACACAATATATTTTAAAAGATTAAAAACTAAAGAAAGCAGGTCAAAATCTAATTAGAAGACTTGAACCTCACACAACAGACCTGCAAACCAGCCACAAATTAATTCAGAAGAATATGCATCATTCTATTTATCTAACATACAAAGTCAAGGTCACTGTCGTATCAAACTTTACCAATCTTGGGTTTTGCTTTCTTGACCCTTTATGGATCACAATGCATTTTTTAATCTCATTAGCTGTCCAAAATTAAACTTAAATGCTAACTTTTAAATATCAATGTATTACATTTTAGTATTATAAAAATTTTGACATTTAAAATGTAAATTTAATTTTTACAATTTAAATATTCAATGGATATATCAAACCTGAACACACCTTGATTTTAAAAAGCACACAAGCATAATTCCTATATGAGAACATTCAATGAGTTCTGATGGCAATTAATAAGGTGTTATTAAGGGAAGACGAATTCTATTAGTACTGTATCTCAATATTAAGACACTGTTAAGCTTCAAGTACAACGTGACCTAAATCTCATTCATCAGAATAGCAGCAGTAATGCTATAATCACAACCAACCCATCCAACTCACAACTTTCCCCATTTTCCCTTCGTGGTCTCCAGAAAAGTAAAACAAACTAACAACAACAAAAAAATCAAGACAGGCACAAACACGAGCAAGTTTGCAAGCCATACACATAAATGCCTGTATGGGGGAAAACGGGCAAGGACAGCTGAGCATGGCTGCTTTCTCCCACAATGCAACTTGGGCCTCCTCCACGCTTTCAAAACCATTTATTCGCGGAAGCAAAAGCAAACTAGAGCTTGACACACACGCGCAATCCATCCCTCTCCCTCCCCGTTCCCGGTTGTCTTTTATGTATATATACATATAAATAAGGAACAAACCCTCGTTAGACGGGAACAGGCTCCCTCTCCCCATTTCATTCCAGACCCAGGATCCCCAGAGTTTCCGGGTGCGAGTGAAGTGGGACCGCCCCGACCCAGCCCCCACACCCAAGACGGACTTGGGAAGAAGGGGCGGCCCGGGCAGCGCCGCCGAGTGCGCTGGGGAAGAGGGAAAGAGAAGAAGAAGCTGTTGCAGCTGGGGCTACTCACATCCGTCTATCTCCTCCTGCAGGTCCTCCTGGAGCAGCGACAGATCTAGACGGGGGAGGGGGGGAGGCGGAGAGAGACAAGACAAAGTGAACTCCAGCCGAGGGGGTTCCTCCCCACCCCAGACCAACTCCCCTTTGTAAAACACCCGTAATACACACCCCACGAGAGCGCCTCGCGGTTCTTTACCACGCTATAAAAAAAACACACACACCCCTGCCCTAAGCGCCCCCTCCTCACACTCACGGGGCCGAGAGAAAGAAGGGGGACGCCTACATCTGGCAACAAATCCCACAAGCCCTTCTTGCCACACAAGGTCGTTAATTTCTCAGATAAATCCCCTCGCAAGCTCCTGCCATAGTTTCCCCAACACAGAGAGAAGTAGGTAGGCAGGAGGCAACCCCCCCACCCCCAAATCGATGAGTTGAGGACTCGCCAAAGGGCGCTTTCCCTTTGCTTTTTCCTTGAAAGGGGGGGGGGTCCGGACTGAGGTGTTTCTTTCGCGCCCGGACGGAGTTTCTGGGAGTGGGAGGGGGGGTTGGGGAGGGAGGGAGGTGCTACCTACCCGCCATGTTTCTGCAAACCTCCCCGCCCGATTTGCAGGGGCTACATTTAGCCCGCCGTGGCAGCCGCAGGAGGCGAGGGCTGAGGGAAGGGGGCTCGGTTGGGGTGGCGGTTGCGGCCTTTGGGCCCAGGCGGCGTTTCCGGGCGTCCCCGGGAGAGTCTCACACAGAGCGATCAGTCCGGAGAGGGAGGGGTCTGAGCCGGACACACACACACAGAGAGAGAAACGGCTGCCCCCGCCTCCGCCAGGGAGGGAAAAAGAGAGAGAGCTGCCTGACATGCGAGGCAAGACCTGCCGCGCTTTTGCCCTCTTTTTCCACCGGCTGACTCACTCCAGCCTCAAAAGCCGCCTCCGTCGGGCGCAGCCAGGTGGGGCCGCTCGGCAGGTCTGGCCCAGCCGGAACCGGTGAGGCAGAGTGAACTACTTGGGACACTTCGGAAAAACGCCCCGGTGTCTGTGAGCGCCCCTCTCTCTCTCTCTCTCCACTCGCCTAGCAGTGCTTTCCCTTGACCCTGACCCTGCACTGCCTTCCCCACATGGCATGGCCGCTCCCAAAGTTGGTTTAAGAGGGTACGGCAGTTTCCGTTCTCCGCGCCCTGCTAGGCACTGGCACGGCTGCAGGGCACGGCGACTACTCGGGAGCTGTACGCTGGGCTTCTCAGACCTACGTAACTTGGCTGTGACGCTGTTATCTCCCCCCACATCTAGGTTTGGCTCTGGTTTTCTACTATTGCACTTGTTTCCGTGCCACTTGGCTCCGGTTTTCGTTTCCCCTCTCTGGGCTCGGCCATTGCATTCTTCCCGCCCCTCCTTCAGCGCTGCTGCCCCAGGACACTTCGCTGCCCGAGGCGAAGAAGATTACGCTCCATCTCCCTTCCTATTCTGTGTACACAAGCCACCTAGACCTGCTGCTGACTCTTCTTTCAACAGCAGTGATGGGACAAGGGGGCGATACCCACACCTGAGGGCAGCTAGGCTGGTTTAGGGAGCAGTGTGGGATTAACAGCTCTGTCCTCTAGCACCTGGCTGCACATCACCTGCTACCTGAAACAGCGGCCTAGCTCTGCCTCTCATTCTCTTTCCTTTGCTTGATATCACTGCCACCCATCCCTGGCTGTATTTTTCTGTTATTTAACCTTGCTCCTCTTAAACTTACTTAGAAATACTGCTGCTGCTTTTCATCCCTTTTTATTGCCTTCCTATAGAGAATGAAGCGGAACACACTATTTTAATGGAGGCCGAACACTGGTTTAGAGGATGCCAAATGGAGCTCTGAGATATGACACACTGCAATAAGTAGATTGAATCATTGTGATGTCATTCTATAAAGAACCACCTTCCTCAGGTGATAATTCCAGGGTTGGTGTCACAATGTAACCTATACTGTATTTGTAGGCACACATGCTTTGTTTTGTGGCCATTTGTATATATGGATTCAAAAATTAAAATGTTCTCTGCAAAAGCATTTGGGACAGCTATCCGAAACTGGGTTTTTGGGTCATTGCCTACTTTCATTAAAATAAGTCTTGGACTGATTTAATAAGAGCCAGGCAACCCTAATAAGAAATCAGCATTTAGCTGCTTATATAACTGTACTGAGGTTTAATGAAAATCTAATATTTTGACAGAAAGGTAGTTGGCATAGCACAGTAGATAAGGCTGCTGTTCTAGACACACTTAATGTCTCATTTAATTCTATAGGACTTCTGGGTAGGTATGCACAGGATTGCCTTGAAAGGGTATAAACCATGTTTATATCCAAATCAGTTAAAATTTCTGCTTGTTTAATATACTAAATATAGTATAATATTTCCCTTGAGGCTAGTAATAGTGTCCCCTTGCCACTAGACTCCCTTTCATTTGTCAATAAAACACAAAATAAAAAATATGTTTAATTGCAGAACCACAAGGTTTGATAGGTGCTCAGTCTTTCCTGCAGTCATTATGAAGATCATAATTATACAATATCAGCTGTACTAGTTAAGGTTCTCTAGTACAAAGAAATAGGAATACAACTGTCACAGTGATTTCAGTAGCTGATACCTATACTTAACATACCATTGGGTTTTCTACATTATAAGCTTACCATGGGCCATTTGCAGTGTTGATTGAGGTGACTGGTGATCTGCAATTCCTTTCCTGGAGAAAAGGGAGAAGCCAGAAATTAGATTAAGCATCACTAAATAGTGTACTTGCACTATCCTTACTGAACCATTTTGTAGTCTGAACAGTGTAAACACCAACTTTACAAAACCATATGGTAATCAACAGAACTCCCAAGAGATCTCTGTAACAGACAAACATGTACACTGACAAACCTCATCTTCTTTCTGCCTGCTGTTAAGAGAAGGCCCCAAGATCAGTTCCCATCATTTCCAGTTAAAGGATCTCTTGATGGCAAGGACGGCAAAATATATCTGCCTGAAGCTTCAGGGAACTGCTTCCTGTCAGAGTAGACAGCATGGGATGCCTCCTATATTACTCTTTGTTTCTCCGTTGCGGTAGCTTTCGGCTTTTTACTTGGCATAAAAGGTAAGAATCTTGCAAAAACCAAAATTTAATTTTGTGCCTCCTATGGGTTGTGTTTTTTGTATCTGCTTTTATATGAGATTTCTTGGTAAACTTCACACCGTTTTCCTTAATATTAAATAAGTAAACCTAAGATCTGCTTACAATTCTGAGCGATTAAGAGTCAAACATTGAGATATAATGATGGCATAGCCCTTGCACTACCTCAGTACCATGCAAGCAGTAGTGCAATGTAGCATAATTTATGAAAAATATTTATATACTGTTATATCATAAAAAGTCAAATAAGTTTTTAATAATAAATAAGGAAAAAAACATTTAAAATTTCAATATTAGAGACAATCAACTAGCTATTATGGAAATATATTATCTGAATGGCCTGCATAGGCCTGGCACATAATATTGTGACTTGTTGGCCTTTGTAGCTGCAGTAATTTCTGATCTCAGGCATTTGTGGTTGAACTAGAAGGAATGTCATGTATAGGTTGAACCCATATAAAATACTGATAATAAGCAGCATTTTTCTATCTGGAGGCTATATTGTTGTTGATGGAGAATGCTGGAGAAAAATGGATGATTACGTAGCTGCCAAAGATTCAGTAGTTATGAGTTTAGTAGAGTTCATGTTTCTGTTCATATGCAAAACAGTGTACAAGCTTGATGTGTTAAGGAATGAAGCACTGTGGCATATTAAATTTTCTGTCAAATGTGATTAGCAGCTGTATGGATTAACTTTAACCATTACATGTATAGTCAAGCATACAGTGCAGTAACACAGGCTGTTAATAAAGATTTCAAAGATAGCACCAACTTTATGACATTCAAATCATTCTCTTGTGACCAGTGACAGTGTTTTCTATAAACATTTTACTGGACAAATTTCTGCTGTCCTAAATCAATGGAGATATGATTTAGTACACATATATGACTTATTTTTTTAGTTTTCTTTACTAAATGTACCTCATATTAGCTTCTTCACATGTTGTATAAATGCTGTATCTTTTTTTCCAAAAATAATTGAACTGACATATGTTAGAAAAATAAATAAATGCACTCAGGCTGCACAGTTCTGTGCATGCTTACCTGGGAGAAAGTCCCATCAAATTCAGTAGAGTTGACTTCTGAGTAGACACATGCAGCGTTGCAGGAACAGTGTGATTTTATTTTATGTTCATACAAAATCAAAGTTACTTTGATTGGAATGTTTGTAAAGGTTCTAAACAAATAACTACTTGGCAGCATACATTTCCCTTACGTTACATTTTCAGGGGAGGGACTGAGGTATTGAAAACATGCTTGCAGGACAATCCAAACGCTAGCTGGGCAGCAGTGCAATGTGAGAGAACAATAGAGCAACAGTTGCACCTCTAGCCTTATTGCTCACACAGGGTGGAAGGCAGAGGGCAGGGAAATAACAATCGGCCCCAGTGCCATCAAGTGGGCTGGCTCAGCAGATCCAGAACACCTGGTTTTCAGACTGGGTGTGTGTGTGTTGTTGCCAGAGGCAGGTGGGGTGCAGACCATTAGGAGCATCACAACTATTACGCAGAGTGGAAGGCAAGAGGGTGCTGAATTTTGATGTTGCACAGGGCACCACGGACATCTTGAGACCCCAAGGTCTGTCACTGCTGTTACAGAACAGGGACCTTTGTATTTTAGCCAAGTAACACTAGTGTCACTCCATGGGCAGAAAGCCAGCAGGGCTGGATGGAGAGACACCTCTGCTCCATCTGTCCCCCCAACCCTGCACCCATTGTTGGGGGTATGGATTGCAGCTTGATTTTAGCATGACTGAAGAACTCTGCAAATAAAGAGAGATGTGCTTCCTAGGGAAAGTAACTTGAAAGTTTTATTGTGTTAATAATAGTAATGCATTTCTATGAGACAGAAGATGAAAATTTAATTGAAAAGCATCAATCCTACATCAATGTTTTGAGATTAATTTTTAAAAACTTTCAACTATATGTCTAATGGCAACGCCTATCTCTTTTTTCATAGATACTACTATTTATAATTTTTTTAATGCCTTTTCATAAATTATAACATCTTCAATGGGACAGAAATAATTTTGGGAATTGCATTGTGGAATCTGATTTTTCCCCCAAAAGGGGGAATATATTTTTATTGTACAATTTTCAGTCGACGTACTATGCAATTGGTTGGACAGTATGTGTGTGTATCAAGCAATTTTTAAAAATGAAACATCTGAAATGAGTGAGTTTGAAAATATGCTGCTCACAACCCAACACAGTTAAGCATGCTTAAGCCCATTTATTGCAATATATTTTATTCAGCTTAACTTTGTGTTGAACTTGAACCATTATTTTTGAAGGCATAAGCATGATCAGAACTCAGATGAAAGACTTGCATTTTAGGATATTTATTTCAAGCATGTTAAGGCATGTCGGCCATTTGAGGGCTCTATACACTTGGAATGGAAAAAAGGGGAAAGGAGAGTAAAGAATGACTGTTGAAAATAAAAAGAAGTCCTACCTTTCATAGCTCTGTTTACTTGAAGGTTAAGGAAAGTAGCATGGAGTAGAATAGGAGGACAAAGATAAATGATTGGCTGCTATATATCTCTTGTTAGCCTCTGTACAAGGAGATGTCACAATCTCACCATGACAATGAGCTGTTCCTTGGGTACCAATAAGAAAAGCAGAATGAATTACTAAAAACAAAGGCTCTAGTCACTCACAATAGATATACCTAGGTTCCCTCTTTCACTTAACACACATTATATATTACCCTGAGGCAAATATTGATTTCCCACACACTAATAGTTGCAGTAATGCCCCCTGATGAGTGTACCTGTAAGAGGCACTGTTAAAACATTAGGTACACTGTACACCTGAACCTAAAGCACTAATTGTTTGGGATGGCCCCGACCCTCGCTAAATAGGCTTTAGTGGTATGTCCAAGCAACATAAATGTAACAGCTCATGCTAGCCATCAATTGCTGAATTATTTTACAGGGATTACCAGCTACCTTCAGCAGAATTTCAGGTTGAGCTACTGCACCAACTCCTAAATGGCTATTGCTGTCCATTTGTCTTCATTCTCTTTTTCTAGACCAACTAATTATTCAGCTATATTAATTGATTTTTAAA